TAATTAGTAACTAAATGTGAAAGGCAAAGTTAAGTCTGGGGAAAAAATGATTTTACCATCAAAGGGCAAACATGTTACTGGGTGAAATATTCCCTGGTATACGGTAATCTAACCATAAAGTGATAAACCTTAATTACGTTGCCCATCCTACGAATGTCTTTGCCAATTTAAAACAAGCATTGCACTGCTTAAGCCAAGATAATCTGCTCCATAGAATATCATTAATAAATCTGTCAGCCTGTTGGATTTTTCAATATGGTGACTGGATAAGCCAGCGAAAAAGAATGAGTTTTAAGACTATTGAAATGTTAGAACAACTTTGTATATAAAAACATTTATTTCCTAAAATACTCGGCGCTGAATACTGATCCATCAACATTAGTGGTGTCTGAATTAACGAGGTTTGACTGTGGTGTAGGAGTAGCAGACTGGACAAGGCTTTTGTCATGCATAGTAATTCAAGGGTCATAACTCTTCTAATGTCTGTAGAAACATTAACAACACAGTGTTCACAAATGTACACATTCATCAAATTGTTTAAATGTCACATGTGTGCAAAGTTTCTCAAAATCTGTGCAGTACATGTACAAAACCCATTCACCCCTACAGTCATATTTGAACCTTACCCAATCAAACTTCAAAGACTTGGAGAGTCAATTTGAAAAATAAAGGGGTGAATGAGTAACTCATTCACCCCTGCAGACACATTTGAACTCTTCCAAATCAAAGGTTGGAATAGTTCATTATAAAATTTCAGGGGTGAATAAGTTAAAGGAGGAGTACAGATTATAAGATGGACTTATAATGAGTACAGATAAAATAGAAGTCCCAAGGAAGGCAAATAGACCATTGCAAGAGGATGTTGGTGTATGCCATATAATTGTAGCGGAAGGTATATATATATAATAATAATAATTTGAGGTTCTTATATATCACTTTATCACAACCTAGTTCGTAGGTCGTCTCAAAGCAGTTAACAAATTATTATCCGAGGTTATAGGGCCTTTGCAGCCAGCCAATATCTTTCTCAACTCCCTGGTTAGCATACAGCCGGTGCTGCCATTTCGGCGCTCACAGCTAGCATTGCCCAACCATGTACTCATTTACAGCTGAGTATACTGGAACAAGCGGAGTAAAGTATCTTGCTCAAAGATACAACACAGTGCCGTGCAGCGACTCGAACCTGCAACTCTTAAGTCACGAGCCCGGCATCCTACCACTAGACTACCGTGCCTCCTAACAGCTAACAACTAACAATGAAATATACAGCTGTAGAATAACTTCCTTTAGCACCGATTTCTTTTATCTTCCCATAAATCTTCACACACTTGCTCCCTAATAAACGTCAATATATAATTGGTACAGTTTATGAATATTTCATCAGAGCTTGTATTGTGTACATAACTGTGTAGAAGACTTGCCTGGTGTGTATATAAATGATCGAAAGTGTCGATACATATATACAGTAACAGGTAGTGTGTATTCTTCAGCTGTCTATCAAGAATTCATTATATATAATTATCTGAGTCATGTGTTTAAAATTTCTACAAATTTTTGAATATATTTAATTAACAAAATCAGTATTAACCAGAGTTACCACGACAGCCAAGACAAAGGAAAGTCAAAGTCTGTACCACATAATTTTTCACATAATAAACAAAATTATATTTTTATATGCTTTTACTAAAAATCAAAATGTTTCACACGATAGTTTCAATGTGAAACAGATCTTGACTACAGTGCAGAAAAGGATTTTTAAAAATATATTTTTTAAGTAACCTTAGCAATTTTGTAAATTGGATCCAACTTTATTTCTGAAAGTGATACAAACTTATATAATTAACCCTAATTTTCTGTTTGAAAGGTTGAAATTTCCTGTGATTAATTTAACACAGGCGACGAATTATCTCTGAATTACCCGGTCATGTACATAAAGTACTAGTAACATTATCTGTTAAGTGCTACATACACTGTGCATGTACCATGTACTCTTTGTATTCCAACAACTGTATGTTTGTGTTTTACGTCCTATTAACAACTATGGTCATTTAAGGACATGCCAGGTTTTGGTGGTGGAGGAAAGCCGGAGTCCCCGGAGAAAAAAACACCGACCTACGGCCAGTACCTGGTGACTGCCCCACGTATACGTAGGTTTCGAACCGGCGACCAAGTGGTGGAGGGCTAGTGGTAACAGAATGTCAGGAGCCTTAACCACTTGGCCACCTCAGTCCCCTGTCATGTTATGTCAAGTAACAAATTTGTATTTAGGTAAAGGCTAACACATACAGCACAATTGGCATTCAGGAAGATTTTACTTCAGGAGCTGTTATTTTTGGAACAGGAGTATTCTCCCTTTAATATATAAATATAGCAAAAATCTGGCTTAGACTCACTTCCCCTTCAGCATTCATCTTTCATTTTAATTCCTGGACATTGTATACGACTGGCATTTACAGAGGTTCCCAGTCTTTTGTTGAATTTTGTGATTAATAACATGTATTTACCATGAAAAAAAAAATACCATGACAAACCGAACTTACTTGTATAAACAGTACACCGTTTAAATGTTCAGTTTTTTTACTTCTTCCTTCATGTTTATATATGGCGCTCTTGATATCAAATAAAATATTAAGCGATTTCTCCTTGTATTATCAATTTTATGAAATTGTTTACATAGCATAAAGCAATCTTTAATGGGATGTCTGCATATATATATCCTGCAACATTTCACAAGGTTTGTCTGTGTTTCTTTTATCATAACATAATTTTACCATTTTTTTTTTGACAAAACTAATTATAACCATCAATTTGATACTGGAGTTTACCAAATTTGTGTATTGCTATTTGTGTTTTCGTATGTGAACCTTCTTTGTAGGTTGCTTCTAGTCTTTGGTACTGGACTTCAGGTTTCTGGAATAAAATGCTAAGTTGGAAGAAGATAATACTTTTCAAGTTTTTCCTTTATATCATTCACTCGCATTGCATAAACACTTTTTATGAGTGGTCGGGTGGCGCAGTGAGTAACGCACTCGCCTTTCCCCAAAGCAGCAGGGGTTTGATTCCCCGATTGGATGGGTGTTTTCCAGGTACTCCAGTTTCCTCCCACAATTAGACTTTCTGCGCACTAACATCCAGGTCAACAAAAGTGATCAATATAAGCTCTAATAACTTGTTTCATAATTGTTGTAAAATAAAGTTTATATCACAGCATCCATGACTATATTACACCGTACCAGGCAGACAAAAGATCAGCATGTACATTTAACATATATATACTGTACCAGCAACTACCTGCAATGACAAACTCATTCTATGCCTTTTGACGTTTCATTTACATAAAGGTAACACATGATACTCTTTACGCCGCTGATGGTCCGTTACAACTGTGACGCTTTAGCTTCGTCCTCTTTTTCAATATCTGGCCAATTTAACATGTCTGCTTGCTATCATAGGTGTACTAGCTCCCCCTTTTTCTTATTTGGAGTAGGTGATACCTTTTGACTTTAAAATATTACCCAATTCATTACATGGAAGTTCGTGGAAATTGGTATCTGAATGTTTTGACGCTGCCATGTTGTTTATATATCCATTGCCCCAGCAAGTATAGTTAAATCCCCTCCTATTTGAAGAGTTCCACTGATCGTGAAATCATATATTACGTTCATCAATATGATACCACATGTACAACACCAGCTGCTTAACCGATATACTGCATATGACTGGATGGGGTAATTATCGAAGATTCATGCAGGATCAAGAAGGGACTGATATCCTTCATTAAGATCAGATTTTTAATATTGATGCCAGTTAATACCTTGAGACTGCAGACAGACAAGGTCACAGCATCCATGACCATATTACACCGTACCAGGCAGACAAAAGATCAGCATGTACATTTAACATATATATATACTGTACCAGCAACTACCTGCAATGACAAACTCATTCTATGTGAACAAATTCTTTCCAGATATATAGTAAAATGTGGCTGAGGTGCTTGATTTGGTATATCCTTTAAATGAGAGCTTTTTTAATCTATCCTTGCAATTGATATTGAAAGTGTGCTTGTAGTCTCCAGTGACATTTTAAAGACAGAAGACTAGAAGCTATGTGTGGGTATCATGCCTTTGGTATCTCTTGGCTGCTGTATGTGAATGCCAAATTGGTACTTCAGGTTTTCAGACAGAAAGCTTGACTGTTCACACTCAGGCTCGTTCCTATCTAGCTGATGTTACTATTTCTTTCTATTTATCTCATTACTGCTCTTTAGATGACCATGCATGTGCTGCTCATGAAACAATCCAAAGGGACAAAGTGATGTATTTGGATATATAATTAGAACCAACAGTTAAGATATCTTTAATCTGAAATAATGTACTGGTATACGCATAACTGACCATCTTTTATTTATTTATTTTTTGATGGAGCAGAAATATTCAGAAAGGCTTCCAAAGGGCCACTTTGAAAGAAATTGTGCCTCAGATTTGCTGCACATTTTACTTTAATATGAAAAGATTTCTTGTATACCAGAATTTCTCTTACATTTGTTTTTATGAAGCATATAAAAAAAACCTTTCAGCACATCTACATGTATCATATAAGCCATCTTCTGAGCCACTTTGAAAAGAACAACATTTTCACAGATTTAAGCCATTGACAAAAAAAAATGTTAGGCTAAGGATGAGATAGTCAGCCATTTCGGGCTACACTATCTCTTTTCAGATAGTGACAGATCATCATTGAAGACACTTTGATGCATTGCAGTGTATACGTAATTGTATTTATTCGCGTGGTATACAATTAAACAGTTTGCAAATGTGTCAACAAAAAATCCACAATAGCATAAACAGTGGAAGTGAATGACACACCATCTGCTGACTATTAGTAAAACTGTTGCAAGCCACGTAAACAATCTTGACCAATTTCGTCCTTGACGTTCGTTCGGTTCATTTATGATTTCTGTGTTTGCAGTGTAATTAGGAATTAATTTAGAAACCTACCTTCTGATCTTGGTGAGGAAAATGCAGAGTCTTCTTTAGAAGGGGATGACATTGTCTCGTTGTGTCAGAATCAACTGTGAACGGTAAACGATAATCCGGAAATAGCTTTGACGAGATTGTTATTCTCCGAGTATGGCGGAAGATGACGTCATTTCCACTAAAATCTCAAAACCAAATAATATTTTATGTGTGAAGTAGGAATTTCACGACTAACTTGTATGTTTTATTATGATACATAATTTTTCAAATCTTTTGTGTCTTCGCATACATTGACAGAATACTTTTAGATTTATTCATATTTACGTTTATAAAATGCTAGTCTTGGTCTCTTTAACGTTTTTTCAGGAGGAGCAGATAGAAATATAGTCAAGCTTCAAATTCACAAGGACTGAATCGTTTTCTATCGTTTTTACCCAGCACGATGGCGTTGAACAGAAAGGGAAATGTAAGTACAATTTTGTTCATCTTTCCCATACTTTTCAGTTAATTTTAACCCTAAATGTTTCATTTCTCCTAACTGAAAATGATCTGCTACATACTGTTGGAGATGTGACAACATGCTTCTTTTGATTGTAAAAATAGAAGTGACCGATTTGATTTGTTTACGTCAATAGAATCGTATAAACTATATTCTTTCGTGACCACAACGCGGTTTTCATCGTTATCTTGACGTTTAATTATGCTGCATAAAATACGTAGAGATAAATTTTGTTGGAAAATCTTTTAACAAAGAAGGACTGATTCGCAAGAAGAGCACGTCTTTGATGTTTGGCAGTTGATTCTATGAACTAAAATTGTCTAAATCATGGACAGAGAGCAACTGGAAAGAGATCTAGAGCAAAGATTAAGAATTATGACGAGGAAACGCAAAGAAAGATATCAGAAATCCTTAGAAGAAGATAATAGAAACAGGAAAATTCATGCTGCTGCCAACCAATTGAAGTCTGGTAGCAGGAGCATAGAGCGATTTCCACCTTCAGAAGAAATGTCAAATCTTCAAGTTGATCTTGAACCGGCACAACTGTTTCCTGAAACGAATTCAACAGTCATAGCAGGGAAGAAGTGTGAGAAAAAGTCACAACAGGAAAATAGCAGTACCGAACCACTAGCTGCTGCCTCGGGTTGTAATACTCAATCAATCCAGAATCTACCTGTCTACTATCCAGCATTACAAGGTTGTAGAAATGTTAAAGAATATGAACTTTTAAATAAAATGGGAGAGGGGACATTTGGAGTTGTGTATAAGGGGCAAAACAAACAAACTGGAGAAGTGGTTGCTCTGAAAAAGGTCAAGATCGATGAATATCAAAAGAAAAAAGGCTTCCCCATCAAACACCTTCGAGAGGTTAACCTTTTGTTGAAGGCTGATCATGTCAATGTAGTGACTGTTAGGGAGATCGTTGTAGGAAAGGATCTGCTGGACACTGTTTTTTATAGTGATGGACTTTGTGGAAAACAACTTCCAGGAAATCATTGGAACCATGTCGACCCTACAACAGAGCTTTTTGATTGGCGAAGCAAAATCTCTTCTAAAACAACTTCTATGTGGTGTTGACCATCTACATAGCAACTGGATTATACACAGAGATTTGAAACCTGTAAACTTACTTCTCAGTAACAATGGAATTCTCAAGATCTGTGATTTTGGATTGGCCAGGGAATATGGTTCCCCTCCAAAACCTTGCACACCGACAGTTGTCACGTTGTGGTACCGTGCTCCTGAACTGTTGCTTGGTTGTAAGATGTACTGTACTGCCATAGACATGTGGAGCGTGGGATGCATATTTGCTGAATTCCTCACAATGCATAAACTGTGGTGTGGGAAATATGAGATAGACCAGCTACAGAGGATATTTTCAGATCTTGGCACGCCAACAGAGTCAATCTGGGCAGATGTCGGTGAACTTCCTGGATTCAAGAACTGCAAGTTTATTGACTATTCAAAAAACACACTCCGACAAAAGTTTGGGTTGCACTTCACTGATCTGGGTTTTGATCTGGTCAGCACGTTCCTGACCTATGACCCTACAAACCGTGCAACTGCAGGAGAAGCCATCAAGCATGGCTACTTTGAAGAGTTTCCTTTGCCAGTCGATCCATCAATGCTTCCAAATAGTTGATCAATACTTTCAAAAGCTGATCTTCTGAAAGAAACATTGTTCTTTAATGCTCATGACTATTGAAGTATTGAATTGCTGATTGTTTATTGAACTGGACTGAAACATTGCACAGGGATAATCATCGAGGGGCCATTGAGCCATCAAAACTGAAATTGACCCCTACATGTTCCAATTTTCTTTTAATTTGACATAGAATGCCCCTTCTTAATTTCAATATTGACTAAAATTGCTGAAATGGCCCACTGTTCTTAAATTCCAGGATTTTCCCTGATTGCACATAGCTACGGATATATATACGGCTACAGTATACTCTGTTAAACTCATTCCATTTTTCTGTGTTAGTATTTTATGCTTTGTCATGGATGATTTTTTTCTATTTCACCATAAAATCAAAGATGGTGAAGGATGTCTCAAAAATGTGTGTACATTTATTTAATAAATATAAATAAAATATGTAATAGTACAAGTTCCTATTAGTTCCTTTGTTTTGTTTTGCCTTAATACTTGACTGGAAAGACTATTATTTTAAAACCATCTTTCATATATTTTCACTGTTTTTATGCCTGTCAGTTGTGCCATTTTAGGGTTTGACGCTGACCAAAAATTGAATGAAACTTTTCTGAAAAATAAACCTTTTACAGGTAGTCTAGTATTACATTCATGTTCAACAGCATTCTGAATTCACTTGTGTATATTTGACCACAATGTTAGTCTAAGGGTCGCTTGAGTGCTTGAATTCTTTATTCCATCAGTGAGATAAGTAAGCATTTGAAACACCAAGATTAACTGAATTTGCTACATACATCATGTGGAGATGGGAGACGTCTATCACCCTCATGATTACTATTCTAATCTCTTTAGCTTTGCCAGTTGTCTTGTGAGTTGGTTGCAGTAATTTGAACTGAATCAAGTTAACATTTCTTGCATGCTCATAAATTATTTTCACAAGATCATGATAGAGTATATGTAATGGTTGTTTGCAGTTGGTCAAGTGAAATTTTCCAACCTCTGAAAGTGTTTTGAAAAAAATTTGACCTTGACCCAATTTCTATAGAAGGCCATGGATTTGAGATGTATTTTGTAAACAGCAAAGAATAACAGGTGAGAAATAGAGACCATGTCCATTTGGCCTTTTAATTTGCACTAACCCCCCTCCACATTTGAATTAAGAGAAATCTTATACATTCAAAATTTGATTTGGAAAGTCGAGAACATTATCAAAGTAAAACAAATACATTTGAAAAACCAGAGCAAAATCTATTTCCATTCTAATTATTAAGTCTGATGCCAAAGCAGGAACATTTTTTTTGCTGTACACGGTATCGTACAGTTAAATTCATACTTTTGAATTGATATATGTACTGTATATATAACTCATTGTTACATTTGGTTGTTTTAGGTACGTCTGCCACCAGAGGTTAACAGAATTCTGTACGTGAGAAATTTACCGTACAAAATCACAGCAGAAGAAATGTACGATATCTTTGGTAAATATGGAGCCATTCGACAGATCAGGGTGTAAGTATACGTATGGCTTGGTTCGTCTTGTATATAAAAATTTCCACAAATTTTCCTGTACATGTCACATTCCGAATGAAGATACTATCCAAACTTCTCAAATATATTTTGCGACCAAATTCAATACTATTAGCACATCGCAGCAGATGGCAAAAATTCCATGAAACTTACTTACACGTTACCTTTGAATTGCATTGAGAGAATGTATCTTAACATTAGCATGCATTGCTACATATGACAAAACTGTTTATTTTTGTCCTTTTCCATTTTTCTTTCTAAGAAACAACAAAGCCAACAATATGGCCAAATAAGTTGGTAGACATTTCTCTAACTTTAACAATTTTAGCATTATAATGTTTTTATGAATCAATTCTAACAGGTATTATATACTTTTCTTTACAGAGGGAACACCACAGAATCCAAAGGGACAGCATTTGTTGTCTACGAAGACATCTTTGATGCCAAGAATGCCTGCGATCATCTGTCAGGGTTCAACGTGTGTAACCGATACCTCGTTGTCCTTTACTTCCAGTCAAACAAGGTATATGTCCCAGTCTGCAGTGGATATTCAAAACAGGCATGAACATTGTGTAATGTGCAGGTCAGCTGTTGTTCTCGAATCTGGATATCGGGCCTGCTTCAGAGACCAGATGCAGAACTTTTGTTTCTTGTACAAAACTTTACGTCAATCTAGATCACCTCAATAACATAAACACTTCAAATATGGTCCAACTATATGCGACCAGTCACTGCAGGTCGCATCTTCTAATGCGTGATGAACTTGCTTTTTATGTAGGCAAACTTACGCAAATTGATCATTTTAGAAATGGTTTGCCTTTCTATGTAATGATGTTTTCCAGGCAGACATCTTCAGTCGTTTTGACCTGAAATTATTGCGTCAAATCTAGAAACCTTGTGTGGCAATGCTCTATAGAAATTCTTGCATATTTTAAAGCAAATCTTTCACCAGCCTTTTAATATTTATCATTTCATCATAGTTTTGTTAGATCAGTATTCATGTACAAATACACTGCAAAAACACTTCATTACAAGCTGAAAAATATATGGTGTACATAATTTTCTTTTATTCAAATTAATAATTTGTCCCAAACTGGAATTGTTTAATGCATGCATATGTATCATTCGCTTTATATTGAAAACCTTTGTATTGGAGGTCACAAAAAGGTGCCTTCTGCCCCCATTATATTTATTTCTGTAATAGCTCTCAGTAAGGAGTTACAATATTTATCTGGCAATAAACCCATGCCTGGTAATGAGCACACCAAAGTGAAATACAATTTAGAAGATTTCCTTTTTATTGTCCTGCAATAAGCCCACCACTTACTTTGGTTACAGAGATTATGTGTCCCTGGGCTTATTGCAGAATAACACAGTTATTTGCATCACTTATCAGGTACATTACACACATCTTTGTATCTTCTTTCAGGCATTCAAGAAATTAGACGAGGCAAAGAAGAAAGAAGACAACGACAGGATGAAACAGAAATATGGACTTAGTACACCGGATATCAATAAGAAGTGAAATGTTACGAAAAACAATTGACGTTTAAAAATATTTTACTGGAGTCGAGCATCACAACTGGCCTCAAGGCAAGAGAGAGAGAAAGAACGTATGGATATAACTGTAGAGGGATATTTCAACTTCCCCAAAATGATATCAAACATACATTGATGCAGATTCGCTGATTCTGTGCCAATGTGAATTATTGAGTTATGGGAAACATAAACTCCCATTATAATTAAGGCATTGATGTACAATTCTATCTGGAATGACAAATTTTAAACAATGCTTAAGTCAGTTAATTGTTGGATATTTGAATTTTGTTTTAAAGTGAGCCAAATTGAGCAAGTATTTAAAAGAAAAACACAGCAAGTTCTGATTGTGTCAAATGATCAGCCACCGTTTGGAAACCAAGGTTTTATAAATGAAATCAGTCCTGATTTATTAATATTAGATGATCATGACAACGTTTTCCTATGATCTACATTTGTTAGATCATTATCATGTGGATTGTTGGTTTGTGATATAGACTCAAAGTTACAATTTTAAGAAGCAGGTCAATATTTTCTTTTAAGATATCACTTCATTTGTAACTTCATAAATACTCTGACAAATGCAGTACTTTACTCCTGACAATTTCAATATGTTCTGTTATGTTTCATTATTTAAAAAAAAGTACTTTAGTACCTTATATAACAATGAAAGACTTTAATTTTGTGTATATGTGGTTATTTGAACTTGAAGGTTATACATGTATTGACCTCAAATTTGTCTCCTAATCATTACTTTTTCAGGTTCATATAACCACATGTTCAACTCAACAGAAATCTATAATTGATAAATAATAAATGTCATCAGCAGAAAGTCGAGAGAGTCAGAGATTGTTGCGAGGGTTGTATTGTGGTGAGTTTTTCTTTGGTGATACCTGTGCATTTAGTGATGAGAAGCAGAAGAGTGTATGGTATGTTGTGTGCTAGAATGTAATGTTTGAATAAATTTCATATTTCACCTCATGTGTTGTCAGGGATCAATCCCTGGTCATTTTCAGTAGAATTTACTGTTACAGTATATGTCATGAAGGATGTATCCAAACTGTAAAAGTAGAAATTCTTGTGTGGGGAAATGTTCGCATTTGGACTCTTTAGATTGATTGATCACCGTGTGGAACTTTTGTTTTGGCATTGTTTCTGAAATCTATGAACACATTGTAAGCTATAAATATATGTGTGGATACTTCATGGATAAACTAAGCTTTTTCACACTGCGAAAAAATTCCACACTCACAGTATTTAATTTTTCTTAAACATCTGGAGAAGTGCTTCTTCTCTTTTCTCCATTTGAATTTCGACATCATAAATGTCAACTGGCATGTCATATGAGAAGTAATGACAGTGAATCACAGACCAAATTGTATGATGTATTTTGTATAAGTTTTAAAGCTGCATAAACGTATTGTAAAATCTTACCGTTACAAAATTAAAATTCTACACATTATCAAAGACTGTTGGTATCTTTTCTCAATGAATTCTACCACATACTGTATGTGCCATAATTAGCGCTCCTCTCCCTTTTTTTGGGGGGAGAAATTGAAATTACAGACCTAACCAGGCCTGGTCATTGATTTACAATACTTATCCTTTAACCCTTTCACAACTGTAGATCATAATGGACTTATCCATATCAAAGCATGGTAGAGTTTATTAAAGTTACAAAGGAGTGAAAGGGTTAAAGTGGAGATTTATTTTTGGTGATCATGGCTGAACTTCCCGTGGAGTAGTTGCGGTGGCCAAGTAGTTAAGGCGTCGGGCATTCTGCTACCACTAGCCCTCCACGACTGGGTCGCGGGTTCAAGACCTACGTGGGGCGGGTACTAGCCGCTGGTCGGTGATTTTCTCTGGGAACTCCAGCTTTCCTCCACCACCAAAACCTGACACGTCTTTAAATTACCATAGCTGTTTATAGGACATAAAACACAAACAAACCAAACCAAATCCGGAGTCATTTGATTTCCAAACCTTCAGCCACACTGGATACTAGAATGCTTATAATGTCCTTCTGTCATACAGTAGCAGTAGGTGATGTTACTGTTAACTGATTCTATCATAGTTCACATTTTATTATCCTAATACGTACCCCCATTTAAGCTTATTGTTTAAGTGCTCTAGGCACAAATTATGGCGAATACGGTACTGTGAAACCTCCACCCAATTGACCATTAAAATCAGTTTTTGCTCAATGTGAATTTCACCCTTCACATGAAATTATTGTTGATAAAATATACTGTATACAAATATTTGTTTTCATGATAGATTTGCTCTCATTACAAAAGATAAAAAAAGGCAAAAGTTTCAATTACAGTTAAAAGTTCCTGCTATACAATGCTGCAAAACATGTTTTCATAAATATCCAAACAACTGTTTATTGGGAAGTTTTAAAAGTAAAATATATATTGAGGTCGGTCAAAATCAGTTAGCATGTTATGGAAGTTTGTTCTAAACATGCTTTATGGTATTACATTCTTTTTATAATCAAATTCACAACAAGGCTTGCCAAAGACAGTTTATAGCGCTTCACGGATGTTAGTTTTAAACATGTTTTAATGTATTAAATTCTTTCACCTGAAACTTATTTTAAGTTTATTCATCACAAGGATTCCTTGGCAATTAACTTTTTCACCCTTGAAGTTTCATAATGAACTATTCCAACCTTTGAATTGGAAGAGTTCAAATGTGTGTTCAGGGGTGAATGAGTATGTCCACCGGTGTATTGAATTGAATGGAAATAAATAATTATAAAACAATACAAACTGTACGAGGCATTTAATACATAAGATAGAGAAAAAAAGGACAATAATATCGAAATGTTTTAGCTGTCTGTCGTTTTTTCTGTCAGGGCTGGTTTTTCTGGCGTTTCTTTCTGAAATTAAATCAAACAAATCTTTTAATATTTTATGTTAAAATCTTTACAAACTTACTTTATCTAAATAAGCTCTCTCCAAGTTCAATGAACAAAACACAGACTAACCCTATATAGTTATAGAGTATCTATATAAGCATATAGGGGGTGGGAGTTAGTCTGTGCCTTGCTCCTGTAGGTGTATACAAATGTAGTCCATACAGATAATTTTAAGTAACACAACAGCTAATTCATGCCCTTTCAGTCAATAGCCAAAACTGTTATCCCTGTAGGCCTTGGGAAATAGTTCACCAGGTTGGTCCTAACACCTCGGGGGGGAAAACAGTTTTGACTATTGACTGAAAGGGCATGAATTAACTATACTGTTTACTGGGACATTTTTGCTGCAGTTTCATGTTCAATTTTTTTCACCCTCATTAGCATTACAGCGTGTATTAGTCGACAATATTTATATTTATTATAATCAAATGTGACTGGGCAAAAGTTTCCCAGTATACATATCGACATCAGTATACATATTGACAGGACCTTTCAACTAAGTGTAAAAGTTCCTTTCTGGAAGTGAAAACTAAAATATTCTTAAGGGTCTACTGAAAACTCTGCTGTCTTCCCTAATGTTACAAAAACTTACCTTTTCACTGGGATATATGTAGCCTTCAACTTGTTCTTCTGTAAAGAAACAAAAAAAAAGAACTGTAACATGGATCCCAAGATAGATACATTTCATGGGAAAGGCTATGTTTATTTACTGAGAGATACTAAAATTACTTCTGGGCCCAGTTGTTCAAAGGGCGATTAGCTTAATCTGTGTATCTTTAAAACACAACTATTAACCGAGTTACAACTTTCCAGATATCAAGTATTTAGTAGAGTCAATGTACTTGTAAAATTACAAGTTTTTACCTTGTATATTGACGAAATTATTAAAGGTTGCAAAATGTCGTTAAACAGTGATTAAGCTAACTATCTTTTGAACAACTGGGCCCTGATAGATAAGACCAATATGAGACAGCAGCAAGCTTATGGACAGTGAATTCTCCTTGATACTGTTTCCTACAGAATATACGTCCTTATATGACCTTAGATTTTGAAAGGACACTAAACCCTATACAACCAACAACCTATAAAAGATACTTTTTGTTAACTTCTATTAATCACAACAATATGGCAACTGTGTTAGAAATGATAATTATTTGAATTTGATCCCTTCAATAAAATACTTAATTTAAGAATATCAGAAAAAATAATAACTTAACTTCATTTTTTAAAAACATGGATGATCTCAATCTTAAAACAATATTGTGCTTTATTCCACATGTGCAATATAACAGGAGAGGTATAATGCATGGCCAGACCTGGGTTTTAACCAAGGACCTCCAAACTTTAGATGTATACTACATGTATAACCATTTGAGCTCACTGGTCACTGGCAGAAGACCCAGTCCAGTTCCACTTCACAAATATTAACTGATTAAAAGTATAATTAAGTCCTTCATTACTAGTCATTACTAGTCAAACCTGCTTTAGCAGCCACCACTTATAAATAGTTTATAAACTGTTGTCTTTGGTCACTTTCATCTCCCCAGACGAAAATCACTAAGTACGCAAATTATTGTAACAACTTACTTATGTTATTGAAGACCTTGGCTGATGCTTTATATGGTTCCCAGTAGTAGACATAGCCACCTACAGCAGCTCCGCTCACGGCCAGGACTGCTTTTATTATTTTTCCACCTGTGCACAAAGACATACTTTTATTACCTCCAACAAGAACATTTCACCACGAAAATGGAGTTACAAATTCTTATAATCATTTAAAGCCAATGTAAATTGAAGTTTTGTATTTTCAATGTTCACATTGGAATGCAACATGAGTGAGTTCAGCCCCAAATTTTTTATTTTTTTCATTTCTACGCTTTACATGTACCGTTAATAGTTGCGTATTGTGCACACTCGTGTATAGTGTGAAGGTACTTTTTGGGTGAAAAAAAGTGTTTTTTTTAAATAAAGATTTTTCCAGAAGCTGCAATAACGTAGCTTTCTGACGAGATATTTCTTTACATATTGCGTCATCTGAGGAGGCCTAGTACTAGACTCGTGGCACCAAACAGGAAGGTCACTAATGAAGGTTTACTAAATAAACACATTCACCAAAGTAATTAATTATGTAGGGAAAACATCACACAAGACCTAATCGTTAATTCGCACTAAGTGGCACTTGAAAAGATATTGCCTGTACTTCCCTAGCTTTGCTGGTCTATATTTGTTTAAAAAGATTACAAGGACAACAAAGAGGAGTTTTCCTAGGACACCAGTCATTAAAACGTTGTTTACAAAGAAATGGTGGTGTCTCTTTGTACAGCTGGGTAGACTAAGAGATTTACCATGAAGAAGAAAGCTGCCTTTCAGTGGAGATAATTTGTAATGCTTTTTTTTTAGCATAACATAACATTATGTAGCATGTTGTCATAATACAATGATGGTCTAGCTACTTCTAATGCAGCCATAACATGATGTAGCATGGTGTCATAATACAATCAGGCGTGTAGCTACCATGTAAGCCAATAAGCCCGGGCTTGCACATGATTTTGACAAGTATAGGTTTTCATGACATTATTTTTTCTTGCTGATACTATAAAGTGGAGTTTAAGTTTTGAATATATAGTATACATATGTAATTCCTCAGATATGATACAGTGTTAATAGTTAGTACAAAAATGTATGAAGTTTAGAAATGTCCATTGCATTAATTGACAGTTCCAGGCGGAACTAAACTGCTCGATTAAGAAAATTGAGAAACTCACGCCTGGCGCAAACGACTCCGAGTATGGCACAGTGGACACAGACAATCAATGTGTTTTTTTTATGAAAATATCAATTTGGGGCACGTTCGGCCCCTTTTGCCGGGGCACATTCGGCCACCCCGAATGCAACTGGTATTGTGCCAAGTGACGTCACTATTGATAACGTCACCCAATTGACCACAAAAATCATATTTTTACTTCACAAAAATTAAGTATTTTTTTCTTTGTATTCACTGATTTGTTCTGGACTTATTTTCCAACAGAATTGTAAATTGTCTTCTCTATCCTTCATGCCATACTTGCCCTGGGAGGGGCCGGATTTACCTCAGGGCGGGGCTCGTCCGGCCCCCAACTCTCTCGACCTTAAAAGTCCAATAGTTCCCAAAATATGGTCTTGTTTACGATTTGGTTATTAGTTTATGAAAGACAATACATTTCTTTTCTAAATGACATATATAAATATGCATTTCAACAGTATAGTACATGCCTTCCATAACGTCTTGAAAAAAGAAAAGGGGCCATGTTTGCCCTGGTCCCCCCTACAAATGTATTATACATGTGTAGGGGAGACCGGGGTAAGTCCGGCCCCTGTTTTAAAACTATATTATAAATTACAACATATCATTATCTCAGACATCAGGACGTGGGAAATGGCTCCTGAGACGTTCTAGAAAACAAAATTTTCATGGGGGAGAACCCCCAGACCCCCCTTACGGGAGGGGGAAGACCCACTCCCGTACCCTCCCCCTGCTCGCGCTTCGGGGGGGAGTGGGGGGGGGCTGCCTTCGGCAACCCCATGTCGGGGCTTACACATGGTAAAGGGACTAGCTACGCGCCTGACAATGATGGTCTAGCTACCTCTAATGCCAAGAAGTACTCCACTAGCAGCTCCTCCAGCTATGGACGCGGGACCATAAGGATCATCTTTGATCATCTCAACGGATGCTGAAGGAATAAAACAAATACCACTTCATGGAAGTGTTAATACATACCAGGTATGATACATATATAGTGTGTTAACTCATTCACCCCTGGAATTTCATAATAAACTATTCCAACCTTTGAATTGGAGAAGTTCAAATGCGTCTTCAGGGTTGAATGAGTTAATAACAACCCACATAAATTCTAAAGAAGATTTTCCCATCAAAGCCATGTATTTATTGTGAAATTTTATGTTCAAAACTTCAAATAAAATACATTGCCCATAGGTGGCTTTTGAAGTTGGATTTGTCCCCATGCTATAAATACCTATGCAGGTTTTAGCATATTCAATGTGACGCAGTAGATGACAACTGGTCAAGACGACCAAGTGCTGAAACACATTTCTTCATTAGTTTTCGGGCATTAATGACTTGTATATATTGAACAGAAGTTAATTTGTAAGCATTAATCATGCCAAATTATTTGAAAACGGTTCAATTAGACCCTATTAAATATAAAAGTATGAAAACTTTTTTCAATATGCATGTAGTGATTTTTTAAAACCAAATTGCAAACAAATTATGATGTTATTAAACCTCAAAATATATATTATATATGACTTTTTCAATAAAATTGCCCAACCCTATATAGCACCAGCCTAGATCAACGAGACATGTATAGGAACAAAAGTGAATTATACGAAAGAAAAAATTACTCATTGTGTGTGCATATCCTGTCTGTCCTATTTCAGTAGCACGCTGTCTTCCAGCCTGCAAATAATGTAAACAAATTAATGAAAATAATTAGTATCAATTACCACCTGATATTAAGATTTCCTATTTCTTCTTCCAGTCTGATGTAGATTTTCAATAAATGGAACAGCCTACAACAAATATCTGCTAGCTATTTCCGAAATTCTGATTATGATGTCATGATTTTCAGTCCAGATTCATGGTCTCATAACTCACAACTGATCATTTATGATATACATAAAATGGAGGTACCCAGTACAGAACTGTATATAAATCTATGTAATGTTAATGCCTTGATGAACTGGCATCCTTTAAGTAGAAATGATGCAAATTAGATTGACAAACTCCCAGGCGTGGTTGTTCAAAACATTAACTTAACATAGAACCTAAATTATATGAACAAAAATAATGAAATTCTTAATAAAACTACAGCTCTGAACAACAGCATAGCTCACCTATTTCAAGAAATAAAAAGAATTAATTAAGTCCAAAACAGGTCACTTTATTTTTTGGGTTTTCAGTGTATTTTATTTTTTCTGTTTTGAAAAATTCACTGATCATGAACTTTAGTTAAATGGACCCTTGAACTTTTGCCAAAAAATAACATTTACCTGCAAATTTGAAGGAAAATCTTTTTTTACAGATGAATAAAAACTTAAATAACATTAACTCATTCACCCCTGAATACACATTTGAACTCTTCCAATCCAAAGGTTGGAATAGTTCATTACGAAATTTCAGGGGTTAAATAAGTTAACATTGACTTTTAAAAGAACTACTTACCCTGACGTAAGTGAGCCCTGGAACCATAGCATGGGTGATTGGCGACACCCATCGCCTCAGTGTTGTTGTGATTGCACCGGCATCATCAACTTCCTCATATATCTTTGGTTTAGGATTACTATAAATCGGCAACTAAAAATAAAAAAGAAATAAATACAAACACAAACATTTCAAAAATTAATCTATTTTGCGCTACAGTACAATGGACACTATTCAATGTTGCTCATGAATATGATTGCTTAAATTATTTAGCCACTTCTGGACTTAAGTATCATCTGTAACTGTCTTTTACTAGCTTATCAACCAAGGAACATGAGGGGAAAACATTGCCTACCTAACAAGCTTTCTTTTCCAGCTATGCAGTATAATGGGACTTGCTTAACAAGTAAGCAACTTGAGTGTGGTTAGTGGCTCGTTTTGTGCCCCCTCACATGATACATCTGGTGACAGCGGTGGGATCTTAGGGTATCTACTATCTAGTAAGGTCTGTTTCCGGTGGCTATAGGGAAGGTGCATTTGTACACAGGAGGACCAACGAGGGAAGTAAAGTGTAGCAGGCATGGAAAATGACAGAAAAATACCCCCTCATAGACAAGCTATGTTTTCCAGTGATGTGGTATAACCCTTGGACAGGCTTACTATCTCAGCAACATTGGGATGGTCAGTGGCTAGATTGTGCCAGCTCACACTGGGTATATGTGATGCCATATATGGAACTTAATTAAAACAATTCTAAGGTTAAATGCTACCCTTTAAATAAATTTGTGCTAGAGGTATCGCTCTTACACTTTTTATTAGCATCAAAATTCCTTCAAATTTACATGGTAATATTTCTATATCAGATCATTCATCATTTTGCATGCTTTCAAATGTGACATTATAATTAATGTACATAATTTGTAACATGTCAGCAAGGAATAAGATAATCTGAATTTAATGTGAGCCATCACAAGCTTTTCGAAGTGAAACTGGACTGGGTCTGACACTGGTGAGCAGGTAGCTCAATTGGATAGAGCACCTGTCTAAAATTCGTAGATGCAGGGTTCGAATCCCGGTCTGGCAATGCATTTTTCTTTCCCGTTACACTTTATTTCAAGATCGAGTTACCTGTGATATTGGAATGCCTTTACTCTCCGATCTTGCTTCAACCTGGAAGGAAAAAGATCATATTTTCAATAGAGTTTCTTAAATATTACTTACCAAGGTTAAAATTCAATGTGGCCAAGTTATTATTATTGGNGGGGGGGCGACCTTACGGTGGCATTGATTTTCGTCTTGGAACATCAATTTGTGAAAACAATGATTGCTGTGTCTTTTATGTAAAGAAGTCCAATTATCTTATATTTGCCATAATGCACGAGTATGGTTGACAATGATTGAATTTGAAGCCAGCACAAGCTGCCAATGATGTAATTTCGGACTGAATCATATTCATTATTGAGATACTTGTCCGCCAAAGAACATTCAATAAAGGGATAAAAAAAATGTAAGATGCAGAATTATTTAAGTTAGAGATGAACAATATCCAAAGCACAATCAGAACATGTCAACATATAATAAAGGTTAAGTTTGCCGGCAAGTGTGTCACCTTCGCCATCTTGTCAGCTGCTCAAATACACAGTGACTATCGGCACGGTCTTGAAAATGAGCTACCCTATATCGGTTATCTCCCTTCCTTCTCACTATGCCTCATATCACCGATTTCTACAGAGAAATTAAATATGTAGATATTCTATCCCATCTCATCCTTTTTATGAATTTGTCCATATTTTCCATTTTCATTCTTTATTATAGGGCCTACATTTCTTCAATATATATTTCCAGTCGTTAGAAAATTATTGAAATTGAACTCTAACGTATCAACTCATTCATCCCTGAAATTTCTTTATCAACTATCTAGTCACCAGTTACCGCGCGTTATGTATTTCCGCGCAGCCATTTTATCAAGCTATATCTCGTAACTACGTGACATGCTGGACACAACACAAGGATATTTTAGATGTTTGGCCATCGTCTGTAAACTGACACAAAAATTACCGGCAGTTCGTCCGGAAAACATAAGAAATAATCACCGATTAAAAAACACGCATAAATATGCAGTTTTGCTTAATGCACTTTTTATCTTGCTCAAAATAAACCCATACCTGAAAAAACGGTGATATATTTCATTCATGAACCGGTCTTTTTTGTAGTCTGACAAACGTTCGAAAATGTCGTATGCAAATGAGGCCACATCTCCTCGCCGATTTTTTTCCACTTCCGAAGAGCCAAGGAAACATTCTTATATCGATAAACAGTGTTTTCAATAAAACGTAAACCTTGTAATGCAATGAACTTCCAATTTCAATTTTAAGCTGATCTTTTTCGGCTTTAACATGAGACGCACATGTGAAGGGTGGAAGAAATACCTGTCAACTAATTAACTAACTAATATCACAACAATTCACTCTTGATGGCCCGGATGTTAGTGCGCGGGTGTCTTATTGTGGGAGGAAACAGGAATACCCGGAGAAAACCAACGCTTTTATGATTTTATTTAAAAAAAATACACACACTATAATATTTTATGAATAGATTTTTTTTTCGATTATGTTACAATTCTACGTACAGGGTCTATATGTGAAATGGATCTATTTATCTTATGGACACGCGTATTACATGTAACTGATTTGTAAGAGAGTTAACGTCCTCAAGGATACAGAGAATCATCCTCGATATCTAGGGCTATGCTCCCTTTCACTCTCTGCACCCCTGGAATATGTCATTGCAAAATTGAAGGCTTGAGTGTTCGCCACCTTGTGGTTCAGATACGGAAACTAGTTTGATCCTTTGATGTATACCAACAAAGGAATCTCGCTGTCGCGAAACCGACGATAAAAGTGACTGGCTTTGCGAACGGGTGTCGCTGAATCCTCTGTAATGTTCAAAGGACAGGTATCAGCTTATATTAACGATTGGTCAAGGTCGTACCTGAGACCAATCAAATAGCTAGCCGAGTGCCTTCAATTTTACAAGTGAGGTCATGATTTTATTTCTATCCTCCCTAAAGTGACTTTCTCTCTTTTAGTTGTTTAAAATTGAGTTTTCTCGCCTTTTTTCGTGTGAATGTCCCGCCCAGCCAACTAAACTACAAAAATGATCAAAGTAATGCATTTATTTGCTCAAGGACAAAAATATCAGGGATGGCCAAACTTACCCCGGGTCCGAGCTTGCCCCGGTCTACAACTTTATATGTCTCTGTTGTAATTGGGGGAATACTTACAAAATATTTAAATTTTAAGACAATTTAATTGTGCTCTTTTTGTTTTTCTTTTCCCTTATATACTAACATGTATGGTTTAAGATTAACACTTCTGGTTTTATACATCCTTGGTTGTAAATTAACGCTGGGGTTGATAACCGTGCTGATAAACACTAACAAAAAGGTGAGATGACGAGTTACTTCCCATGTACGGAAATCTTTGACAGAAAGGCGGGAGTTACCGATGTCAAACCTGAAAGTAACAAGAAGGATAAAGAAGGTTTGTATGTTATGGTTTAACGGACAATTAGCAGAATGATTTTATCTTAAGGCCATTCTTGTAAACAAAGATGACCAAAAGAGTTAATAAGAAATGAATGTGATGTGATAATGGTTAAAATTTTCTTTCAAAATAAGCAGTTTTGTAATCGTATATCACAAGAATGTTACTATTTATAATTAGTAAACCTATTTGTTGATGATGTTGTTTTTATCTGAGAAGTGAGACAATTTATCCAAGGAATTTTGACAAAAAATAGACATAAGCATCATTCAGTTTTTGTGCACAAATATATGCAAAATTACCTGATTGTATTATTTATAATACGAAATCACTGAGGTGAATCATCGAAATCACTACTGATCAGTACAGTAAGGTGAATAGTGAAAAAGATCCGGGAGTTCACATCGACGAAAAACTAAATTTTTCCATAAACGTCCAAAAAAGCGACCAGCAAAGCAAACCAAATTGCAGGAATAGTATTCAGAAGTTTTACATATATGAGCCCAACCATATTTGTAACACTCTACAAAGCTCTTATACGGCCCCACCTCAAATACGCTTCAACGATATGGTCGCCCCTGTATACCAAGGACAAAATTACAATTGAAAAAGTCCAGCGAAGAGCAACGAAAAGAGTACCAACACTTACTAACAAATCATACGCTGAACGTTTAAGAATACTCGGTCTTGATCTACCAACCCTAGAATACAGGAGAGAGAGAGAGAGCAGACATGGTCAAAATGTACAGAATCCTTAATAACATCAACAAACTTTATAAGGATAAACTATTCCTACACTGCGAATACAGATCTACAAGGGGACACTCCAAGAAGCTGTTTAAAAGGCGCTACAAAAAACTCTCACAGGAAACTTCTTTAGCAACCGCATCACTAAACCGTGGAACTCGTTGCCTGAGGGAGTGGTCTCAATACCGAGCCTAAACTGCTTCAAGGAAAGACTAAATAAGTTCTGGAGAAATCACCCGAGGAAATTTAACCCCTCATTTTGGTATTAAGACTGGATCTACCATTCCAATACCATACTTTACATCAAGTGACTCAACTAAAAACATATGGTGTTTGGGGTGTTTTTTATGCAAACTCCACAACGGAAGGGGCTCAACCCTTCTATCTACATGTATGTGAACAAACAAGTGGAATTGTTTTTAAAATTTTAAATCCCATTATTACTATAGACATCGCTACACTATTATGATTAAGGAAATAATAAGTGCGAAACCGGAAAAGTAAGTCGCGAGTGAACGAAATAATAATGATGCATCACCACAAGCTTGAACTAGCTTTCAACGATGCCACATCAGCAATTCAGCAATAGGATTATGTTGCAAGAATGACACCCTTATATATGTTCATAATTAGTCCGCTAAAACTGACCATAATCGCAGGCTAAAAAAATCTGATCGGTCGCTGTTAAACAGGCGACCGATCATGAAGAATTATTGAGCCTGCGATTATGGTCAGTTTGAGCGGACTAGCTAGTTCATAATGTTTCAAAGACCTTAATATGTTTTCTTTTTACTTTATTCCCCATTTCAGTTATGCAATTATTCTGTACATATGAATTAGAACGAATATTCATACCCTGCCTATTCTCTGCTCTATCAGAATTCGTTCGTCCGTCGTCCACAGCTACGTTATGGCAGCTACATATGAATGTGTCCAACCAGTTGGATGTTACATATCATAAAACAACAACTTCACACATGTATAGTGCCCTCATCTGTATTTGATCATTTACACACTGGAAGAGGTTTAAAATGTAAAGTATATTATAGAATAATTTGTGATTTTTTCCAGCTCTAAAAAATATTGTATTTTTAAAGTTTTGTCAGACTATGAATACATGTTTAGTGGTAAAGAATATTGGCATTTCTTATGTAAAAGATAAGTGGAAAAGTTGAAATATAACAAGGTAACATGATCACACTAATTATAAAGATAATAACTAACTAAGACTTTATGCAAATCATACCTGAATAATTGATTCATTTCCACTCAAATATATTCTCATGATCACATGAATAAAAAGTATGTAATTAAGATCACATCAGTGCTCTTGTTTGCCTAGTTTAACAGCCAAATACAGCCTGCCTCCCCTAACTGAATAAATGCTTTATTTTCCCAAAATGAAGAAAGAATGAGCAAATTCTTCCCATTTTCAATAAAAATAATGCTATATTTTCCTAATTTATGTTGGAACAGTCTGTTGTAAAAACTCTGCAAATATACCAAATATACCAAATAAGCTGATTTTGGTGGAAGACTCCCAATTATGTACCCCAGTAACTCTAGCCCAAGTTTCCTCTGGCCCTAACACCAGACTTTTTGACATATATATGTCTAGTGTGGGGCCAAAGTGCACTGCTATATGTAAACGTGGAATTCTCTGACAGTCTGGTGTTAGGGCCAGAGGAAACTCGAGCTACAGCTGCAACTCTTGATATTTTTACAATCAGTGATTTTGCTAAATCCTAGCTTCTATATTTTGTGATCTAATGACTTCCATGAAAGAACAATGCTTTTAGTTTTGAGCTTGCAGAATCTCCCTCAAAGGTCTCTGATTTCAAGAATTATTTTTCTTGCATATTATGGATCAGCGATATATTTGTTAACTAGATTTAGTGCCCAGTGTTTGTTCCAGGTTTGAAAAGAACTGATTGGTGTTATGTACCACAATTGTACATAATTTCCTACTCTGAAGGAAACACTGCAGGTAGCCCTTCTCCAATTGCTAATAAATGCACAATTTCAGAAACTACGAAACTACAGCAAAACAAAAAATCATAATTGTTTATTACGTGAAGGGTTGACTGTCCTTATAATTAATTTTAAGATTTGATATTACAGGATTGTTTTGTGAATAAAGAACCAAACACTCTACCTAGCCATGTCTTCGGGAGCCACACATTTTGGTGTCGTTGACCAAGCAATAAAGTCGATGAAAACCGTTGAGGAGTATATTGACGTTGGTATGGAAACAACGATAGATGTTGTACAAGACTTGGTGGAAAATGATAAAGGTATTTGGTTTGAACAACGTGTCTTTAAGCCTAAACAAATAATACCTGTGTTTCCGCTAACATGCCAGAAAAAAATAGGGTAGGTAGGTCGGAAATTCTTTTTATTTTTAAATAGTTTTTACTAAGGCTATATAGAGATAGAAACCTGACTTTAATAGTCCTTCCTTGAAAATGGCCAAAATCTTCAGGGTAGGCACAAAAACATTGGGTCGGTCGGGTTAGCGGAAACACATGTATTCTTTTTTTAAGCCTTAGGTGTGAGAAATTTGAAATTATTTTACTTAGCCATATTATCAGGTTTTAATTAAACCGGCCTGCTAATATGTTGTGTGCATCCTAATTGTCAGTAATTTGAAATTTAATTGAAGTGTTACTCGTCCTATCAAAAGTCCAAAGATTAACTTATGTCTATATATAAATATATACCGTTTGAAAGGCTATAGTTCTAGATCCTGTTTTACTTAAATGATTTAGTTATCTGAAAAGTCTTTTCTCTGTTGTTTTCTTTTTGTACTAATGATTTGCGAACTTGGACAAAAGGATAATTTAAACACTATTTCCCATGGAGAACGGGACCGAATTTTGGCTCAAAATTGGACAAAGAAATCATTTTCTGATTGAAAAAAAATTGAGGACAATTTGAAACACACATTCTAATTGGGATATGAATAAAATATATACAATTCTTTTTTTAGTATACATGTAATACAGTACCAAAAAAAGCATATGAAATTTAATGTAATACAGTGTGATTTTGTGTGTAATCAAGAAAATGAGGCTGGAGTGTCGGAGCTTGAGTCCGTAATGAAAAGTTATATCAAGATGGAGTCAGATCTACACAGATTCCTAGAAGCAGTCAACCAGGTCAAACAAAAGGTGAGTTCTCTCTTCTCTCAGAATACTTTACATATATGAGGGCTTCAATCTGAAAATTTGTTTTAAAATATAAAGCATCTTATGCAAAAGGTAATTTTAAAGGTATACATTTATAGTCTGTTTCAAATTAAAGTACCCCTGAGGAGGATGCAGGGGTTGACCAGGTCAAATAAAAGGTGAGACTTCTATATACTAATCTAATATAGGAGTTCTTTCCTCTGTCAACTTATTCCGTCTTTGCGTATTGCAGAGTTATCTTCTCTTGTGAGCAGGTATTGATTGTTACGTCATTGGTTTGTGTGAGAAAATTACGTTCGTTTCTCAAAAATTGATGACGTTACTCTCACAAACCAATGCCGTAACAATCAATACCTGCTCAAAAAGAGCAGATAACTCTGCAATGCGAAAAGACGGAATATTATCTACATATATATTTTGACATAAATCTAGACATCTTATTAAAACATTAATATATTATGCTAAGGTTTATAAGTTACAGTCTGTTTCAAAGTTTCAGTCATTAGTTAATATTTAGTATTAATATAACTTCCATATTATTACAGTTATCAATATGTATTCATTTTAATGGAAAACTGTGGTTCCTATAGAGCTGGATTTTTTGGGCTTAACGCCTCACAACAGCCAGGGTCGTATGAAGATTGATGCCTCACTAGCCATGTACACTGCTTAAAAGAAAGAGTAGGAAAATGAGAAAAGGAAAAACACAGATCCCAAGCAGTGCAATGGGAGCAATAGATCAATTATGGTGTTTTTTTTCGAAGTTCCTTAAACAGAAAACATAGAAGGAAATCCCCTTGGGTCTGATATTAGTCTTACGATTACATGCATAGGGATTATAATATTGTAATACAGTCAAACTTTGATGCTTCAAAATTTACTTGACCATTGGGAAACATTTGAAACATCAATACCTTGTCTTAAGAATGTTTAACTTCTTGGAGATCCTGTATAAACTGCATAAGACTCGCTGTAAGTTTTAAGTGACAGAACACAAGGCAAGATATTCAATTTGAAATATATAAATATTGGATTTAATGTAATTCGAAAAATATGTTTTATATACGGTAGTTTGCATGTTTAGATGTTAAACTGACCCAGGGACATCTCAATGTTCTCATACAGGTACATGTATTATTAGTTGTGATTTTCAACGTTTAAGTAATAATCAGACCTTGGTTGTAGTTTGAAACAGTGAAAAATTCAACTCATTAAAAGTTTGATTCATGAATGGAATTATCAGTAATATCATATAAGTAAAAAAATCTGGATTTTGTCGAAGGTGAGACACATCGAGAAGTTTGAATTTTCTAAGTTTGATTTATGGAAGTTTGACTGCATAGATAGAAAATGATTAAATTGTTTTATTTTATTAAAAAAGACTTACTTGAATAGTAAAGAATTTGTCTGCTGGATAACTGAAATACGCGTTAGTGAAGCGGACGTAAAACCTATCAATCAATCAATCAATCAATCAATAGTTAAGAGAAAGGGTGACAAAAACAGATATTACACAGATTAGGTGACAGAGATGTTGTGCTATCCAAGTAAAAATTAACCCATTCACCTCTGAAAACATATTTGAACTCAAAGGTTGGAATAGTTCATTATGAAGTTTCTAGGGTGAATGAGTTAAAAATCAAATTGCCTTAAGGATATATGCTACCTTAATTACTGTGACATTCCTTGTCAAATCAGGGGTGAATAAGTTAAGAGTTGTTTCCCTTTAAGACATCCAAGTCACGGGAGCGTTTGGATTTGGAGAGCCTGCTAGATAAGACATTAGAGGAACTGCCAGAGGGCAACGTGGAGCTGCTTTGTCACGACCATGAAAAGTTTAAAGACTTCAAGGAGAGGATATTAGAAATTCAGCATCCAGGTAAACACTTACAATCAATTTCTACCAGTAATTGTGGTTACATACCAGCTGTAACATGGTAAGGATGAAAGACCAAGGTTGAAAATACATAAATTTTATAAATTTGTATTGGATCAAAATTAATGTTTTCGCTTGCTTCAACACATTGACATATAATTTTTTGATACATATAAATGTATAATTTGTATATTAAGGTAAATTTAGCATGTTATTGATATTTTTACAATTTATGTATGATGCAGTTAAATCTCAACCCAATATTTGTCCAGAATCAGGTTGAAGCAAAAATCTGATTCCGAGGATTGAAATTTCTGTCTACGTTGCACAGGGGGTTGATTCTCATGGTTTTCCTGTCTGCTATTTTGACAAATCAGTATTTGAATGCAGAATCACATTATGACTGAGTTATTTGAGTATGACATATCATATGCATTGTTGTATAATTCATGCTGTCTTGATCAAGGGCTTGGTTTGGTTTGTTTGTGCTTTACGTCCTTTTAATGGCTATGGTGTTTTAAGGATGTGCCAGGTTTGGTGGTGAAGGAAATTTTGAGTTCCCGGGAAGAAACCCCACTGACCTGCGGCCAGTACCTGGAGACTGCCCAATGTAGGCTTCGAATGCGTGACCAAGTGGTGGATGGCTAGTGATCGTATATGGTCAGACACCTTAACCACTTACCCACTGCAGCACCAGTTAGACAGAATTATCGAGCACCATATAAAAATGCTGATATTCCTGTCCATAGACAAGAACAAAAACACACCAGAGGCACTTTTTTTACTGAACTTTAGCAAAATCTATGTAAGACAGAAAAGAGTTAAATGTATGTAAATTTGTCTTGTTTGTACAGACGATGAGTCTACACCAGCACCGTCCATGCCTGGGTCATCAGGTACAGCCGATGATGATGTTGCCATGACACAGCCGGAGATCAACACACGCTGTCCATATACGGGAATGGAGATGAAAAACCCTGTGAAAAACAAAGTCTGTGGTCACAAGTATGACAAGGAGGGCATAATGCAGCACATCAAAAACAAGGGGAAACGTGCCAAGTAAGATATTATGTGTCCTCTTCTAATGAAGGGAGACATATTGTATTAGTACTGGTTCTTCTAATCGCAACTTGGCAGGGCCATAAATTTTAAACCGTTAAAGATATCTTGATGAAACTTTAGATTCATTAATTGATACCAAATTGTATAAGTTCCCTATGAGTAGTGGTTGAACGTGATTTTTATCTAAACCCGAGTCAGTTAATTTCAAAATTGTAACCGTCAACAAACAGCTGAATGTTTTTTCACAAATTTAAAATTAATTTACAAGAGTCACTGTCTGAATGAGATAATTCTGGTTTTGTTGTATAAGATTCTTTGGTTTTATAATTAAATCAAATTAATGTTTATTTCCATGCAATGCATGTACTTACTGTGTTGCTACATTTCTTGTCCAAGGTAATTAAACAGCAGCATTGTAAATTCAATACGAGATAAATGTGTGTCATATACATGTACCCTTGAAGTTTAGACTTTAACTCATTAACCCCTACATATTTAAACTGGACTTGCCCAGTCTTTGATTTGGTGGTAAGGTTCAAATGTGACTTTAGGGGTGAACGGGTTAAGGATCCCGCTGCAGGCAAAACACTAGAGAATTCCACTTTAGGTTTTCATGAATAGAGTAACCTCCCCTATATTCGATTACGATATAAGTGTAGAGGGATGTGGCTAGGGTACTGCCACTGTCAGGTAGCTCAGGTGGTTAGAGCGACTGTACAATGATCGGTGGTCCTGGGTTGGAATCCTTGTCTGGCCCTGTAGCAATTTCACGCTTCCAACACTTTTGCTGTATTTTGTTCTTCATTTCATTGTTATTATTCATAAACATTTTGATGCTTTTCTTTTTAGGAATGATTTATCAAAGCTTTAGTCATGCAAGTTTCTAATGCATAGTTAAATTTTTCAGTNAGTTGAATTTTTTAGCAGTGGTACGGGGATCGTTAACAAATTTCAGCAGTGGTACGGGGATCGTTAACAAATTTCAGTAGTGGTACGGGGATCCTTAACAAATTTCAGTAGTGGTACAGGGATCGTTAACAAATTTCAGAAGTGGTACGGGGATCGTTAACAAACTTCAGCAGTGGTACGGGGATCCTTAAAAGTGACGAAGTGTTGAACTTGTAAATGTTACACACAGATTAATGGTATGTTCCAGGTGTCCCATCAATGGCTGTGGTAATACGAAGGCCTTAGAGGTCAGCTGTCTAGAGGAAGACCGAGAACTCAAACGCTTCATCGAACGTAAACAAAGAGGAAAACGCTCACAGCGGACTTAGTATCAGAGCTACATGAAGTGAACGTGAATCAGTTTTAAATATTTGTGTTATAACAATGAACCTTTGCCAGGTTTAAATCATGTGACCTTTACTAGTTTTAAATATTTTTGTTCTAACAACAAACCTTCGATCAACTTGGATCAGAGTTTGGACAGATGATAAAAAGCAGGCTATGCTAGGACGTATACAAAGAGGCAAATTCTCAGAGCGGACTAAGTGTCTGGGTCAAATCATGTGACCTTTACCTGTTTTAAATATTTTTGTTATAACAATGAACCCTTCAATCAACTTGGATACATAATAAGCATTTTGGACAAATGTTTATTTCATTTCATGATAGAACTCAATATACTACTAGATGTTAATGATCTTTACTTATGATTTTGTTCTCATGAGTGTATATTTACCACCGTATGGCGTTGCCACTATAATACCCAACCAAATCAGTTGGCATTCATAAAAGGCTAAGAGTGATAACATTTTCCATGAGATGAACAGATTCCAAAAATGGTAAATATATATAAATTCCAACAAATACAAATCCAACATGAAGCGCTTCATTGCATTTGCCTTTCTCCACTCTCCTAGGAATGCTGTCGTGTCAAAGGGGCTGTGTATATGTAGTATCGGGGTATTTAGAATTTCGATTTCTCAAAATGTTCCAAACAAAAATTTGTTTAGACTTTGATTTCAATTTTATGCTTAAATTTTTATCCTTTGACAGAAATAAGTGTTTCTTTTAATGTGTCATTTTGTTTTATGTATTATTTTTTCTTCTGACAAATGAAATATGACATTAAAAGGAATGCAGTGTAACGTATTGGCTGTAATTAGTGCCCCGCCCCCTTTTTGGGGCTTATTGAATGATGTTAACGCCCCCTTTCCCACACACTCTATTTGGGCCCTCTTTAGTTAACCTTTGCATGGTTTATATCAGACACTACAGTCTTGCAATCTGATTACGGCAAATATGGTGCTAATCTTCTTTGTAGATGTTTAAGAAACTTGAACAAATGACTGGTACCTTGTGCAATTGCCGATTGTTTTTAGTTCCACTGTTTTTATTGGAGTTATTCCCCTTTTCTGATTTTTTATGAGGGATCGGGTATACAAGTAAGTCTGTGAGTGACAGTTCTAGTTGCTGACGTTTTGAGGAGGAAATTGAAGATGTATTGAATGAGAAAGGGAGAGAGGACTTGAGATGGATTATAAAGTTGTATGGAGAGAAAATTGAAGATGTATTGAATGAGAAAGGGAGACAGAACTTGTGATGGATTAAGAGAAGATTTAAGATGAGGGAGAAAAAGGGAGAGAATGAAAGTTTTGTGGAGAATATTGAACATAATTATATTAAATAAGAAAGGGAGAGGTCTTGAGATTGACTACAATTGTACTTTAACTCGGGTGACTGTTAAGGCCAAAGGGCCTCTTGTTAAGTTGCCAAACACTCAGTAAGCCTTAACAAATTAAGAATCTTTCCCCATCTCACCTTGGGGTGTTGGGTTGAAAGACTTTCTTCATCTCAACCCAAAGGGGTTAAATGATTCTATTAATACAAGTTGAATTGCATGTATATGTCAAACTGTAATGTTACCAAAATTTAGTCGTGAATTGAGAGTTTGTACTACATGTGCTTGCCAGTGATATACCAGTATGTCTTGTATAATATGTGCAGATGTTATGGGTGAAATAAAAGATTGAGAAAATGGTAAAGATAAATTAAGTTTGTGTTATTTATTACCAATGTACCACCTACTCAGTGCTGGACACCAGTCATTTTGTTCAATTTCCTTCTGGTGAACTACAATGTTTGTGCGACTCTTAAGGTCATATGACGACGGCATCCACCGATGACTGGACATCACCAAAGTACCATCTCACTAAACGTCACAGCTTTGACACAGCAGCGTGACCAGGGCTTTTTGTTTTGTTAATTTTGGAAGGGGCCTTTTAGATTTTGTCTTGTTTTGGGGAAAAAAATACCAATTAGAAAGGGAATTTTCAGGAGTAAACTGCAAATTTTGGAAATAAGTCATACATATGAAATAGTTTCCACTGGGAATAGGGCCCATTAGCAGACCCAAGAATTCCCTGATGACACTCCACCTGGTCACATGTAACGGTTTAACAAAAAGAAATATTAGGATATCAGTTGATGGGTATCAGAGGTGTAGGGTGGTCGTGTGGCGCAGTGGATATAGGACTTGCCTTTCACCAAGGTAGGCGGGGTCTGATTCCCGGAATGTACATGAAAAGGTATGAGGTCACCTGCCCGATCACGTCAGATTTCTCTGGGTACTCCGGTTTCCTCCCACATTAAGAGTTGGACCCCTCACGGGCACTAACATCCGGGCCAACAAGAGTGATTTATATAAGTCAAAATAACTTGTTCCATAATTGTTGTAAAATAAAGAAAGTTGACATAGTTGATATCTATGATTATACCTACCGATAATACATTTACAGTATCTAAGCCGAGTCTTCAAAATCTGATAATAGATTAACAACTTCAATTTTTTATTTTTTAGAATTATCTGAAAATTTACAAATATTTCTGTCTCCTGCCCATAACGTCGAGTACCGAAGCGAAATCAACCGTGGGTATCTGACAATGTGTCCATAATTGATCATGCTGAATCTCTGAAGATACAGTTTAAGTTTTGAATTAAACGTCTTTCAACATAGACCTGATATAAGTTCTGCATTAAGCTGTCTATGGGGCTTTGGTGTCATACAGCAGGTTCTCCAGTATTTTCGATACCCCAGGGGTTACGCTCACTTCGCTCTCTGTACCCAATCCTCGATATCCAGGGGTTACCCTCACTTCGCTCTCTGCACCTCAGGAATATGTCGTAGCAAAATTGAAGGCACATGGCTAGCTATTTGATTGGTCTCGGGTAAAAAAACCTGACCAATCACTAGGCTGATACCTGTCCTTTAAAGATCAAAGAGGAGCGACGCCCAACTTCAAAGCCAGTAAGTTTTACCGTAACGCGACCGCAAGATTCTTTTGATGTACATTATAGGATCAAAATAGTCTTCTTGTCTCATCAACAAGGTGGCAAAAACTGAGCCTTCGATTTTGCTATAACATATTGAGTATGCCGGTCATGCAGTATACGTAAACAGTTTCTATCACAAAGTCATATATACTGATTGTCATGAGTTACTTTATTTCTCGTTGTTTCATATTTAATTCAAACGAGTACAAAAGTTCAAAATTACTACAAAATCAATATTTGTACCTGGTAACACATTATATAAAATATATTCATGAAAGAATGTAAAATATATATCTCACAAAAAAATCCCTGATTTACATAATAAATAATTATTATGAAGAATGCGTTTGATCAATATAGGTTAATTGCACACTTCAGTATTTTTTTAATTTACAGTAATCATAATTATGATAATATTCCACATTTCTTAATTGCAAATCGGACATATAATAACAGTAAATTTTGGCTAGAGTGAACCTTGAGTTGCTTACACACAATATTTTCTCACGATATTAGCACTCCACATTGGCCAAGCTACTAAGTATAATCTTTGAGCATTCGCTTCTGTATAGCGGTTGTATTTCGCGAGGGGTTTTAATTTCGCTATATTCACGCTTTGACTTATATCCGTGAAAATTTTAAACACCAGGTAAATTATCGAAAAATGTTAACCACTTTTACGGACCTTATCACAACATGTTGAAAATACTTATAACCCAACGGCCAACGCTGTTATGCAAGATTAAATAAACTCAAATCAGATTATCACTGGACAACTGCAGGGCAGTCCATGTAAAAACAACACTAACATATAAGTGGTCACAACATATTTATGTGTACATAAAGTAGATGATTAATTGATTACAGTTTACACCTATAAAGGTACATACACATTTGATTTTCTTTCGAGTGAAGTCACTGGCGGAGGACGACACTCGAGATCAGTGTTTTCAAACGGTTTACCTGTATTTCAAGGTTTAACCCTCAAATAATGACACTCAAAAAATACTTTGCACAACACATTGGATTCGGGTGCACAGCGAAATTTATCCTCTGCAAATATGTACTGAATACGAAACTGCGAAATGTTGACCCTGCAAATTCAAAGCACTATATAGTAATTTTCAACCTTAATTTCGCCCTCTGTAACGAGGGCAAATGAATCATTTCAAGGTATATTAGTAATCAACATAAATGATTACATCACTGAATATAAAGGGCAAAATAAACATTGGGTGAATATGGATTTTACAAGTGAAGGGCTAAAGTTTGGCAAGGTGAACATTTTCCGGTATACAGTATGTTGGAGCGCTAGGAGAGGTGACAAATCAAACAAAGGCGCATTACATTAAGGTTTTACTGCAGAATGTTGATCATAGCCTAGAGCCTCTTTTGCAAACCTGGTTCAAACAGTTTGTCTTTTTTTAAATGTAACATTTTTGGGGTATATACTGTATAACACGAAATGTTCGTTGGTGCTTTTCTTCATGGTTTGAAGCCATTAAGATTGTTTCGTGGTACAAACTTTCACGGATATCCTTTATTAATAAACAGTAGACACGTATATAATTCCAATTCGTTGTTTTTATTTTAGTGGTTCAATTACAACCACGAAAACCACAAATGTTTATATACAACGAACATTTCATGTTATACATTAAGTCCTGGCAGACCTACAGAAGTGTATGCAAAACTTGCAAGGCTTTGTCAAGGCTCTCCTGAAAGCAGCATCAGATCACTAGGTCCGACCTTATTTCATACAATAACAACTCTGGTCCAAAAGGTTCAACCGTTTGGATTGCGATAAACGACTGCAGCCTAGTTTTAACAAAATTACAATGAAAACATGGCAATGTATACAAAAAACTGTATCTAAATTATTTGAAATATAAAATCATCTTATCCCGTCCTGATTTTAGTGGGTTTTTTTCAAAATTCTATTTTAATAAGTCGTTTCCATGTAATAACACTAATGCTGTAAATAAATATCATTACAATTTTGAATAACTGAAAATATAAAATCTGTCTAATGCTCACAAATTTTAGCACAATCATGCTGTCTAAACAGATTAGTGTTATGATGAATAGGTGTACACACAATTTATACAACAAAACAATGTACAGAAACTTCAAATAGCACAATTAAAATTTCAGGAAATATTTAAAATGAAATATCCCCTTCAGTTGCATGTTCAAATAAGAAATACTGTGGTATACATGATATTAATTATTTTCATCTTATGAATTTAAACTCTTGCTCTTCTGGGGGGAAAGTGTATCATTGTAATTATCTTGTTGACAATTAATGTTAAATTCTCAAATTATGTATTTCCAGGAAAACTGCAAAAGAATGAGTTAAATCACCTATTTTTGTTCATTTTAAATCTAAGCAGTTATATTTTAAATTTTATTTTTAATAATTATGAAAATAACACCTAATATTACTAATTGTTCCTTTAAGTCAATGCTTGGTCCTCCACAGGAATATTATTCCATTATCGTTTCAGTTTTAATTGTATACATGATGCTTGAGTAAAGCAAGGAGAGACCACTCTCGTGTAATGTTTTGTCTATTACAGACTAAAGTGTAAAGCACACACTTGAATGTTCGATGCACTGGTCTACAATTTGCTTTCCTTCTTCAATGGTGCGAGGTACTTATGGAAGGAACTATGTACCTGAAACAAATGAAGTACAAAACAATTTACAGCAACAGTTGAGATTTATCAATGTGTAGCGGAACTAGATTGGGTTGATCGTTGGCGACCAGGTAGCTCAATCGTTAGGGCATCTCTGTAAGAGTCCAGAGGGTCCTGGGTCCAAACCCCGGTCTGGCCTAGCATTTTTCCGCTCCTACTACCGATTGAAGGAAAATTTGAAAAGAAAAACAGATTTTCTTCACAAGTCTTGAATTTAAACTTGAACAAGAGGACTACAGGGCCTGTATCTCTCACATGCTTGTTTTGTTATCTAAACTAGAGAATAATTTGAAAAAAACTTGGATTAGTTAAGGATCCCTGTCCCACTGCACTGTGGTTTTTCGTATGTACAGCAACCTCCTGATAATTTCATTTTGGATATAACTGTAGCAGATTTGGTCCGTGACACTTCTGTTGTCCAAATGGCTCAAAGAATTCAAACATGAACACAGGGAGAAGACAAATCTATCTTATATTATGCATAAAAAGAAAAGATAACTTAGCCAGCAATTGCCTAATTATGTTACTTTGAGACAGCCAAGATGTCCTCTAAAAGATTTTCCGTGATATTTTAACAAATTTATATCTACATTACCTGGGAGAAAGATCCTAAACAAAGCTTCAGCCTAATGTTCAAAATACATATGTAATAAAAAATCATGTGGCGCCTTATCCCGCATATCATATACTGTGGAGTTTATTCTCTCCTTCATATGCATCTGTGGACAAGAACAGGGTTTAAGATATGTATTTCTTCCCCATTGGACAGAGATAGCCATCACACTTCCGGCCTGGGAAAGATAAAGACGGACATATTCCACTTTCATAACAATTGTCTAATGACATGACATCAAAATGCATTGACATCATGTTGAAAATAGGAGATCACAGAAGATAACTCTGATTTGCTGGAAATTATACGTCGATCAATGTTCGCATTTCATGAAATAATCATTTTATTTGAGTTGGGAGAAAAATCTCAACCCTATAGGTAAGATTCTTTAACCCTTTCACCACTGTAGACCATAATGGACCCATCCATATCAATGCATGGTAAAGTCTACTAAAGTTACATAGGGGTGAAAGCGTTAATGTCTGGCTCTCGACAAAGTCTTGGACTAGACATTTAAGAATCTGATCCCATGGGGTAAGCTTCTTTAAATGTTACACCCCATTTAACGTGTGTGATGTCACAATGGGACAACAATGATCATTATCAATACCATGATGCAGAAAGTGTGAAACCTATTTAGTGGCTTCCGAGTTCTCCCTTGTGACTAGAATGGAAGGAAAACTCTTTCATGTCCAGAAGTGCAGGATAGGGGAATTCCACTTTTGGAATTTTTGGATAGGTGCAGAACCCTCAGCAAACCACAGGTTTTATTCAATTTGAAAAACTGGGCTAGGGTTGGATTTCCCTATCCTACACCCCTAGACATGGCAGAATCTTATAATCCAAATATGCCTATCCCATGTTCCATCACACGGCGGATAGCTAGTGTATACCTGTATACTTACATCTGTGTCATTAAGGGGAGACGACTTGGCGTACTTGTACAAGGCTTCGTACACCTGTCCGTCGTATCGTCCGAGACAACTGTGTAACTCGTTGTCGTGGTACTCAAAGGCATCAACAAAGGCGACGGCATTCGCCCTCACCTCCTCCAATAAAGCAGACAACCGTCCGTTCAACATGTTGATCTGGGTCTCGTTGAGGAACCCGTCCTAACAACAGAGAGAGGGAACTGTTACTATAGTAACAGAAAAACGTAACCGACAACATGCAAAATGGATTCAAAACCGAAGCTCTAGACAAATTTGATTTGGGGATAATACCAGGGTCTCGTGACTGAATTACCTGGTTAGTCTGAAGACCCTATGAACTGTCTGATTTCAGTAAGGGCTGATGAAGGCAACCAGAAGGTCGCTGAAAGTTACCCGTGAGACATGGTTAAATGGTCGTTTAATATCTCTAGTCAAATGTTCCCATCACCTGGCACCTTGATTTCAGTAAGGGCTGAAGAAGGCAACCATGAGGTCGCCGAAAGCTACCCGTGAGTAGTACTTAGTTGAGAGACATGGTTAAATGGTCGTCTAATATCTTTAGTCAAATGTTCCCATCACCTGGTACCTGCTGTCACAGACAACTTACACAGTTTTCTATTACACAGGAAAAACAAATACAGTTAACCGTTAAAGTCACTGAATCCTGGAAATTCCAGCGGTTACCTTCTCTGACATTCCAGCATCCTTATAATATTGTAAAATATGTGGATTAATTAGGTTGCCTTACAAACATCAGCTGTAGGGAATTTCCCTTTAGCTTAGCGGTAGAGCATAGTTTGTAATAGGACAAGGAAAAGTGATAAAGCTAGTGCCGGCGCCGGGGCTCGAACCCGCAGCCCTTGGCTCTCTGGTCTGATGCTCTACCGCTGAGCTAAAGGGAAATTTCCTACAGCTGACACTTGTAAGGCAACCTTATTAATCCACATCTTTTACAATATGTTGCAATGAAAATAAGGCTATGTGCTCTCCAGCTTGTGGATGATACAAACAGAATAGTTTAATCCTTGAGGTACATCAAAAGAATCATCCTTCACTTCGCATTAATTTTTTGTTAAAGTCTATTGCATCCTGTGTTCATGCTTACTATTGTGAATGCATATGTTCCTTGTGAATGTGTGTTATTTTGCTGCTATAAAATTCTTGTAAATGCCCTCAATATTTGAGAGCAAGTGTGTATTTATTATTGCCATCATGTCATTGTCATGTTTAAACGTGTGTAAAGCACAAAGGCATTGTTGCCTATTGCAAATTTAAAACAAGAGGCCCAGAGGGCTTGTATCGCTCACCTAAATGTGTTTAAAATATTTGGTATGAAGTAAAGATATAACACTCAATGGTTGATGCTGTAAGTACATATGAAATTTCAGAAAGATCCATCCAGTACTTGAGAAATAGCGAGAACAAACTCAAACAGAGCCCCACCCCTATGCCCCTAGGGGGGTCATACCCACTGTTTATACAAAAAGTCCCCTTGGCCCAAGGATGCTCCAGACTAAATAAGGATAAAATCCCCTAATCCCGATGGTCGAAGAAGGATTTTAAAGGTTTTACCTCTATTTCTCCTATTGGGCCCCGCCCTTCTGCCCCCTGGGAAACCACAACCACTGCTTATACAAAATTGAGTCCCCTTGGCCCAAGGATATGAAGCATCCTTGGGTGCTGTCATACGTACAGTACAGAAGAAGGTTTTTGAAGAATTTGCTATGTTTCCCCTATTGGGCCCCGCCCCTCAGCCCCCAGGGGTGCCACACCCACCATTTATACAAAATTGGTTCCCCTTTGCCCAAGGATACTCCACACCAGATATGGACCAAATCCTTTCATTCAGACAGAATAAGAAGTATTTAAAAGAATAATTTGCTATGCCTGCCCTATTGGGCCCCGCCCTTCTGCCCCCTGGGAAACCACAGCCACTGCTTATACAAAAGTGAGTCCCCTTGGCCATAGGAGCCAGACCAAAATAGGATAAAATCACTTAATCCCGAGGGTAGAAGAAGGATTTAAAAAGTTTTACCTTTATTTCCCCTATTGGGCCCACCCCTCAGGTCCCAGGGGGCACCACACCCACCGTTTATACAAAATTGGTTCCCCTTTGCCCAAGGATACTCCACACCAGATATGGACCAAATCCTTTCATTCAGACAGAATAAGAAGGATTTTAAAGAATAATTTGCTATGCCTCCCCTATTGGGCCCCGCCCCTCAGCCCCAAAGTGGGCCACACCCACCATTTATACAAAATTGGTTCCCCTTCACCCAATAATGCTTCAGACCAAATATGGACCAAGTCTTTTCATTCCTACAGAAGAAGAAGAATTTTAAAGAATTTGCTATATTTCCCCTATTGGGCCCGGCCCCTCAGCCCCCAGGGGGGCCAGACCCACCATTAATACAAAGTTTGTTCCACTTCCCCCAAGGATGCTTCTGACCAAATATGGAACAAATCCTTTCATTCCTACAGAAAAAGAAGGATTTTAAAGAATTTGCTATATTTTCCCTATTGGGCCCCGCCCCTCAGCCCCCAGGGGGGCCACACCCACCATTTATACAAAATATGTTCCCCTTCCCCTAAAGATGCTTCTGACCAAATTTGGTTAAAATCTACTGGGCCGTTCAGGACAAGTAGCGTTTTAAAGCAAAAGTTGACGGACGGACGGAAGACGGACGCTGCGCCATGGCATAAGCTCACTTGCCCTTCGGGCAGGTGAGCTAAAAAAAGATAAAAAAAAGTTATATCATCAAAAGAATCGCTTTGCAGTAAACTTGACGGACTTTGAGTTGGGTGTTGCTCTCCTTTTATTTTCAAAGGACAGGTATCAGCCCAGCGATTGGTCAGTTTTTTAACAAGTAAATGGCTAACTGTGTCTGTGCCTTCGATTTCTTCATGACATATTTCAGAGGTGCAAAGAACGTGAATGAGCGTAACTGTTGGAATTTTGAAGATGCAGTCACTGTATGTGCACATTACGAAATTGCTATTGTCACTCGAAATGATAATTGAATTGTTATTTTATCAGAAACATACATTGTAACATGTATTACTATTACATTTGAATTAAATTAAAACTATTCTAAGACCAACCTCGGGTCAATTCCAAAAAGTGGTCCCTTTAGGCAGGTATGTGGTCTCTTAATACAGGTTAGTACACAATAGAATCACAACAATGTCCGAGTCTCAGAGTGTAAAAAATACAATAAAAAACAAACAATGCTGTGAGGGAAACAGTAAAATTGTCACTCAGTGATTATCTACATCTACAGCATAATTAACTCATTCACACCTGAAATTTCATAATGAACTATTCCAACCTTTGAATTGGAATATTTCAAATGTGTCTTCAGGGGTGAATGATCATGAGTTAAGGGGTTAGGAATCTTACTTGAGAAAACTGTCCCATGTTCTCTATCATTCCATTGACAGCATACAGTCTGCATAAGGTTGTCAGAGCTGTCCTGACCTTGGGGTCAAGGTTTGCAGAGGTCACAAGATTGATGAAGGTCTTCACCACAAACAGATGACAGCTTGCCTAAAAAAAAGAAATTATTTTGTCTGCTCATTCGATTGAAATCTTTCTTGATTTAAAGAAATATTGAGGGATTTTCTGTGTATCTGTTTCTGGAATAAGTCCATACCTGAATCTTTGTACTACACTCCTATGTATTGACCAAAATTTACAAGACTCCAAGATTTGTTTATTACCAGGGTACTCTCAGACATACAAAGCATGAAACAAGGGGTCATGTATTCTTAACATTCATTGTACAAGGTGGACAACAATACATTCAAAGATCACAAATCAATTATCTGTACATTCAACAGTTGTTCTAGTCTTTTTAGGAATTAACTGATAATTGATATAGTACTTGTACATTGGGAATAGCAAATAAACTTTGCATTTTCATAAAGCTTCGGAAAGTATAATAAAATTTTGGTATGTAAAATTATCTGATTTGTTTAACTGATAAATGTGTTCACACTTAGACCAATAGTGAAACCCATCTCCAATACCGTTAAAACTTAGATTACATTTCTGAAATTATTCAAATTAAGCTTAAACAAAAACTCAAAATCTGCATTCTAAAAAAAGGACACATGAATAAAGTAAACAAGAGATCCCAGAGGGATCTTGGCACCCACCTTTGTACCATCTTCATTAGTTCTTTGTCAGTTCGATCTTTTCTCTTCTTTCCTCTAATCTGTTTGATCGAGTCATGTTAACAGTAAATGCACCTTGAGGTAACTTTTGATCTAAACTTAATACTGATGTGTATGAAAGCCAACCTTCAAAGTGAGTTTGTCATTTCACATATTTACTAGTACAGTACTTAATGTGAAAGAAATAGAATCGATCATTGCAATATGAGAAAGATCTGTTTAGTTCTTCTTTTAATCCATTTTGTTTTTATGATCAGTCTCAAAATATAACATACACAACGAGGGATCAAGGGGAACCTACATTTAAAATTTGAGAAAGATCCCTCCCGTACTTCCCGAGAAATAGCGATAACAAACTTTCACTATCAAAATCCAAGATGGCTGCCTGTCGGCCATGTTGTTTATCCGATCAGTCTCTAAAATTGCCCTGCACAGCTAGGACCAAGGGGAACCTACATATAAAATTTAAGAAAGATCCCTCTAGTTCTTCCGGAGAAATAGCGGTAACAAACCTACACTATCAAAATCCAAGATGGCTACCTGTCGGCCATGTTGTTTATCCGATCAATCTCAAAAGTTGCCCTGCACAGCTAAGGACCAAGGGGAACCTACATATAAAATTTGAGAAAGATCCCTCTGGTACTTCTTGAGAAATAGCGATAACAAACTTTCACTATCAAAATCCAAGATGGCTGCCTGTCGGCCATGTTGTTTATCCGATCAGTCTCAAAAGTTGCCCTGCACAGCTAAGGACCAAGGGGAACCTGCATATAAAATTTGAGAAAGATCCCTCTGGTACTTCCCGAGAAATAGCGATAACAAGAATTGTTTACGGACGGATGACGGACAACGGACGTACGACGGACCACGGACACAAGGTGATTTGAATGTTTCAGACACATTTCACACATTTTCTACCTCATTAGGATCAGGATATAGAGAATTAGGGAGATCTTCCTCATCAGAGGTTTCAGAGGTTGACACCTATGTACACAGGTTTCCTGATTAAAAAGGTTCTATTTACAAAGAAATGTATACAGTGGGACAGCTGGTCCAAAATAAGTTTTATTTACCGTTTCACCTCTATGTTACTTTAATAAACTCCACCATAAATTGATATGGATGAGTCCATTATGGTCTACAGTGTTAAAAGGGTTACTATAAGACAGGGTTTTGGATTGAAAGGTTTTCAGATTTAGCAGGTTCCACTGTAAAAGGAAGAGCGCCATTACCTTAGCGGCCCACACCATCTGTATAGAGCTCTTGTTGGTGGAATCCCACACCTTATTTCCCGCCTTCATCCAGAAAGTTATGTTTAGTGCGGCTGCCTTGATTAGTCTGAAAATCAAATATAACTTTACAGATGACACTTAAAGGGAGTAATGCCGTATATTTCATACCCAGGAAACAGAAAATTAGTGCTATAAATGCATAAATATACCAAAAATAGAGACATTTGCGCGGCCATACTGTCAACTTTGTTGTATATGGACACAATTAACGGTATTGAACTCTTGTGTTTCTCGGCTGCTGTTTGTATACAGCGCTATGCCCGTTTACCTGGAAGACTGCCGAATAGATCACATGGTCCATCACGTGACAATTCTGTCTTGGCTCGTCACAGCAAAAATGGAAACTGATGTGTATGTAAACAAAGACACGTGTGTCATTTTTAAGTTTTACACCTTGTCTCTCTTTTCTTATGCATGTCTCGTTGCTGGATAATATTATTTTATCATAAAATAAACAAGGGTCATTGTAAATCACAATTGCCACGGATGATTATTGTTTATCATTAAGCATGTTAACAGACACTTTGTTTTATGACATTAAGGGACATTTCTGGCCTCATTGAGGATTTTGAATTAGTTAGAAAGTATTGAAATATGAAATATCAAATTCACTCGACAACTGGTTTAGGAGATATGGCATTACAAAGAGAGACATAAACCAGCATTTTCATAATAAAATATGTGAATATCGTCTGGTGTGCGCTATTTGGTTGAAAATTGACCATTTTGAAGGAAATTAAGTAAACACTTTTTAATTTTTGAAAGCCTCTGCATGTCACAAACAAAATAAAATTTGACATGCTTAAACATTGTCAAACCAGTGTTCATCCGTAGAAAGGAATTTTTGTTTGTCATGTGCGCAGGCTTTCATTTCTGCATCCTAACTGTCCATATTTCGTCTATTTCTGCGTAGCAACGTAATTTCGTTGCAATGGTAGGGCATCTATGCATGCGCATTGGAAAAAATGTTCACCAAGAAAGATAGCCCCAATTTACCAATATGGCCCCAATTTACCAATATGATGTTCATAACAGAAACTGGTAAATAAATTCAAGTTGATTTTTTTTAAGTTTTTATGAGGCCAAAAAATGACCCATAAGTCCTTTACCGTTGCGCGACCTACAGATTATTTTGATGTACATCAAAGGATCAATCTAGTCTCCTCGTCTCATCCACAGGGTGGAACACACTGAACCTTTGATTTTGATATGACATATCGAGGATGGTGGGGGATTGGATTTGCTTTGATAGCCATTGTTTCTTTGTGACAGCAGCTTGTATTTTTCACTACCCACTGGTTGAAGTTAACCTTTTCACCCCTAGGAAACTTTAGAAGACTCTACCATGTATTTATATGGTCTACAGTGGTGAAAGGGTTAAGCATCCTCTGAGCAGCAGACCAATATTGCAGGGATTATAATGCCATTATGAACGGTAAGGTGACCCAGATATGGTTCCCCGTTGTATAGGACTATATATCTCCTACATTTGAACTAATTACTTTTTCGTTCAATAATACAACAAAGGCTTCTAACTTTACAAATACATTGTGGCTCTCAGTTTATCAACACACAGGGTTTTATATACCACAGCGTCAACACATTAGGTACACAAAATTACATACTGGCCTCTAAAATTTGATAATTAGATACAATATGCCAAAAATGACCTAGAACTGTCATCTGGAGGATAACTAACCCCCTGCAGATGCTAGTAGTTTAAATATCATTTAGTGACCATGACCTTGGGGTTTCACATTATTTTGCATAAAGGACCTGTAACTCCCTTAAAAAGTGTTGAAATATGAAATTAAAATGCTGGTGCACCACTACATAATAGATACTGATCATTCAAGTGAAGTTTCAATAAAATCTGCCAGTTAGTTCAGATAAAATTTTCCCCACAAGTTATTTAGCATAAAGGGCCGTAACTCCCCTAAAAAGTGTTGAAATCTGAAATTAAAATGCCGGTGCACAACTTCATAATATACTGATCATTCAAGTGAAGTTTCAATAAAATCTGTTAATTGGTTAAGATGGAGATTTTCGGACAAGCTATTTCGCTTAAAGGGCCGTAACTCCCTTAAAAAGTGTAGAAATCTGAAATTAAAATGCCGGTGCACAACTACATAATAAACTGATAATTCAAGTGTAGTTCCAATTAAATCTGCCTGTTAGTTAAGAGCTTTCTGGACACGTTACTGCGAATGACATAAAGACATCCAGATAGACAGGGTCATTCCAGTATACCCCCCCCCAATTGTGTTGCAGAGGGTATAGTAACACTGCATCATACAGCCCTTCGTCCTTCTAGGACTTATCGGTGACAATAAAGGCCAAAGAGTCGGAAATCGAAATTGGTCTTTACAACTGTTAAAACAGAAAGGGATGTGCTTACATCACCCTTAATTTATGAATTTTCAAAATTTAGAGGAGAACTGGTTAATTTCAAATTTAATAATTACTAAAGAGTGTATATTTGGGAGAGTGCATAATATAAGGTTTAAAATTTTGTTACCAGATTCTGTTTCCATTTATGTGTGTACTTGTAATAGATGACGAATGAAATAAAATGTTGTTTATCCCAAACTGTGGATATTATAAGCCATGCCACTACTCAAAATAGATAACTGTGGCCAACAAGGTAACGGCAAACCTCATTGGCTAAAAATTCTACTAGGAGAGTCTGTTATATCTATAAAAATGATAGCTTTGTATACACAGTGACACATGGACACCGCACAGATCAATATACAATACAACTTTATTCTATGTTATAAGTGTTGATTGCTAAATGTATCTTTGTAACTGATAATTTGTAGCTTTGTTTGTCACATTATATTCTAATGATTCAACGTTTTTACAATCAAGTTTTTTGTGCACTTAACTCATTCACCCCTGAAGATACTTTTGAACTCTTCCAATTCAAGGGTTGGAATAGTTCATTATGAAATTTCAGGGGTGAATGAGTTAAACTGGTCCTACAAGGGACGACCAATATTGCGTACAAATAAAGTGGAATCTGCCAATGTTCGTAAACTGTTCATAAAAGAGGTAAAGCTCATTTATTATTATGATATTGTGATACAGCTGCTGACAGACATAAGACAAGAGGCCTAGAGGGCCTGTATCGCTCACCTGGATATCTAAGCAATCATGGCAAAACATTCTCCAAATGAGATCCAAGGGAATATGCCAGACCCCAAGGCCAATCCTTGAAGCATATCTGTATTAGATTTTTTATGCCCAGCAATTATATGTATGGTTATGGGGTGGGGATCTCATCTGTTTCCAAGCTGTGACTCAGAAACTAGGTCCCTAGGGTTGTGGCCAGACTCGAGGATCTATTCTAATATCATGACTCAGCATTTGTCTCTTTTTGCCAAGTATTTGTATATATAGTTTTGGGGTGGGGGTCTTAACCGTTTCAAAGTTATGACCCAGGGGTTAAGTCTGCAAGGGTGGGGCAGACCCTGGGGTCAATTCTAATATCATGACTGCATTGTCTCTTTATGCCCAACAATTGTGTATGTATTTTTGGGGTGGGGATCTTAACAATTTTGAAGTTATGACCCAGGGGTTAAATCTCCAAGGATGGGGCAGTCCCCAAAGTCATCCTGGAAGCAAATGTGCATTCATCTCTTTATACTCAGCGATTGTATATATGGTTATAGGGTGGGGATCTCAACTGTTTCCAAGATGTGACTAAGAAACTAGGTCCATAGGGGTTAGGTCAGACCACAGGGTCTATTCTAATATAATGACTGCATTCGTCTCTTTATGCCCAGTATTTGTATATATAGTTTTGGGGTGTGGAACTCAACCGTTTTAAAGTTATGGCCTAGGGACTATGTCTCCCAAGGGTGGGGCCAGACCCTAGAGCCATCCTGGAAGCAAATGTGCATTCTTCTCTTTATACTCAGCAATTGTATATATGGTTATATGGTGGGGATCTCAACCATTTCCAAGTAAAAAACTTTGTTTGGCCCCACCCCTTAGCCCAGGGGGGTCAGCCCCAACATTTGTACAATTTTGAATCCCTGCCTCCAATGAACACTTCCGACCAGATATGATCGATATCCATGGCATAGTTCTACAGAAGAAGTCGTTTATAGCAATATAGCCAAATTGCCCCCTTTTGGCTCTGCCCTCAGCCCCCTGGGGGTCAGCCCAACCATTTGTACAATTTTGAATCCCCACCACCTAGGGATGCTTCCAGTCAAATATGGTTGATATATCTCTTAGTTCCAGGGAAGTAGTCGCTTAAAGCAATATAGCCAAATAACCCTTTTTGGCCCCTCCCCTCAGCCACCTTGGGGGTAAGCCACACCATTTGTACAATTTTGAATCCCTGCCTCCCATGATCGAATGCTTTTGTTTAAATATGATTGAGCTTCAGTGCATAGTTCTACAGAAGAAATCGTTTGTAGCAATACAGCCCCACCATTTGTACAATTTTGAATCCCCACCACTTAGGGATGCTTCCAGTCAAATTTAGTTCAATTCAAATCAGCGGTTAAGAAGAAGAAGTCGTTAATGAAATTGTTGACGGACAGACAACGGACGGACGACGGACGTGTGTCGGATGCCACAGTATGGCATAAGCTCACCTTAGTCATTCAGTTGAGCTAATAAGTACATACACCGACGAATACAGGATGAAGCTACAAGGAATATTGGTCTTGCTTTGTATACCTTTTAACACCTACTACGGAGTTGCCACTTCCGGTACCATAGAGGACATGACAAAACTACAAGACAAAATTTTCACTCTTACGTACCAGATACTGGTGATGTCAGTGTTGTTGGAGAAAAGGGAGTCAATTTGCATGGAGAGAAAGGTGTCAACATCAAAACTGCGGACATGGATGAACCAGATAAAAATGATGTCACAAATTGTATTGATATTACCCTGTTTGTGTTAACAGAGACCATAGTGACCAGTCTAATCTTAGGTTTTGCATTAATTTACAACTAATAGAGTTGTAACATTAAGAACCACTGTATCAATTAACAAAATGTATTTATGTAATGGAAAACCTTTTTTTCAAACTGACCCTAGCATTGATGAATCATTTTTGAAAAGGGAAGTTAACTTTTAGGAAAAAAACATAATTACAACAAGAGGCCCATTGGGCCTGCAACGCTCGCCTGGAAATGATCTCACACTTGTTATCTTAAAAGTGGACTAAAATTCAGCTACAGGCAGGATATCAGAGTTTGATTCAAACGAACCTATTGAAAGATTTAAACATATGACGCCTGTGACCTTGAATGTCGAACAAGGACATAAGGTTGAAAATGGGTCAAAGTCATTCATTTGAACAAATTTGGTAGCCCTTTATCCCAGCATGCTACTGGCCAAATATCATCAGCCTGGGCCTCTTGGTTATTCTGAAGAAGTTGTTTAAAATAAAAAGTTGACGACGGACGACGCACCATGCCATAAGCTCACTTGGCTCTTCGGGCAAGGTGAGTTAAAAATGAACATACTTCTTTAAAATTTGGTAATAGATTCAATACGCCAAAAATGATTTACCCTGCATCATACAGCTGTTTCGTCCTTCTAGGAGTCATTAGTGATACTAAAGGCCAAAAAGGTGGAAATCCAAATTGGTCTTAACTACAGAAAACACAGAAAGAGAATTGCTTAAAACCTCCTTAATTGATGCATTTCAAAGTAATGGTTAATTTCAAATTAGATAATTAGTGAAGTGTATATATTTGGGAGATGGCTTAATATAAGATTTAAAATCTTGTTGCCAGATCCTATTTCCATTTATGTGTTTACTTATAAAATATGATGAATGAAATAGAATATTGTTTAAACCAAAGTGTGTATGTATATTATGAGCCATGCCACTACTCAACATAGATAACTGTGGTCATCTATAGGTTACGGCAAACCTCAGGGACTAAAAAATCCACCAGCAGAGTCTGTTATATCTATAAAACTGGAAGCTTTGTTAACACAGTGGCACATGGACTCTGCACAGATCAATATACAACACAACCGTATTCAAACAAATCTATGTTATAAGTGTCGATTGCTTAATGTAACTTTTGTAACTGATAATTTGTAGCACTATATTCGGGACATTTTATTCTAATGATTCAATATTTTTACAATTGAGTCTTTTGTGAACTAAAACTGATCCAAACAAGGGACGAACAATGGCGTCAAATAAAGTGGAATCTGCCAATGTTGGTTACCTGTTCGTAAAAGACGTAAAGTTCGTTTATGACATTGTGATACAGCTGCTGACAGACATAAAATAAGTACGTACACCGAAGATTACAGGATGAAGCTACAAGGAATAGTGGTCTTGCTTTGTGTACTTTGTAACACCGACTACGGAGTTGCGACCTCCGGTACAATAGAAGACATGACAGAACTACAAGACACACTGTTCACAAACTACAGTAGAGGAATACGTCCAGCGCGTAACCTTAATGAAACAGTTCAAGTAAGCACATCCTTTTTTCTCCTCTCCATTCGAGATTTGGATGAGGTTTCTGGAACAATCACCTTGAGCGGGGGAATAAGCTTGGTTTGGAATGACTTCCGGTTGTCATGGAAACCCTCTGATCATGCTGGCATTTCTCATATGACGGTGAATTCTTCAACGATATGGAATCCTAGCATATTCCTAATATCATCTGCTTCAGACATAGACCGTTTTGGATCTGATAAATTTGATGCGAAAATATATGCAAACGGTTTTGTTTCTATAAATCCAGGAAAAACAATAAAGGCAACTTGTACTATTGACATGACGAATTTCCCGACGGATTCACACAAATGTTCAATGGTCCTACTTCCTTGGGGATACCCTGCTAGCGAAATACATCTCTCTGCCTTTCTTCCACAATTCCAGATGGAGTACTTCAGTCCAAATGGCGAATGGGATGTGGATAAAACCTCGGCAGAGGAAATTTTAAAACATGACGGACATTCTTCCCAGGTTGTTTACCACCTACATCTGAAGAGGAAACCTTCTTACTTCATCATATCCTTGATCATACCTGTGTACACACTCTGTTTCCTCAACCCGTTTGTGTTTCTCCTGCCGGCCGCGTCAGGGGAGAGGATATCCTACACAATCACCATGTTCTTGTCGCTGGCTGTTTATATGACACTTGTGGGTGACAACATGCCGAAGGTATCGGAGCCAATGGCAGGAATTTCCTACTTTCTCATGGTGGCAATGTTGTTCAGCTGTCTACTTATAATCCTGACGATATTTACCCTTCGCTGTGACGCTGTGAAAGATGTGAGTAAGTTTCCCAAATGTGTCAGGCGACTTGTTTTAAAAGTGAAACAGAACGGGAAAAAGAGGGGAAAGCAGACTGCTAACAAAAACGCTGTTGCTGATATCAATGACTTTGACTCTTATGTACCAGATACTGGTGATGTCAGTGTTGTTGGAGAAAAATGCGTCAATTTGCACGGAGAGAAAGGTGTCAACATCAAAACTGCGGACATGGATGAACCAGATAAAAATGATGTCACAAATTGTATTGATATTACCCTGTTTGTGTTAACAGAGACCATAGTGACTGGTCTAGTCTTAGGTTTTGCATTAATTTACAACAAATAGAGGCGTACCACAAAGGATTCCTGTACCAAAGCATTGGAAACAAATAGAGGCATACCACGAAGGGTTCCTGTACCAAAGCATTGGAAACAAATAGAGGCATACCACAAAGGGTTCCTGTACCAAAGCATTGGAAACAAATAGAGGCGTACCACGAAGGATTCCTGTACCAAAGCATTGAAAACTTTTTTGTGGCAAAGCTTCCATTTTGAAAGAAGAAACCATGCCTTGCAGANCAAATTTTTTAAAAAAAAAAAAAAAAAAAAAATATGAAAAGAACAACAAAAACAACCAACAACAGTTTGTGTTCTGAATGTAATAATGTAGCATTGCCTGACCATAACTCAAACTCTGGGCATGTGATACTGTCTGTCTAACCAGCTGAACTACCTGTTCAACAGTGGAAACCTCCAAGGCAAGTTGCACTACAAGTTTTTTCCAAAATAAACAATTTGAAGGGAATAAATACCATAATCAAATATTACACAACTGTTTTGTTGTAAAAAGCATATACGCAGTTTATTCTAGCAGTTGTTTTGAAATTTATCTTTGGTAGTTGTGAATAAAACTTTATTTTGAAATTGGTCCCTTTGTTTTGATGAACATGCAGTGTGTCTGGACTTGTATTTCTCCTTTGTATTGCAGTGCTGAAGTAATTGTGATATTGCATAGAAAAATTTAACATGTACTTATTATTCTTATAAATTGAACTCCAAATTAACAATTTCCAACTGCTATTGATTTCCAAATATTTCCTGTGTCCTCAAACGTCTTGGTTTTCTGTTTTACTTGGTCAATAAAAATGAGTACAATCAAATCTAAATTTATGTAAAATGGTTGAAAGTTTCATGGTAAAGTTGGGTTTTCTTGTGAAATGTTAATTTCACTGAAAATATAGGTAGAATTTGTTTTCTCATTTCTGGTGTGTAAAGTACTGAAATAACAAAACTTTGTTGTTTTTCTACCTAAATTTTACTACAGCCTGTTCCTACATGAATTAGGAAAATACAGCATTATTTTTATTGAATTTGGGAAGATATTCCTCAATTTTTCTTCATTTTGGGGAAATTAAGCACTTTTTTGCAAGGGGAAACAGCCTGAATTCTGCTATAAAACTAGGTGAAAAATCCCCGAAAAGTTTCTGATTATTTCAATTTAGAGTTAAAATAACTTATTTCTCTGGGGGGGGTTTCCCCTAAGAATCAGTATAGATGTAGGACATTCTGTTCTTCTCAGAAAGAATAACAACATACAACGACACATATTTTTCTAACTTGTAACTTCACTGCTAACCTCAGTGATAACCCTTTATGTTTATGTGGGGAAGTAGAAAATGTACATCACTATTTCTATACATGTCCAAATTACTCAACTGTAAGAAATCACATGGTAAGAAATCTTAGGAACTGAAATCTTCTAGAGATCCTCCCAACAGACATAAACACACTTCTCTGGGGTAATCATGATCTCACTTTTGAACAAAACAGTAGAACCTTTACCTATGTATGTTAGTACATTAAGCATACAAACCGCTTCTAGTAAGTAGTCTTAATTACAACAATTACATCATGTTTGAAGAATTAAATTTTCTTTATCTGTGTGAAAACCTCGGTAAATTCTCTATGAGTAGGTCGGGGTACAGAGAAACAGTCGTCAACAACCTATTTTGTTAATTCAACTTAAATTTAAAAAAAATAAAAAATAAAATAAAATGAAATGTTCATGTTAAGACAGCTATGATGTACGTAAAATGTATTTAAGTTAGGAGAGGGCTTAATTAAGTTGTAAGAACTTGCGCCCAATCCTTTTTGTCATTTTCAAGGCAATAAAAATATATTTAAACTTCACTGATTATTCCTTTGCCTGATATAAGATTCTATTCCTCCTAAAACGTGTGCCCCTTCTATCAGTAAACACACAAGTGTTACTTGTCTGCGTCAAGACTTCTTGTTCACTTAATCAGACAGAAGATTTTGTTTCTCCTTCTTGCCTGTGAGTTTTCAAAACATTAATTACATTGTCAGATAGAAGATTCTTTTCCTCTTAAATAACAGTTCAAATTGTATATTTGTACATTTGTAAGATAGAAGATTCTATTCCTCTTAAATATTTGTAAGATTGGAGATTCTATTCATCCTTACCTTGCTGCTCTGTGTTCGTAGGCCTCTATGATACTATCAAAATTGAGCTTGTTGTCAAGGTCAGACTTGCCGCTCAGATTGTCTGTGATGTAAGCAAAAGAGCTTGGGAGACTCTTCTTCATTTTCATCTGATTGTAGCACTTCACCAGGTACCTTAACAGAAAATTTAAAAATTTTGCAATTTAATCACACAATATGTACTGTGTGCTGGAAAAACCCTCACCCGTCACTGGTAAAATCCATATTTGCCCAATATTAATTTTAAGTTTTTCAAATGTAATGACTTTTTATCTATACATAGTGTGTTGTTTATTAATGTTTGTTGTCAGTATCGAATTGTCCTCATTTCGAAAGTAAAACGGGTAACAAGACAAAGAGAAATGCACAACCAGACAGGGATTCAAACCCGGGACCCTCAGAATTCTAGACGGTAAGATGCACTAACCTTGCTGTCTGCAGGAACATGATTATATTTTCCCCCTCATACATACACCCACCTAGCTGTCTGTAGAAACATGACAGTGTCCCCACCCCCACCCCATACATAATAATAATTAATAATAATAATAATAATTGGAGGTTCTTATATGCCGCTCTATCACAACCTAGTTCGTAGGTCGTCTCAAAGCGGTTCACAAATTATTATCCATGGTTATAGGGCCTTTGCAACCAGCCAACATCTTTCTCAACTCCCTGGGGAGCAAACAGCCGGTGCTGCCATTTCGGCACTCACAGCTAGCATTCAACAATTCTAGCACTAACCAACCATGTACTCATTTACAGCTGAGTAGACTGGAACAAGCAGAGTAAAGTATCTTGCTCAAAGATACAACAAAGTGCCGTGCCCTGGCTCGAACCTGCAACCCTTCGTTCATGAGCCTGGCGTCCTACCACTAGACTACAGTGCCTCCTCTAACATAATTATAATAATAATATACAACATTTATATAGCGCCCTATGTAATTTGTAAAATTACTCTAAGGCGCTTATACTCATGGTTATAATTGTGAAAACAAACAACAAAGGCTTGCAATCATTTTCATACATTTAACAAGCAATGTGCACATAATTGAACAAATAAAAGGGTGGTATTTACATGACGTCTTTGCAAAGATTCTAAAATGCAGACGTGAAGAGGTGAGTTTTTATGTCCCTCTTGAACTTGGCCAGGGTATTTGACTTCCTAATAGCAGATGGTAGGCTATTCCACAACGTAGCCGAAACCCTCCCAAAGGTCCGTAGGTCACAGTACGATATTTTGGAGCACACAACAAAGATTCAAGATTCTGACTCCGACCGCAGTGATCTTGACGGCTGATACAGGGTAACAAGCTCCTGTAGGTACTGAGGAGCTGTTCCATTCAGTGCCTTGTATGTGTATACCAGAATTTTGTACTGCGACCTGTATCGTACAGGTAGCACATACACTCCCCTTGCTATCTGCAGCAACATGACAGTGTGCCCCCTCTTACATACACTCCCCTAGCTGTTCATAGGAACATGACTTTGTTTTTCCCCCGTACATACGCTCACCTAGCTGTCTTTAGGAACATAAACTGTGCCCCCCCTCCCCCGTACATACACTCCCCTAGCTGTTCGTAGGAACATGACTTTGTTTTCCCCCGTACATACGCTCACCTAGCTGTCTTTAGGAACATAAACTGTGTCCGCCCCCCTCCCCTGTACATACACTCACCTAGCTGTCTGAAGGAACATGACTGTGTTTTCCCCCTCATATGTACATTCAACTGTTGCCTTGGTATACATCCACGGAAGGCCGCTGGCATGTGAATAACCATGACCGCCACATGCAAGGCGACAAATCTCCACACCATCTGCAGCCACTGATGTACAGAAGGCCTTAAGCCCAGCAGCCAGTGCATGAAGCTACAATATATATGTTTGTAAAAAAAATATAAACGTTATTTATTTAACAACAATTATTAAACAGGTCATTTCAAGTTGTATTAATCACTATTGTTGGCCTGGATGTGAGCGTTGGGGGCTTAATGTGGGAGGAAACTGGAGCACCCAGAGAAAACCCACATGGTCGGGCAGGTGACCCCATACCTTTTCACATCTGATCGGGGAATCAAACCCCAGCTGCTTGGTGAAAGGCAAGTGTGTTGTCCACTTCACAACCTGGCCACCTATATGTATATACAATGTGTATCCTAATTGGACATAGGCCTCATGGTTCTACAGAAGAAGTCACTGAAGTCTTTTAACACGTTTGACTCATCCAACCTTGAAAGTGGATAAAAGTTATTCAAATGAACTTATATGATAGCACTGACCACTTAAGTGATCTGCAAGCCACATAGCATGGCTCCAAGTATTATAGTTCAGAACAAGAAGATTTTTGATGCTTTAACACATTTGATCAATGACACCAGAAAGTGGGTCAAGGTCATTCAATTGAAGAAACAAGATAGTGCTACACAAACCACAATAGCATGACTCTATAGCATGGCAAAATTCTGCTGGGAAAAAATATTAGAATTACAATTTCTGACCAGTGGATAGTACACATAAGGATTGAACAGCATTTTTCAATGTTCATGACAGTATGAACACAAATCAGTTGCATTGAAACATTGACAAATGCTGTTCAATACATAAATCTCTTAAATATTATTGTTTTTGTTGATGTAATTATAGGTATAATTCTCTTATATTTAATATTTCATCTGATGGTGGGCGCCATTCAAATCGCCCTGCATCCGTGGTCCATCATCCATCTGTCATCTGTCCTTAAACAATTCTTGTTATTGATATTTCTCAGGAAGAACCAGAGGGATCTTTCTCAAATTTTATATGTAGGTTTCCCTTGATCCCTAGTTGTGCATATTAACTTTTGAGACTGATCAGATGAACAAAATGGCCGACAGGCAGCCATCTTGACTTTTGACAGTGATCAAATGTTTGTTATGGCTATTTCGAATTCTCAGGAAGTACTTGAGTGATTTTTTCAAATTTTAACATGTAGGTTCCTCTTAGTTGTGTATGTTTAATTTTGAAAATGACCAGATAAACAAAATGGCCGACATGCAGCCATCTTGGATTTTTACAGTGAAAGTTTGTTATCACTATTTCTTAGAAAGCACTGGAGGGATCTTTCTCAAATTTTATATGTAGGTCCCCTTTGTCCCTGGTTGTGCATGTTTACTTTTGAGGCTGATCAGATAAACAAATCTTTGATTTTGTTAGTTAAGGTTTGTTAGTGCTATTTCACAGGAAGTACTGGAGGTTTCTTTCTCAAATTGTATATGCAGATTCTCCACTGTCCTTTATTGTTCATGTTTACTTTTGAAACTGAACAGATAAACAAAATGGCCGACCATAGGCAATCTTCAATTTTTGACATTTAGTGCTATTTCTCAGGATCATTTTGAGGTATCTTTCTCAATTTTAATACGTAGGTTCCCCTTGACCCCTCGTTGTGCATGTTATATTTTGAGACTGATCATAAAAATAAAATGCCCGAAGGAAGAACTAAACAGATCTTTCTCATATTGCAATGATCGGTTCTATTTCTAACATCACCAAAATGTTTACTTCTAAGGGTTGTCGCATGCATTTGAGGTTAGAGGAGAAGCTTCAAAATGATGCTGATCAAATTGCGTTCATAGACCTGTGAACACAATTTCTTCAGGTAATGCTTATACAGAAACTTGCAGTGGAACTGTAAGTATACATCGGGGTGGCCGTGGCTAAGTGCATGTCACTAGCCCTTCACCACTGCGTGGCGGGTTTGAGACCTGCGTGAGACAGTCGCCAGATCCTGGCCGTAGGTCAGTGGTTTTTCTCTCTGGGAATTCTGGCTTTCCTCCACCACCAAAATCTGGCACATCCTTAAATGACCATAGCTGTTAATAGGACGTAAAACACAAACCAAACCAAACCAAACCTATAAGTATACAATGTAAGTGCATTGGTGATGGGTGTGGTTGCTATAGTTACCTGAGGAAGGTCTTCCAGGTTTCCCTTCTCTATATTGGCATTGATAGTTGTGTAGTAATTAAATATACTATGCCCAGTAAAACGGAAGGCATAGGCCGTCGCTATCAGGGGAAACAATTTGTACTGCTGGGTTTGGTAGTCCATAATCTGTGCTTCTGGCCCACTGTGAATATATTAAAACAGATTTCTCAAATATGAGTCTTTTCAAGATTGCAGGCCATGCAAATCGGAGATCTTTATGAAAAAAAACCCACCTGAAAATATCTATAGCTATGTAATTTGCACACCCCAAACTTCAAACTTAATTTAAACACAAAAGAAAAACAGTGCAAATAACATGAGTTTCTACAGTACTGTATACAAGGAAAATTTCCCCGCAGTTCAACTTTCACCTTTTCCCCCCCCGTATATGGCAAATTTATCATAACAGCGAATATTAGTCTGAAAAAAACACAAATATATAGTGATTACATGTTAAGGTTGAAATTTACACTGGGTGAACATGGATTAAATCGGCAGAGTGTGAACATTTGACTGGATGAATGTTTCCCGGTTTACAGTAGTTTTATCACAATCGGGTCAATAACCTTTTGTCCTGACTATGATATTATGAAATTCCAGTTTTTGAGAGTAAAAAATAATTGCAACTAAAAATATATAGAGGATATTTAATGGTTTCTTAAAAAATATCAAAATATTAGCCACACGAGTGATATATATTTGTTTTTACTGAAGACACCATTAAATTTTCTATTTATTACATTTTTAAAGCATAAAACATGAAAAATGTAATGCATTACAAAAGGGCGGGAATCAGAAGTGTAATAAATAGCGCTATATTCTAATGACGTCATGCTTGACAACAAGGCTGCGCGCCATTTTGAATGGGATACTCAACACAATTCCAACGTTTTCTACTATTTCCTGGTATGATTGCTAATAAAAATGTTGTTATTTGTATATTTATGTAAATAATTAAGTGTGTGTACCAAACATTTACCATACTGACCCCTTATACTAGTCGCTTCATTTGAATCTAGAGGAAACCGTTATGATTGGTCAATACCAAAAAGTGATATTTTCACACTAATATCACTTTTGATATTTGTCACAGTGTGAAAGATATCAGTTTTATCAAGTTGATAGAATCCGATATTTCACTGACAAAAATGTAATAAATGTAACATACGTTATTTTATACAAAATTCTGAGGACACAATATGATGTGCTATAAGGTACTGTAAATGTACAAATATTAGTGGTAATCTAATTTTAGCGTGTTTGCGCTCTAAATATTGTGCTAAATTATGATTGTGCCAATTGACATTCCTGTATATTGTTTTTATAGCATATTTTTGTGGTGTGCCAATTCATCTATGCATTAATCTATTATTCTGTCCCTCCATTTATCTGTTTACACATAATTGATTCTACATTGCGCAAGAATGCTCCAGACAAACTATATTCTTACGGAAGGGCCAGGTGAGATAAAAAAAAAATGTTTCCTTATTCAGATGAAAGATAATCTGAGACATACATTACACATGTCTGCTGGTTGTTTTACAACATGAACAACTGTGAATACATGACATTCAGTGTGGTCATAAATCAAAACAGAGGTATATCCAAGATGGCGGACATTTGTGAACAGGGAAGATACACACATTTAAGCCCGCTCACTACTTTTGGCCCTTTTTTCACAAGACGTGGGGGCTAATTTGTGGTCAAATATGGTAACATTATATTATTTCTCAATAAATGTTGTAGATATAATGTAAGGTATATACTGACCCTGGTGACACCTCTGTCTGTCTCCTCACTGCGGAGTATCTAGTTGCTACGGTACACGCCATACCCAAGACGGTGGAAGTTCCTGACACGATCATCGCACGTACAAACAACATCGTACCGTATGTCAGACGAGATCCCTCATTTGTGGAGACGGTAAAGGCCCCGTCCTCCGCTACCTGTTATTTGGTATACAGGAAAACCTGTTCAATATGAAACCTTGCAGGATCTACAGTGAAACTTATCTTATCCGACACCCTGTGGGATATACATTAAAACCTGTCTGATCTGAATCTGTGGGAACTACAGTGAACCCTTTCTAATCTGACACCCTTTGGGAACTATCATGAAGCTTGTCTAATCTGAACTCCTTCTCATTTATTTTAGATAAAACAGCTTTTCACTTCGGAATGTTTACATTTAATAAGGAAAAACAAAAATGAAGTCTTGTACCTTAGCATATCTCATGAGCATATGGTCCCGAGGAATCCTCACATGGTGCAGTCTAAGGAAACCATTATCGTTTTCATTAAAGCCGAACTTTGGTCCAAGGTCACCCACTTCAACTCCTGAATAATAAAACAACTGATTACATTACAGGGCTAGAAATTAATTATTCAAAACCACTATTTAGTTTGGCTATTCATTTCCAATTTTACTTAGTCCATGTGCAAATTCAACAAACTCAATATTATTCAACATGATAAGTAATATCAAATTTTGACAACACAAGGCTAGAAATTAATGTCAAAACCGCTAGTCAGTTGGGTTATAAATTTCCAATTTAACTTAGTCCATGTGCAAATTCTATAAACCCAATAATATTCAACATGATAAGTAATAACAACTTAGTGGGCTAACAGTTTTATAGAACCACTCTAGGCCAGCTGGAGATTCCACCAGTCTCCGATTATTGGGCTACCGTTATTATCTAACCCTTCATCGTCTACAAATCAGTTAACATTTCTGCAGAAAGGAGTTCTTATTTATAAAAATTATCTGAGAAGACATTGCGTTCATTTAAGATCCCTGTACCACTTCACTGTGATTTTCCGCATATACAGTTACCTCCCCTTAATTTTGTTAAGGATATAACTGTAGAACAGGGTCTGTATTCATGAAACTGCTCTCATGCTCAAACATGGATTTTGTGCTCAAGCCTAATATCTTGTTTCAGTTATAAATTCATAAAATCGTTTTTTTTAATGATATGGAAAAAGATGAAGAGACTGAAATTCAGCCAGTTACTATTTTCAATGTTTACATTTGACTTTTTGATTGTTTTACATGATTTAAGTGAGTTACAAGATAGTTGGCTTGAGCAGAGAATCCATGCTTGAGCATGAGAACGGTTTCATGAATACGGGCCCAGTTACAGTCAAGGACATTTCAGTTGATGAGGTAGCTCAAGCATGGCAGTATAACAATTTGATTTTGACTGAAAATTTCTTTAGAAGAGGACTTAAACAAATCTTTCACAAAAGTTAAAACAATAATTATGGGCGAGTTCCATCACCAACTATAGTGACTATGGTCTACAAGAGTTCGATCAAACTCACTTCAGTAATATGTATTGTTCATGTGTAAAAAAACGAGAAGCTACGATGCGCATGTCTGGCCACTATGGTACAACCTACGGATTTCTTTGGTCGGACCAGAGCAACTAGTGGTCCTTTGAAAGCAAGGCAGTGATTGGTTGTTGTTAACCAGCACGTGTAAGCACATTAGGTGTAACAGCCTGACTATGGTAAAAGGCTGATGATTGTACTTGCCCAATACAGTTTACCTTATGGTAACCCTTTACCTAAATTGGTGTTTTTCCTTCATTTTTTTTTTTTTTTTTTTTACCTGGTAGCGACTTGTGAGTTTTCAGGTCCCTGAGGGGTACCATGAAGGAATGGAGGCCATGATTTTTTCCTTGTGTGTTCAGTACTGCCATTATCACACAATAGTTGGAAGTCTTCCCCACTACAAAAAATATGCATAACATGTTTTCATTTCATGTGATAACAAAAATTCTTTAACAACACAGGGGGCCGCTGTGGCCAAGTGGTTAAGGCATCTGACATTCTGCTATCATTAGCCCTCCACCACTGGGTCACGGGTTTGAGACCTACGTGGGACAGTTGCCAGGTACTGGCTGTAGGTCTGTGGGGTTTTTCCGGTAACTCCAGCTTTCCTCCACCACCAAAACCTGACACGTCCTTAAATAACTATAGATGTTTAATAGGACATAAAACACAAACAAACCAAACCAAATCTTTTACAACAAATATATTTAGCTTATTCTGTGTAGCCGGATATTTCCTTGGGGAGGATATTTTTGCAATTTCGCGGGTTAATAAAGACATTAGGTCCTGTATATTATTCAATTTAGTTCCATCTCCTGTCACTAGAGCGGTGTGTAGGTGAAAACGGCATTTATGAATATCTTGAGCTCATTACTGAAGTAATACCAATAGCTTGCATCTTACGCCTTAGCTAAAAAATGCTACTAATAAAGTTATCCTTGGTAAAAATACAACTATACATGACCATCTTTTAGTTTTATTAATCATTTGATATCTGTTTTATTTCATACAGAATTGTGGAATTTTAATGTGTAAGAAAGGCATATGACTCTAATAAACCATATATGGATTACTGAAAATCAAAATTCAAGGACTTTTGAAGGCCACAGACTAGTTTTCAAGGTTTTTCAAGGCCATACTGTGAATTAACCCTTTCACCACTGTAGCCCATAATGGACTCATCCAAATAAATGTATGGTAGAGTCTACTAAAGTTACCTAGGGTTGAGAGGGTTAAAGGTTTTTCAAGGCCTGTGCTAACCCTGCAACTCAGTAACTGTATTCTAATTATAGTGATTGATTATATTAACTCACAGTTGGCCGGCCAGTATTTCATGGAAGTAATGGTTGGTGAGTTCAATACAAATTCTTGGGTCTTGGGATCATAGGTCGCAGTTGTCTCCAAACCTCTTATAAAGGTACCTGAAAGATTTGTATCGGAAAAAGACATATTTATCAATTATATAATTATATTACAAATTTTCCTCCTCAATCAAGTTTTTACTTCAAATGAAATCCGACCTTGACATAAAAATACAGATCTTTTAAACATATAACCATTCAATATGTAAACCAGTGTTATAGTATGCACATGTTAAGGCATACTGATTCAAATGCTAAAACGGAAATAATATCCTTTTTAATTCAATTTATTTGTGACTTGTCATGGGTGAAGAAAGTAAGGGTCGCTTGAAGGTCATGTCATTGGAATATAGCAATGCACACTGTTGACTGTTGTCACTCCACATACACCCCCCTCCCCCCCTGCAAAAAAAAATATTGTCATAGGAATTGTCTCCCTTTAAATCCCCACCACATGAGAATGCTTCCAACCAAATATAGTTGATAATCATCTCATAGATACAGAAGAGAAGTAACAAAGCAATATTACCAAATTGTACCTTTTTTGGCCCCTTCTCTGCATAAGCTCACCTTGGTCATTTTATTGTACACTGTAAATTATTTTCTTTATGCATTACTATGGTACATGTTGAATGGTTATATTTTTAATAGGACGTAAAACACAGCGAGAATTCCACAGGAGTGGATGTGTCGCCTGCTAAGCACTTTTAGTAAGAAAAGTTATCACGTAAACAGATATGCCAAAACGCAGAAAGTTGAAACTCGACAGAAAAACCTGTAATATATGTTGAACATTATTGCTTCTAACATTACCGTACAAAATTTGAAAGGATTTGATTAAAAATAAAAATAAATTCTTGCATTTACTACACAATGCCCTTTATATGGCAGTAAAAGGGACATAACTCCACTAAAAATGCATGTAAACTTCTGAAATGCGAACTTGTCCGAGCTACCACCAATTTGCAATATGTGTACCAAGTTTGAGTTCAATCAATCCAAGGGAACTCAAGTAATTGTAGGAAACCTTGTTTCGGACGAAGCAAGCGCCGACGCCGACAAAGTAATACCTGTATGTCACCTCGCGTTGCAGGCGTCACAAAAACAAACCAGACCAAAAGGTTATACCTTGCAAAACAAGCATAGAGCACTGTGGATAACAATCTTTCATTTACATTCCACCAAATGTTTTGCTTGGTAATACATAATAAGTTACATATTATGTATATGTAGTACCTAGTAATTACGTTATCAATTTAATCATCGAAATGTTTGATTTTTATTCTGATAGATCCTCCATACCGTGACCAAGTTCTGTTTGGGCGTACGTTCCGATAATTGTGAGGTTCTCTGCTAATGGCAGCCATTTTCTTTTCTGTTCTTCTGTGCCAAGTTTCTGTATGGTAGGGATAAACATGAAACCATGGACACCGATGGCATAGTATTCATTGGGCCCAATAGCTCTGTAAAAAAAGGCAGAATATCAGAAAACTCGAAATTGTACTAAAACAAGGGACCAGTGCCAATAAGAAGAGAATTCCATGAGACTCACAACCATTTATCATTAGATATGTCATGCTAAATGGTTGTGAGAGATGTGATGAAAATGAAAACAAACATATTCTCCTATCTACATCCAATTACATTTTAAGTTCTAGAAGATTCAGGACATTTAACTTCAATTTTGAATGAAATCTTACATTCTATTTATTTACACTTTATTTATTTATTTACATTTTTTTTTTCCCAATGTAATTCTTCTAATTTCCAAAAATGGTACATGAATATTAATATTAATATTTCAGAAGACCATTTATACTATTTTATTAAAAAATATTGGGAAACAACTACATAAATAAGAATACAAAGCTTTACAACATATGTTGATTATATATCTAACCTGTGTTTAATATGCATAAATTAAACTATTTGGTGGGATTGAATTTCCAAACTCATCAGTGGATGGCCTTGTGTGATACAATGGACTTTTTGGCCTGTATCTGTTGGGTGCGGTAATTTAATCCCATCAAATGTTTCTACATGCAGCTCCATCAACAAATTATTTTTCTTTACTCTTCATAATATGTGTATATATATATATATTTTATGTCTTTTCGGTATCAAAATAAAAGGTTAGAATTTAAACCATAAGATTCAATTATAATAAAAATGGGTATTAGTAGTTGTTTCCCCTAATTTGATTATTAATTTGATAAAACCAACTTGTTTATATGTGTTTGTATGTGTTCTAATGTCTATGTCTATGCTTGTACCACTACTATTGCACACCTACATTTCTCATAGTGTAAACCTTTGTCAAATTTAAAATAATAATAATAATTCGGGGTTCTTATCTACCGCTTTATCACAACCTAGTTCGTAGGTCGTCTCAAAGCAGTACTAAAATTATTATCCGTGGTTATATATTGGGCCTTTGCAAACAGCCAATATCTTTCTCAACTCCCTTGAGAGCATACAGCTGGTGCTGCCATTTCGGCACTCGCAGCTTGCATTCAACAATTCTAGCACTGCCCAACCACATACTCATTTACAGCTAAGTAGACTGGAACAAGCGGAGTAAAGTATCTTGCTCAAAGATACAACACAGTGCCGTGACATGACTCAAACCCGCAACCCTTCGGTCACGAGCCCGGCGTCCTACAACTAGACTTACCGTTCCTCCGATTTTTTTTTTAGTCTTTTGGATTCTAAGATATACTCTAGAAACGATAGAGTGGAACAACGGACAGATGGACAGACAGACAGACACTGTGATCACTATAGGGCACCCTTATATCTGATGTGGGTCTCTAAAAAATGTTTTACTTGTGAAGTTTATTACTTCTGAGAACCATATAGGTAAATTTCCAATAGGATGTTGTTAAATTGTACATTTGAAAAGTCAATTAACGGCATGTGAGAATGTTCATAAATAATGATTATGATTAATCTATATTTTCATTTCTATAGGTATTTTTGATTGTATGGTTAAAAAACAGCTATGGGGTCCACCATGTTAAATTTTGGTATTTCCAGAAATTCTTCGCGTCCAAAAATCACAAATGTGTTATCATAGGGTTCAGCACCTACATTTTTTGAGATTATCTCAGATTGTAAGAGTATTTGCAATTATATTATGCATTGATATTATTCATTGTAGTGTAAAAGATGTGGATTAATTAGGTTGCCTTACAAGCGTCAGCTGCAGGGAATTTCCCTTTAGCTCAGTGGTAGAGCATCGGGCTGGAGAGCCAATGGTCGCAGGTTCGAGGCCCAACGACGGCATTATCTTTATCACTATTCCTCGTCCTATTACAAATTGGTGCCGTTGACCCTCCCCGTTCAAGGTAGGAGAACCCTTGGCGGGCAGTCAAGGAACCTGGGTTGGTGTTTGAAAAAAGGAGGGAATAGTGTAACAGATGTGGAGTACACATGTCAGCTGTAGGGAATTTCCCTTTAGCTCAGCAGTAGAGCATCAGGCTGGAGAGCCAATGGTTGCAGGTTTGAGGCCCAGCAACGGCATTATCTTTATCACTATTCCTCATCATACTAGAGTAGTATAGTTGAGTCTTAATCACTGCCAAACTAGCTTTAATGCCACCAGCGCCTGCTCTCTATCATCAATAGTAGCATACACTGAGTAAAAATTTATCAGAAAAAATGCAGTTAACAATTTTGACCAATCCTATTAGTTTTAATACATTATAATAGGAACTTACATGAGTTTCCATTTCATATGAGATTTTTGAAACGAGCCTAAGAAATTTTCAATTTAGCGAGCCTCTGGCGAGCTAAAATGAAGAATTTGTGACGAGTTTCATAAATTTCATATGAAATGGAGACGAGTTTAAGATTTTTTTTATCACATAATCAAGATTTGTGGCATTAATTCGTTTAAAAAAACCATTTTCATGCAACATTAAAATGAAAAAAGCCACCATTTTGACTCCAGTGCTCAAGTCTGTGACGTCATGTACTTGTCCTAGGTGTGATGTCACCATCATGTACTTGTCCTAGGTGTGACGTCACAATTGAAACAATTGAAACTTACAACCAATCACAGGGCTGATAGGTTATATATATTATATGGGTTAATAAACAAAAAAATATATTCACTGGATAACATAATACATCATATGATAAAAGTGTGTACCTCCGGGTATTACCATACTTATTACATGACCCGACCGTATGACATAGTTATATTGGGCAGTTATTTGTTAAATGTACTAACTGTCTGATAATAAAACATTCTTCCTGGTCTGTAATGTTAAGATTTTCCTGTATCCGCCTGAATATGCTGTATTTCTGCAAATGGAGGGCATACAGCTCTTCCCGACTACAGAAGACCCGGGATTTCATCGCCTGGTATTCTGGGTCACTGAACACAGCATTTTCTGGAAATATATATACGTGGTATGNGCAGATGAAAAAAATATTTACGAAGCTCAAGCCAAACTGGAAAGTTTATAACCGTCCGTCTATGATAACAACTTGGATGAATTCGCACAAGTTTTTCTATCATAACTTTTAATATCATAATAACCACCCCCTTTAAATCAATGTTGTAAGAACCTGGGTGTTAACTCATTTACCCCAGAAGACACATTTGAACTCTTCCAATTCAAAGGTTGGAATAGTTCATAATGAAGTTTCGGGGGTGAATGAGTTAATTACAGTGAGTATGGTAGCACCCTATGATGTACAAAGTTGCTCTTATCTCTGATGTTTTGCAATCTGAAATTCAATCAACGCTTTTTGCGAATATAAAAAAAAAAATCTCTTTAACGAACACAAAGTTACATATTTAGATATAGGATCACAAATCAATCTATATATAGGAACCTCTATAGAAATTACACTTTTATATTGCGGATATCTACAGGCATAATGGTATCATATCGCAATACTGAAATGAAATATTGCTGTATGAGAATATTTTTCAAAAGCTTGGTTACATGTATCAGCCTGGTATTTAACTTTGCAAATTACTAGAAGTTCTAACAGATATAACCATACAGGCTGTTACTAATGGGAATTAGATGAAATTTCATGTTCAATGGTTGGTTAAAAGAAAATACTAAATCTGCGAGATCCCTATATTATAATTTGTTTTGATAACATTCTGACAATAATTATTTTTAAATTGAGCACCTTTTTCCTATGACAATATATCTTTTGGATGAGCTAACAAGTGGGACAGGCGGGTAGCTGTACTATAAACAATGTGCATGCCAAAAAAAGAGTCAGTCCCCCCAGCCCCCTTACTATCTGGTGGTTTTTCATGAACACTTAAATATGCTTGTTAGGAGAACTATAGTATTGTGAAACCATTCAATTCAAAATAGTATATTTGAGGATTTTTTATGTGCATACAACTGCTTATTTGCTTAACATAGCAGCTACGTGCCTTGCTGATATGATTACACCAGGTAATTTATTGAATATATAATGCTACGTGCACTATATCAAGTTTAATGTTTATTATCTCCCAGACAAAGTGTACAAAGTTCAAAAGATACTGAGTACTAGATATTGTAGGTATGTGCTACATTCTGACCCGGTTCTAGATCAAAAACACCGGAGACAAATATCTTAGCAGGGTTCAGTTAAAACATTTAAAATAACTTAACACTGTTTTAATCTCCAGGTAACCAGATAAGTTTATTTACACTTCAGGATTTGAAGAAAGTCCCCTTTATCAGACTCTTGGATACATGTACTTGGCTGTATACTGTGGGGACAGGACAGTTGGGGAGGGGCAGCTGCTTAACATGCTTTGAATTCTACAATGTATGGAGAGCTTTGCCCCCTAGACCCCCTTCCCCCCACCAAGGGGCTTTACCCCTGCACCCCAGTTTCAATTTGCCCCCTCAAGCTCTCCCCCACCCATTACGCTCTCGTGTACTTGGCTAGGGTAAAAACATGACAACTAACAGTATTGCAATACATATATACCTATCCTAGATTTTTGTGCCTACCTTAAAGTTTTTATTGACATTTAGTGATAAGCACTGTTAAAGTCAGAACTCCTGCTCTATAAGCATAGTAAAAATATTTTCCAAAGTAAAATAATTGACTATCTACCTGCCCAATTTTTATGAAGATGATAGCGGAAACACAAATTAATTATTTTTTTGCCTAAATTAATTACCTTATTGGATCAACAATGTTTGTTTTAAATTAAAAAGTATTTTGTGATTTAAGAGGAATTCTTGCAAAATAGGTAGAGAGACAAGCGCAGTATGTAAATTTGAATCATCCTTTTCAATTTTCACCCAAATTTTGGACAGGTGGCAGGGTAATTAGCACGATCCCTGCTTTGTAACCAAGTACACTATGTCAAGATATGTATAGCAGGTATAGTCCTAGATTTTGACCTGGATAATTCAGGTACACTGCAGGTAGAGTCCTAGATTTTGACCTGGATAATTCAGGTCCATATCAGGTAGAGTCCTAGATTTTGACCTGCATCCTAGATTTTGACATGCATAATTCAGGCCATAGTAGAAATTTTTTGACAACACATTAGTAACCACATATCACCAATTAAATACATGTTTCTTATAAACCAGACATTTTTTCTACCTATTCACAGAGATCGACTGCTATCTATACTTCTAATTGATAGGGATATTAATCTACATTTTTTTTCACAAAAATGGAAAAATGTGTTTATTTCCATAAAACATAAAAATAAAAGTGAAACCATAGAGATATGAAATGGCCGAACCGGGATGTGAACCCGGAACCCTCTGAACCCTAGACGGCTGCTCGAAACGACTGAGCTACCTGATCGCTGGCAATCAACCCAGACCAGTTCGCTACAAAAGCAAAAAACAACCTTCATAATATAGCAATAATTTAAGTGCTAAATGATATATAAATATGTATAACAGAAGAAATAATTTAAACACATCCAGAGATTTCGAAAGACTTAAGTTGATGGATGTGAGTTAAATATTTTGTGCTAGGAAAGGAAAAAATGGCCAGACTGGGATTCAAACCCGAGGACTTTGATCTCTAAAGAGAGATGCTCTAACAGATTGAGCTCTATCATCATCTGGTAGCCATTGTGCGTGACCCGGTCCAGACCTTCCATGGGTATATTTAGTTAGGGACCAAATGTAGGACTCGAAGAGAATGAAAAAATGCAACTGCCAGACATAGCTCTCATCGTCATCAGCTACGTTTTCACAGCTACCATAGTGGTAACATTATGGATGTATTTATCGACAGAGGAGGCCAGTGCCAGTTAGTACTAATACTGATACCCAGCTCCTCTACCCCGGCCGGACTCTGACGACGCAATATATAAAAAAAATCTCTCAGTCGTCAGAAAGCTACATTAACGCAACTATAAGTACCAGTGTGCTCAGATAAAATGATCAGATCATAGAAAAAGGGAATAGTTTAACAAAAGGGGTCCAAAATCCTGAGTCTCCCTCTATGAAAGGAAGAGTTGGCAAATAACAGAATAAGAAATACATACTTAAGTAACGCCTTCTTTGCTTTTTTTGAGCCCCTCCATATAAGAAATTTGTGAGAGTCTCCCGGTCAAAAGTGGCCCTCTTTCTCTCTCTCTCCAAATCCGGATTGACAGCAGAAGCCATGGTCTGTACAGTTCTGTTCGGTCCGTTGATGTGATCCTCTAGCTCCTGACACAGTGTTTTTAACAAGAGTGTGTACAAAGGTGAAGAGAGGTTCCAAGTTCATTAAAAAGAAACTACAAATAATTTGCAGACAAAGAAATAAAACTAAAGCGAAATCCTGAACAAATGTTCAAATGCGAAAAAAAAGATATTTATGAATTGTTTCAATAAAATATAATAAGAGCAAGGAACGTGCTTACCGATGCTCCGAACAAAGTGAAATCACGTTGTACACAATTACCCCTGAAAGGCCTCTTGACTTCATACATACGGGCAATTCATATTCATTTTGTCAGCGCACGCACCCCACGAAAATGGCGACTTCCAGGAGAAGCGTGGGGAATACGAGTGCTCAGTTAGAAGACGATGATGCATTCGTTTATGTTTTTGATCGAAGAGACAGCGATGTACCTGAAATCAAAATTCCAACCGGAGGGCTTTTTACTTACGTAGATTTTAAAGCGCGTGTCCGTGAAGTAAGGTTTCGTTTTGAATACACGTTTTCCTTTTCTGTTGTTCTCGTTTGTTTACAAACACACGTCTATTTGGAGGAGGACGTGCCCCTGTCTGTGTTGAAACGTTCAATTGTTTTGCACAAAATACACCTATTTTCTTGCCATGAACTATTGCAATTGCTGTCTTGTTTCTATTATGTTTACGTTTGAAGCAAATGGGCAAATATCAAATAGGCAGATGCTTTAATATTATTTAACGAAAATTACTGTCATTGTGTCATTGATTGTTCGAAGTTGATACTTTAGTTATCTCTTGTGATTATCATTTGTTTATATAAGGGTTATTTTTTGCAACATTACATGCACCTTTTAACCAGCGTTTGTATGTTGATCAAGTGGGGGCTCAATTTAAATTATCACCCTTAATTATAATTCCTGCATTGGGTTTTGTTACCATTAACCAGATTAGGTATACATAAATTGAGAGAGCATCTTTATATTGAATTAATAAATAACTAGTTATTATTGATTATGTAGTTAACTTCATATAGCAAATCACTGATGTTTGTTTTGGTCTGTAAACCAATCATAGTGTCAGGAGACTTTGTCAAGTTTGATGTTTGGTTTGTTGAGGTGTTTAGCTCCTACATGAATCCGCCCTTACAGGTTTCATCTCACTGACAGAAGTCGATGTTTAGGTTTGTGGTTTCAGTAAAGTATACGTATGTAGTGGGTTACACACCAGACATCTGTACAGAGTTGTCAAAACCACCCTCAGTCGAAGGAAGACTCCCTCGTTTGACCAAAATTTCCCAATCTCCCTTGAAACTCCCTCATTCAAGTCCAAACTCACACAAACTCATAATCTATATTCTATGGTCAAATAATCATGATGTATTGCAAGATGTGTGTAATGATCATAACAGGTGTGTCTGAACAGATTAATGCTATTTGGAGTTATTTTAACACATAAAAAGGGAAAGATAAATTGAGCAAAGCAGTCTCAATCATGTTTCACACACTTTCTCCCTCATCTGGAAATGTGGAATGAGGGAGATCTCCCTCATTGGAGGTTTCAGAGGTTGACACCTATATGTCTACATATCGGTCAAAGTTTTAAAGTTTTGGTGTTTAGGTCAAAGAAAACTTAAGCTAAAGGGCTTTAACTCTGTTTCTAATAATACATTTCACATGTAAGTATTCCAGCTATATCAAGGGTTCCCCTTAGTGCTGTACCATAAAATCTGCTAATTACTGCTGGTTTGACGTATTGGATAATTCATCGTTTAGTACCAGTCATGTATATGTTACACTATATACATTGTTTAATTTTTTTTCTTTGATCAGGCACTTGGGATTAAGAAGTCAGAGTCTTTTGTTATAGCAACGACTAACCGTGAAGAGATTAAAGATGATGATTCATGGGGTAAGTAGCTCAAAGAAATGAAAAGGTAAACATCTTAAAAATTGTACACTCCTATTTTTAATGTCATAACACTGTAGTGAGCAGTTCACCACCTAATATACATAAAATTTCACTAGTATTGAGTTTTACATGTCTACTCAAAATGCCTCCAAATGCAACTAGAAGTGGAGTGGATTGCATGTAGAAAACAATGGTGTCAACTACAATGAACCAATACTTTCTATCAAAAGACCTGGTAGAAAATATTTCAGTTTACAGTTTTATGATCATAAAATATTTTAAAATCATAAACATGAGCAAGTGACTTTATGTTTTCCAATGTAAGCAAATTTTTAAATATCTTACCAGGCAAGACTTTCATTTTCAGTCAATTATAAAAGTTTTCACTAATTATAATCTAGCATGAAAGGTACAAGCCCTGGGCAAGTAGAATTGTACACTCCTGAAATTTTTCTAGCATGTTGAATATATTATATGCATTTAAATCTCAATATTCAAAGAATTCTTTTTCTTGCAGATATTATTGACAAAGGAGATACACTGTACATATTGCGAAATATTCAGCAGGAGTTATGTGCCCCTGCACAACAAAGGGTCAGTTATCTGCCCCATTACGACACCATTGTCAAAGGTGGCATGTATGAATATTACGCCTCAGAGGGACAAAACCCACTTCGTAAGTTCATCACGTACATATACAGCAATATAGGAGTATACATATAAACTTTATTTATTTTAACAACAATTATGAAACAAGTTATTGCAACTTATATTAATCACTCTTGTTGGCCCGGGTGTTAGCGTGCAGGTGGTCTGAATGATGGAGGAAACCGGAGCACCTGTGGGAAAAAAAACCTTGGTCGGGCAGGTAACATCATACATTTTCACACAAGTGCGCTATCCACTGTGCCACCAGACCACCCATATATAGAAAAAGGTTTCTGCTTGGATTAAAATCTGCATTGGTCAGAAACAAAATACACACATGTATCCACGTGTTTCTTTTTTTCCCCTACCTACCTGGAAAAAAATCCTTCTTATCTGAAATATTTTTAATCCAAAATTAAGAAATTTGATTTAAGCTTAATCCATTTAGTAGAATCCACTTATTCAGAATCATTGAAATGCAGTCAAAGATTTTTTTTTTTACATTTTTAAATTTTAGAAATAGAATTTTCTGACAAATGACATACATCTATATATATAATAAATTGATATTATTTATTTGGAAATAAAATCTTTTGACTACCGACCTGCACTCATGATCAATATCTTATGGAATAGGAAACACATGTATAATTATATTTGGCCTTATCATTGCAAATATAAAAAAAAATCTTCAAGTAAGATTTCTTAATTTATTATTCTTTTTATTAGGACTTATGTATACATAATCAGTGTTTAAACTTGTTAGAACAGCAGTAAACTATTTCCATGAAAAAACCCACTGTAAGTCTATGAGAATCAATTACTTCATAGACCATGTTGTCTTTGAAGTCATTTATCATTCTGTGACAAGTTTTGTAGGGACTGAGGGAAAAATATTCAACAAAATTGCTTTCCTTCTTACTGTTACATGTATTTCATTTCCTGTTATCTATTGCTTAACGAAACAGTTAAATTTTCCTGGTCAAAGCCTGGTCTATAAAAATACTAAGTAGACCTATTCCGTCTTTGAATATTGCAGAGTTATCTGCTCTTGTGAGCAGGTATTGATTGTTACGTCATTTGTTTGTGAGAGTAACGTCATCAATTTCTGAGAAAACGACATAATTTTCTCACACAAACCAATGACGTAACAATCAATCCCTCTCACAAGAGAAGATAACTCTGCAATACGCAAAGACGGAATAAGAAGTCAAGATTACAAAGACCTATTTTGCAATGGTATGTAAATTGTAAATTCTGTGGCTGCAAAACATGTTATTTTTGTATTTCAAAATAGTCTGGCTGGAATCATTTTAGTATTGAAGTAGACCCAGAATGTAATCACAGATTTAATCCTGTTTGTTTATTTCCAGCCTATGCATTTGCTGAGTTGATTGACAATGCCTTAGCTGCAACATCGAACAATCTGGGAGCACGCTCCATTGAAATACGTCTGGTATGTTTGATTTTTTGTTCTGTGCGTGTCCGGTGAAGGCATTTTTTTCAGAGACCTCCACCACCGACCAAATATTAAAATGATTTAATATTGGGAATGGTGGTCAGCTTTGGTTTTACACCCACCACTTGAAATATATATTAATAATAATATACAACATTTGATATAGCGCCCTATCTAGATTTGGTTTTACACCCACCACTTGAAATATATATTAATAATAATATACAACATTTGATATAGCGCCCTATCTAGCTAACATAAGCGCTTTACAGTACAAAGATATACAATTAATACAATTAGCATATATATAAATACATGTGGCTCCCACGTCCCATATACTAACCTGACACCCTAGGCTAGTGAGTTCAGTGTCAGGGCTGTTGAACATTTTCATTATAGTACATGAGTCTACTAACCTAACACCCTAGGCTAGTAAGTTCAGTGTCGGGGCTGTTGAAAATTTTCATTATTTACTTTGAAGATATAGAATGGGGTAGAAGACATGTTCAAAATCTGCCTTCAGGCTAGTACTATAAAATTGTATATCCTTGCATTATTTGCAGAGATATCAGGTAGATAAAAAATTCATAGTGTTGTTCAGGGATGTAATTCTTCCTTTTGTAGGCGATGTTTTATTACTGTAAAGATGAAATATTTGTGGAAACTTTCCTGTTGTTTCACAGTCAGCTAAGAAACCTACTCCAACAATGTTAGAGGTTTTACACGGCGAAAAACTTTTGACAGGCGCCGCGTAACCTCTAACTGCCCATAGCTGATTTTCCCGATGCTGACTATCACATTTTCAAAGTTCGGATTAAGAAAGAGTATATCGTGTTTACATACATTTAAATGGTCAAAAGGGTCCAATAAATATTCCTTTCCATAAATCCATGATTATATGAGAAAAATTTCATGTCAAAGACATAAATAATGAGTTTTTCCTCATTCGAAGCGAAGCAGACAGCATTTGCCATGATTTTTCCGGTTAATACAAAAATGGATTACATGTAATGTTTCACAAGCGGAATACAAACAAACTCCGTATCATTTCGTTCCGTTTGAAATCCCCCCTGATATTTTGTATTAATCCAGAAGCCATGTTTTAAATGTAGGTCAGAGATGTGCTACAACGACATGGACATGTATTTTGAGTGTTCTATTCCGTAATATACTATATATTTGTGTCTGTGACATATATATGAGATCTATATTATATAAACCATGAGTAGACATCGTTGTCATGAACTGTTAACCACTTATGTGAGTTTTTCAAGCCGATTTTGTTCCGCCCGGATTTCGGGCGGAAACTGCATCAAAGAATTAGTGCTTCGGAAATGAGAGGTCGCAGTCGGCAAAATCATATCCGATTGAAAAAAGACCGACCAGCGGCCTCTCATGTTATGGGAGTACTAAGAAGCCCTGAGTACCTGTGAACTATAGTCTATCAAATTGTTCAAACTTTACATGGTTTGAAAAGTATTTCATTTGAAAGTCTTAACTAATAATTTTGCTTTTAAAATGTGTGAGCTTTATTATTTCACTTAATTTTCTTTATCCATGTAGTGTGTTCTTCATATTCTGAAACATAATTTTTGTATAAACCTTGCTTTCGTTAACAGCACTTTGACGACAGTAACCCCAGTAAGAACTGCGTCTATGTGATAGACAATGGGAAAGGCATGACGCCACGACAGCTCAACAACTGGGCCATCTACCGACTCTCCAAATTCATCCGCAAGGACAAGCGAGGCAAAGTGTACGTCATCAAAATTCTTCATTTTGTTTCAGTGATCTTGGTGCAGAAATAACTACATACTACATTAACACCACTAGACCTAGAAAATTTGGTTTGAAATTAAAGTTAATTAACACATCTGTCTGATACTTGCTTCATCTAATCATAAACCCGATACATGTTTGATTTCCTGGTCATTTTTTAAGCCCTACGAAAGACGGGACATATAATGTTATCACCTGGGCAGATGGTTGGGTGAGCGTGCATGGTGTCGGCTCAATATCTCCAGTAATTTACAACGGATAAACTTCAAACTCCTTAGGAAAATTAATTACCATGAAAGGTCTGAAAAGTTCGATAACCACCATTATCTGACTGAGTTATGCCCCCTTTATCAATTGCTGAATCATCGTCTGCTAGATATCTTTAAGTAGTTTTCAATTGCTTCAAACTTCATGAGAAGGTTATTTAATTTGAAAGCTCGGACAAGTTTGATAATCACTGTTATCCATCAGTAATATACAGAGTTATGCCCCTTTATTTATCAACTTGTGACAGGCATATTATGTAACCTTATTGAGGTTCAATCATTGGTAATATCTAAAACGTTTACATAAGTAGGCCCAGCATTTTAGATTCAGGTTTCCTACAGTAATCACAGTGTCCGTCCATCAATCTATCTGTTTGGGAAAACATTTATGACAAAAGNGGGGGGGGGGGGGGGGGGGGGGGGTATAACAATATGCGGTGAAATCCTCCTATTCTGTTGGTCTGTATTTGTTCATACTTAATGGTAAATCGTACCCGTCTGATAACATAAAGTGTGTAATGTGTTACTATTAACCATATTCTGGAATGAGAAACGATTGCTGTGGTTTCCACTGTGAAATTAAGGGGGAATTATATACAGCCAGGCACAAGTTCTAGTTGTCCAGGTATGAATAAAATGGGGAGTGAGACAGAGGCATATAAAACTGGTAACATATGGATGGTCAGGTTTAACACGCTTTTTCACATTAGACCAGAGGTTCTAGTGGCAAAGAAGAAAGGTAAAAAATAAAATTAAGTGAAGGGGTCACAAAAAAAGCCCCCCCCCATTTATTTCTGGATTAGCCCCTATACATTTTAAAATCTGCAAAACTAATACTGTAGATACTGTATGCCAAGAACTTTTCGCTGTGGTTTTATTTTCGTCTCGTATAACGAGGGTGAATTTTATCATTACGGGGATCATTATTAAACGACATGATATACATAGTAACTAAATGTATAGGGCAAAATTTGAATTTGGACTCTAATTTGCCGGCGATGGGATAAGTTTGACCAGGCGAAGTTTTTCCTGTATACAGTATCTAATGATAAAATCTGATTTTACGCCTTTACATAAAACTTTTTCTGTTCGCATTCTATATTGTCTTTTTATTGGTTGCAGACTCTCCTGGAGGTGAAAAATGTTTTCTCGTTATTTAGTTTAGTGTTAATGTTACCTTCTAACATAGAGTAATTATTAGTATGCAATACATATATAATATATACTGGTACCTAATGTATGCACCATATATCATATGGCAGTTCAACTGGCTCCTTGTATTCTATTCCGTCTTTTTGTATTGTAGAGTTATCTGCTCTTGTGAGCAGGTATTGATTGTTACGTCATTAGTTTGTGTGAGAAAATGACATAGTTTTTCTCAAAAATGTATGACGTTACTCTCACAAACAAATGACGTAACAATCAATACCTGCTCACAAGAGCAGATAACTCTGCAATACGAAAAGACGGAATAAACCCTATTCTATTAACTTCTTTTGTAGTCTAAATTAGTGTCCTGCATTAATAATACCATCCCGGAAATCCAAGGGTTCCATTTTCATTACATACTGTAAACTGGGTAATTCCATGCAGTTTATTTTTTCGCCTTATTATCCTTACAGCGAATATAAGTCAACAATATTAACCCTTTCACCCCTAGTTTACTTTAGTAGACTCCGCTATACATTTATCTGTATGAGTCCACTCTGATCTACAGTGGTGAAAGGGTTAACATAGTTAAATGTAAAGGGGGAATAACACTGGACAAATTTGGATTTCACAGACGAAAGGCGAAAGTTTGAATTGGCGAAACATTTCTTGGTATACAGTTTATCTTCTGTGCATCCCTGGAATATGTCATTGAATTGGATGATACAGAAAGACTTATCTGACAACTTTGATGGAATTCGAACAAATTCCGTGGTATTATAAAGTTTAGTTAAATCGACAGGCTTTGAAGAAGTGTGTAACTCATCTCTAATCTTGAAAGAACAGTTATCAGCCTAGCGAACAGTTATCAGCCTAGCAATTGGTCAGATTTAATTTTGTATGTCTGAAACCAATCATAAAGCTTATCATGAACCTACAATTCTATCATGACATATTGCAGAGAAGATGTGTGTAGAGAGGGGACCCAACTTATCTGTTCATTAATCATTATCAACATCACCTATTACTGGAAATAATTTCCTTACTGTTCATCACTACAAATACCAATTTCCAGGTCCAAGGAATGCAAAACATCTCTATGAAACTAAAGAAATACACTGAACACTTATTCTGACTCTCTTATAAATATCTGAATTCATCTTCAATAGTCAACCAAGTTTACTGTAAAGAGTGACTAAATTTTGCGGCTAAATTCTGGAACATGTTAGATGAAAATAAAGCAAGACTGGCTTTTTAGCAGTTGATAATTTGTGGAATGTGGTGTTAGAATGATTTGTTAACATAAGATTTTCTAGATTATATAGTGTAACAAGTTGATGTGGGGAAAATATCAACTTTCCTTCATGATGTATGGCTTAAATGTGTATTTTTCAAAAATTCTACACGATAAAGGACTTGAAATGTACTTACATTTTAGGTACAAAATGTATTGTATTTTGTATTATTAACCTCTTTTTTCTGCTTTCTAATGATGCATGCAGAAATTCTCCTGATTTGCAAAATATTTCAATACATCTACAATTTAATTCCTTGTTTTCTATGTTATATAAGCTTTATTTATTTTACAACAATTATACAACGTATATTAATCACATGCTGAGGGTCATAATGTGGGAGGAAACTGGAGTACCCAGAGAAATCCTACAGGGTTGGGTAGGTGACCTCATACCTTTTCATGTCCGATCAGGGAATCGAACCCTGGTCGCCTTGGTGAAAGGCGAGTGCGTTATCCATTGCGCCACCCGATCACCCACTGTTTTCTATAACATTTGGACATGCACCTAGAGGTGGGTGAAGGGAGGGGTTCATACGAACTAGGAAGCAATACATTAAAACATTCCAAAACCTTCAAAAGTCTAATTCGTTATACATGTAGCTGTTGACAGAAAACTAGCAAGTCCCAAATGGCAGAGAACACTGACAAATTGCTGGAAGTCTGCTCTTGTACATGTAGATTACACTGATATATATCCCACAGCATACATTTAGAGTAAACCTTTCATATCGTTAACCCCAGTGCAATACATTTTATTTCTATAAACATTCTGGCAGTTTAGAAATGATAAAAATGTGTGTTTTTTCTGTTTCATATTTGTCAGATGTAGTATTTCTGATGGGCTCGATTTTGGGGGAATCAATTCTTTTACATTTAACCTTTCAAATTTCTGTTGAAAACCTGAAACGTGTTTTTGTCCTTATTTGTTATTTAACCGTAGAATATATTTAACTTTCAGTTTATTGTTATTAGAAAATTCAGATTTTTGTTTGTTGCTGTTGTATTTTGGTTCAACACTCCATCAATGTATATGTATGTAGGTCACTGTGACCTTTATTTCATACAATCTATTTCATACAATCTATTTCATACAATCTATTTCATACAATCCTAAACTTGGTAAAACTTTGTGTTAAAATTTCAAATTCAATTATTTGAGGAAAATTTGTCAGAGGTTTATCAGGGCACATTCCAAATTGAAAAATTGTAGATTTTCCCAATTTGCCCCTTTAAAATTACCAATGGAGAAACAAACAAAAAACTGCATCAATATATATAAATTCCTCACACTTGACCGAGTTCTCAGATCTAGAATACAAAACAAGCAGGAAGGACAAGATCATTATTTATGTTCTCATAAAGATGGACTTAAATGAAATTGAATAGTCCAAATTCATATGCTGTTGGCATTTTCTAAATTTATCTCAGGGTCCGTTTCCAAAAAAAACCCTGATAAACACCTGTTTGTGTTAACATTTTACTTCCATTTCTTTGGTTAGACTTTTTTTGGTTAGCTCCACATTTACTTCAAACCAGGCCGAGGAACATACATATGCTTTACTTTCATTTTCAGATAAAGGGTCACTTATAAATAGAATATAGGTGAAGTAGATGTAACTGTTTGGTTGCATCTTCAGAAGCTCGCCTCATCCAAAGTCTACGTGAAATATCATGTACATTTTGTACGCTATGGTGTGTTGTCCATTTATCAACTTCTCTTTAAAAATCTGCTTCTAATCCTTATCAACCTTGTGAATTTTGACTGAAAGTGTTCCGGGGGAAAAAAGTGTGGTGTCCAATGTTTTATAAAAAGGGGATGTTTGGTTCAGGAGGCTTTGAATTTTTTTTTCCTTTTCCTGACCAGTTGGCATAACTTAAATAAAAAATAATTAACAAAGCATACTTGGAACCGTGTAATCAAATGCCATTAAGGAACGTTATTGTCTTTCTTGGCCCAAAATGAGAAATATTAACAAAATTAATAAATGAGGATAGTTTGCCATGATTGCTTACATTTCTAAGTAAGTGATACAGGTCCTCTGGGGCTCTTGTTTATTAAAATGAATCCTTGGACTATTGCAGAAGTGTCGGTGAAGAGGATGATGATAAAAAACAGGCTCAGAGTTCAGCATACACCCCACTCTCCCTCAACAGCGATATCTCCTACTTTGGTGTTGGAGGAAAGCAGGCCATCTTCTTCATAGGAAACTCAACCAGGGTAAGGATTCTCACCGGAAACTGTTTTCATGATATAAATATCTCACCATTAACTCACCGTTGTCAATGTTATATTATTAGTCTACGACTACTACTATTGACGGATCTACTGGTGTTACTGGTACACACTGCCAGTCTGTACATCCCGCTCTGTAGCATGTGGGGCTGAATTTGCCTGTGTGTTCCTTCCATGCATAGTTCAGTCTTGATTTAAAAGAGTTCAATAATGGAGCGTTTACAACTTCAGGTGTTAGATTGTTCCAGAGTTCAGTCACACGGTTTGAAAAAGTGATTCCTCTTAGTTTGTACAGGTTTACCATGTCCACTCTTTCCCCTCTGTATTCTTATGATGAAATTCCTAATTTCCTCAAATGTTAATAGAAGGAAAATAGGAAACCCAACCAGGGTTAATAATCTGGCTTTGAACTGTTTAAATTCAACCTGGTTGAGGAAACTGGCCAGGAACTGTTTTCATTATATAGATTTTAGAAAGAAAATAGAAAGGTTGACAAGGGTAGCAAATCTGGCCGTGAAATTGCATTCTCAACCAGGGTAAGGAATTGGCCAGGAACCATTTTCATGATATACTTAATAGAAAGAAAAAGGAAAGATGACCAGGATAACATAACTGGCGAGGAAGAATTTGGCAACAAAATTTGAAGCTGAACCATGTTAATGAATCATATGGCAGACATATGTACAACTTCATGGTACACTTAAATAAACTTACAATTAAGTAAAGAGAACTGATAAGTCTTTTATTTGTGTCATTTTGTAGATGATTACAAAACCCATTGAGTCAAAGGATGTACACGAACTTACTATATCAAAGGAAGAGTTTCAGATGAAAGAGAAAAACCAGGAGGCCATATACAGTGGTTATATCCGGAACAGGAAGGTAATGTATTATAGTGATTTTGTCGGATTTTTTAGGACCCCAACCCGGAGATGCAGGTGCCGTATAGAAACCAATGTATCAGTCCACACTCTAGTTTCCCGGGATTATATAAAAAAAAAAAATTGACATCATGATACACTGTGATGTAAAGATGTGACAAAAGGGTTCAAAAAAGTTCCTAAGGTCAAGGTCGCGCTTAATAAAAATAGATACGGGGTGGGGATAGGGGGATGTTTCAGTCCCTTTCTCCGAATCCAAAAGTCTAATCTTTTTGAAATTTTATAAAATGATGCATTATGATATATAGATGTGCAATAGGGGGTTTGAAAGTTTAAAAGTCCAGTGCAAGGTATATAATTACTGCTACTAAACATATACCATGTGAGGTTATGGTTAGTCACATGGCGCGGCCCTTGCTGACCTGTCACTGTTCTAGTTTGAACATGATGTTTGAATTGTTGATGAGTTCCATTACTAAAAGATACGTATACAGGAGTAGGTTGTTGGCTAGTCTTACAGGAAAAACACAAGTACAGGGCCTGAACTCATGAAACTATTCTAATGCTGTGCTCAGAACAACTTGATTGTAACTTACATGAATCATGTGACACAGCCAAAAATTCAAATCTTTAAAAACATTATTTTGGTATAAGTCTTCAGAATTCTTTATTATGTGAATAGAAATTATATGCTCTTACAGCCTGGAGACAGTTCTCACATTTCTATACTCTTACAGCCTGGAGACAGTTCTCACATAGCTGCGGAGGACGAGATTCTAGGGAAGGTGATTGAGGAAGAGAAGGAACGAGAACACTTCACTGTGGTCGAGATTCACGGCATCAACCAACAGCATATGTCCTATCTCAAACTACACATGAAACAGTGGACAAGGCAGCTCGCGTAAGGAGTTTCTTCTGACAGAGTGTACAATTTATACAAGTGCCCGAGGCCAACAGATTTAATTTCGGGACTAGTGTAAATTTTCAGTATTAGCTATGAAAATATAGGTCGGGATTGTGGAATTTTTCAAAATCTGGCTGTGGCTACTGCTGTATATAATACACCTGTCAGCTGGTCAACCAATAATTGATTATAATATTTGTTGAAATGAAAATAGTTACAAATTCATGTAGATTGATGAAGTAAGTTAAATGAGAAAAGAATTTCCTGACAGTTATGATTAAGTATTATTTGGAATTTATTGAATGTTTTGAAAAATTTCATTTCATTATGCAAGTAATTGAGGTGTGGAAAATAAATGATTTCTCCCATTTCTGTATGTGTAAGATAGAGCTGTCCAGGATTTAAAAAGGGATGTAAGAAATTTCTAGGCTTTATGTGACGTGACGACACTATGGCTCAACAATGACGTGTTGTCACAAATTTTGAAAACTGGTGCCGCAATGCAGAAAAGGCGACATGATGAAACTAAAACCTTTTACGTTATATTTACCGTACACATTACATAGATGAAATATTTTTTTCTGCACAAACTCAAATGTTTTATTTCATTGCATAACAATCAGATTCTCCACCATCTTAAAATCTGCCAAATTCTGCGGTCCTGGAGGTGTTTGATTTCAATAGAGAACACTGTATTCACCAAAAAAATATTCTAGACTAAAGGATCCTTCATGTTAAACTTTTTGGCAGGAGACATTCTTGCTTTGTTGTATTAACTCATTCACCCTTGAAATTTCATCATTCATAATGAACTATTCCAACCTTTGAATTGGAAGAGTTTGAATGTGTCTTCAGGGATAAATGAGTTAAATCAAGGCCCGATGTTATTTTTACAGCCATATATACCATTACTACATTCACGGTCCACGGGGAAATATCGACGTAGAGGAAGTCAACTCTGGACGAATACCCAGTCCCTTCAAAAACATCGACATTGAGGTAAGTCTCACAAAAACATGTTACAGTTAACTTATCACCCCTGAACTTTCATAGTGAACTATTTCAACCTTTGAATTGGAAGAGTTCAAATGTGTCTTCAGGGGTGAATGAATTAAGTATCCCACATGTGTGGAGATACAGAAGAAAGGATTGTAGTTGGAAAGTGTCTCATATGAAGAATTGAGTGACCCAATACCTGCCTGATGTGGACGGGCAGGTGACCCAATACCTGCCTGATGTGGACGGGCAGGTGACCCAATCCCTGCCTGATGTGGACGGACAGGTGACCCAATCCCTGCCTGATGTGGTCGGGCAGGTGACCCAATCCCTGCCTGATGTGGACGGACAGGTGACCCAATACCTGCCTGATGTGGTCGGGTAGGTGACCCAATACCTGCCTGATGTGGTCGGGGAGGTGACCCAATACCTGCCTGATGTGGTCGGACAGGTGACCCAATACCTGCCTGATGTGGTCGGGTAGGTGACCCAATACCTGCCTGATGTGGTCGGGGAGGTGACCCAATACCTGCCTGATGAGGTCGGGCATATGACCCAATACCTGCCTGATGTGGTCGGGCAGGTGACCCAATACCTGCCTGATCACATGTAAAATGCAATTTCAGTTCATGTTCATGTTTCATACACTTTTACATCTTTGTCAGTGTAATTACATGTATTTTAACCTTAATTTGTTTGGTTTTGGAAAAATAAGAAGTACTTACAGCTTTTTTGTGATTTTGAATTATATGTATATATATTGGTCCAGATACCTCTAATTAAGTTCCCAGACTTTCACTGCAGGTGATTGCTAAGTAAAATGCAGGTCATTGAAGGTAACAACATTTTTGATCATTTAGTTGTAAATATGTGAGCGTTACGACACCCAAATGCAGGTTGAGCTGCACAATTCTGGGTCACTTGGCAGGTCAGAGTCTTAAAGGTGCTTTATTTCCTGATCAGTTCAGCATAAATTATATAAATTGAAAATAATGTCCATTGAGGATGTATTGATAAGTAAATCATAAGACCAAATTCCATTTCTAGGTGAAGCTATTTACAAAGGGCCATCCCCACCCTCGCGTTGTGAATCTACGGGATGTGGACGACGACATGCAGACTCAGTTCCTACGCACCGCAGCCAATACGTTTGAGTTCAAGGCCAGTGTGGAGGGGTCAGGGGTCGTGGAGGGGGTACTGAGGTATCACCCCTTCCTGTATGACCGAGAGACTTATCCCTCTGACGCCAATGATCCCAGAAGTAAGAAATCTTTGGTGAATGGACCATTTGTTACTCTTGGTCCCGATATTTCGGCCTTCTGACCGCAAAAAGGTATTTCCTCCACTTCTGAAGATACAAGATGGATGTAACTTGAGTCCATCATTGAATTTCGCCTTGAAGAAGGTCAGGAGGCAGAAAGAATGGGACTGAGAGTGACAATTGTTTTATCAGTTCCCTACTTAATTTGGGCCCAAATTATGTTGCTGTATTTAGTTGGAATAGTTCTCGGCTTTTTGCTGCTTATGCATCTTATTTGATAAACTAAAATGTATGATTGGAGATATATTGCCTGAATATATGCAGGCTTGGTAATACTTGAGATTGGAGATATATTGCCTGTATATATGCAGGCTTGGTAATACATGAGATCGGAGATATGTTGCCTGTGTATATGCAGGCTTGGTAATACTTGAGATTGGAGATATATTGCCTGTATATATGCAGGCTTGGAAATACATGAGATCGGAGATATGTTGCCTGTATATATGCAGGCTTGGGTATACATGAGATCGGAGATATATTACCTGTATATATGCAGGCTTGGTAATACTTGAGATCGGAGATATATTGCCTGTATATATGCAGGCTTGGTAATATATGAGATCCCTTGGATTTGAAAGTAGAATGTAATTGAAAAACCCCTTTAAACAGTGACAGCTGATTGTACAGTTTTGTTTAAATACTTGTTGTTACTTTTACTAGTTGAACCTGAAGCATTTGATGACCATGACTATGCCATCAACGACCGCCCAGCTAGAGGGAGACGCCCCGTGTTTGAGTGTTACTGGAACGGCAGACTCATCCCCTACACTTTTGTAGAGAAGTATGGATCAGAGAAACCTTCATTATCTGGAATTATTTTTTAAAGTAGTTAGATATACAAATACCAGTATGAGGTAGATAGATTTGGGATAAGCAAAACTAGGTCATACTACATGTCTGTATCTATTAAAATTTGGACAATTAACTGTTTCTAGTTAAATATACAAATACGAGTATGAGGTAGATAGATTTGGGATAAGCAAAACTAGGTCATACTACATGTCTGTAACTATTAAAATTTGGACAATTAACTGTTTCTACATTTTTTACAAAATGGGACCTCGAGAGCCATAACATTTATACTGTGAGAAAACTAGTTCCCTAGAGACTAGACAATAACTATACTGTACGCAAAAAAAAAACAAGCTATAAAAACAGGATTCTGAGAACCACAACTGGTCTCTTGTAGGATGGCAGCTGATGTGTTACGCGATGTAAACTTTTGAACAGTTTCTTTCTTTCATTATCATGTAATGGTTATAAATGCATCACATTTCTGCTGATTTTAGAAATTTGATAAGATGCTGTCTAGAAAATCATTTAAAATTTACAAATATGTTATGTTGGTGTTGAATTTATTTCAAGTTTTGACTGGTGTGCCGAGCCGAAGAAGAGTAGGACTTTACCATTGGAATGTTACAACAGGTGAGACACAATATCTTTTTAAATGACCCCCACACTTGGCTATTGTTCTCAAATACACTGGTAAGATTGAACCAGTTTGATGTCAAAAACCGTGCAGGTTCAGGAAAGAAGAGGCCTGATGGGCCGCTTTCGTTTATTGCGATCCAAATGGTTGAACCGGTCGGACCACAGTTTTACGTTTATGAAATAAGGTAGGACCTAGTGTTCTAACGATGCTTTCAGACGAGCCTTGACAAAGCCTTGCAAGGCCTGCATAAACATTTGCAGGTCCGCCAGGGTTTATACCCGAAAATGTTACTTTAAAAAACAGACAAACAGGTTGTTCCGCATAAATGAACATGCCCCTGTTGTATCCCATTGCACTTGTGTATGAGGTGACTAATCTCAAAAGCAATTTCAGAAATCAAAACCCTTTTTTTCTGAGATTTGAAGGCTGAAAGCAAATGTCAAAAAGACAAATGCAAGAGGCAAATCTCTTTTTTGGGAGTCAAAAAGATACTCCAAAGGGTCTACTGACAGCCTGGTCTATTTACCAGTGACCTGGAGGATGTACGGTATACAGGAAAACTTTCGCCCAGTCAAACATTCGCCTTTCTCCCATGAAATCAATTTTTACCCAGTATAATTTTCGCCTTTCATATTTAATTACTATGTACTATGGGCGGATTGGTCGAGTGGTTAACACTCAAGCCTTACAAGCAGGCAGCCGTGGTTCGATCCCCGAAGTCGATGTACACATGGAATATTCAGAGAAAGTGTTTTTCTCCTGCCACACAACTCCAACAACCCATGTGGTGTATAAAATGGTCTGGGGTAGGTGTTGCGGTATCTGTGTTGTAGCATTCAAGTGAGATGGCACTATAAATGATATCGTTGGAATCACGGTCCCACTACAAACAGAACATAATACATCTCCAGCACACACACAGGCATACACACATAGGGAGATATTAGCCAGGTGGCATAGGACTAGTAGTTAGCGCCTGATAAGGCAGCTCCTGCGAATTCCTCATTATTGTATTGATGAATATATATGCTAATTGTATTGACTGTATACAATTGTATATCTATGTACTGTTAAGCGCTTTAGAGTGGCTTATGTTGGCTAGATAGGGCGCCATATCAAATGATGTATATTTATTTATTTATTTATGTATATTTTGCTGTTTACTTATGTTCGCTGTTAAGATAAATTTGCCCTCAACACTCAGGACGAAAATGGCGAAAAATTAAACTGAAGCGAAACTCGGTATACAGTACCGATTTCTGTCTATATTTTTCTAAATTTCAGGTGTGTTGTATACAAATGACTATTTCCAGGTGAGCACAAACAAGCTCACTTTCATTGACTTGGAAATGTAGCGAAAATTACCAGTTACAGTACTGATTTCTGTCTATATTTTTCAGAATTTCAGGTGTGTTGTTTACAAATGACCATTTCCAGGTGAGCACAAACAAGCTCACTTTCATCGATTTGGAAATGAGGTTACGAGAGAAGAACACGGTGTATTCACATCTTGTCAATGGACAGGTAAGGAGAGACAGACAAAAATTTGATATCCAGGGTAATTTTTCATGGCAGTCAGGGTGAAACACTAACTATATTTGAATGGTACTCCACAAGACTATTATGATTCTATCTACGTCATATTCATTACTAGCTTTAAAATATCAACTACGATTAAATATGAAAATCACGCAGCATATGTATCCTGCAATAAGCCCAGGGGGGCCAGTACATCAACTCAAAGTAGTGGGTGGGCTTATAGCAGGACGATGAAATAGCTTCGGTTAATATTTCTACTCAACTATTTGACATGGAGGGGCTTATTATCAGGCATATTGCTGTATAAATAGGTAATTCCTTACCGAGGGCTGTTACAGAAATAAATACATTGGGTGAGGAAGGCCCTTTTTGTAATCGCTAATACCCATCATTTATTTTTCAATCCCATTACACATGTGTTTGATCAGTTAATGATGGAGATGGGGGGCAGGAAGGCACCTTTTTGTGAACTGCATTGTCTAAACAAAAATATCAAGTTTTGGCCCATTATACAAATCAAATGTTGAGTTAGCTTTGACATCAACCCTATATTAATTAAAGTGTTCCCTGTGATCCATGTATTCCTATATAGTACCAGAGTTTCCAGAGTACATGTACAGATGTTACGGAAACCTTGTAGTACAAAGCATTATGAATAAGAGTACAAATTCTCATTCTTCTATTTATTTATTCATCTTTTCAGGAGAAGAGAACGGCAATAGATCGTGAGTTTCTGACTTGGATTAAGGAATGCCACGATCAGAGTGACAAACAGATCCGCTTCTCACATTTCAAAGGTGTTGTGACCCGCCATGACTTGCCCAAACACAAACAATATCCCTGGTCAGTGTACGAACAAGTGGACTGGGATGGCAAGGCCTTCAAAAAAGGTCAACTGGTAAGGGTCAAGCTTCAGCCATGTTTGATATTGCATTCTGGGGCACATCATCCTGAAATTCCAGAGGATATGCTTACTGGTATTCTCTGCACCTCTGAAATATGTCACGACAAATCGAAGGAACATTAAGCTAATTGATTGGTTTCAGGCATAAAACATGACCAATTGTTGCGCTGATACCTGTCCTTTAATGATTACAGAGGAGTGACCTTCGACTTCAAAGCCACTCAATTTTACGGCTATGCTGGTGTGCAATTCTTTTTGACGAACATCACAGGATCAAACTAGCAAATCAACTGTTATTATCCACAAGGTGTGCGCATACAGATCTAAAAGTTGTGTCAACCGGAAAGATTGAAAGACTGAAACTATTTCGTATTTATGTCCAATTCCCAAAATTTGCAGTTTTAACCCTGAACATTTCCTTCCCAATTGGTCGTTATTTTCATTCCAAAATGAGACAAAAAGGCCCCATCCCAAATGGAGAAAAAAAACAATGATCTGGGAATGAAATTTTTGACCGTAGAATTTCTAGGCATGTTAAAATAATCCTTTTAAGTTACAAGTTACAGTGAGATCTGCTGTGTTTTAGGTGAGGATACAACGAACTGTGCCGATGTTGCTAGGTACCATCAAACGTTTCCTGCTGTACGGCGAGAATGAAGGCGACGAATACGCGACAGGTGGTGACATTGAGGTCAGTCAGGAGCCGAAGTCTATGTACGACGAGGAGAAAATTGTGCCCCTGTCCAAGCTTGATCGCACCTGTTCCTCGCAGTCTGTCCGCAGGCACATTGACGAGGAGGAGGCAAAGTAGGTCACTGTTTCTCCCATCAACCACTATGCATTATCTACATTAAGTCCTTGCATCAAAGATGCAGGTGCTCTATAGTAATTCTGGTGTCCGTCCACACTTTAAAACAGTTTCATTGATTATCCTAAAACTATGGTGTATTTGGAAGCCTTCCAATAAAATCCTTATTAGCCCCGTATTTTTGCCCGTTCTCAATCAGTTAATATGTATANGGGGGGAAACTATAGTATTGCGCCGTGTCCATCCGTCCTTCTGCTATCTTGTCGGGGCTCTATCTCCTACACTACTTGTCACTGGAACTTCATACTTGAGGTATGGGTTCACCTTGGTGAGGCGGTGTGTCGTATATCAAATGTAGGTCACTCTGACCTACATTTTGACCTTTGACCTACATCAAAGAAAAAGTTTGTCCAGGTTCAATCTCCTACACTACTTGTCACTGGAACTTCATACTTGGTGTACGGGTTCACCTTGGTGAGGCAGTGTGTCGTGTATTAAAAGTAGGTCACTCTGACCTACATTTTGACCTTTGACTTGCATCAAAGAAAAAGTTTGTTCAGGCTCTATCTCCTACACTTCTAGTTACTGGAACTTCTATTCACATTTATACCACCAAATGCAATCAAATAATGAAACGCTGTAGAATACATAGTGTCACCAGATGCAATTTAATAATAAAACGGTACCATCACTAACCAGTAAACATCCACCAGATTTATTTGCAATAGTAGCACTGACACTATTCCTTATTGAATACGGTGGGTCTGTCAAACATTCATATATAGAATTAGTTCCTGCACGAATTTATCATCTGCGCATTTCACATTCCTCATTATGTAGGGCGACAAAGACAAAAAAAAGTTGCAGCGAAAATTTACCGTTATACAGTCTATTGTCATTATACATTGATTGGATTTTTCTAATATTGTTAAACCTGCTTCAGTCCAATTCCTTAATTTTTAAATACAAGGTCTTTTTAGTGTTTTTAAGTGATTTTTGTACTGATTATATGGAGTTATTTTGGCCCATCATTGTAGATTACCGTCTACTCTGATTGTAAACTGGCCAGAGGGATACGAAGTGAAGCAGAATGAGAAAAGGCCGGCAGGGAAAACAGTGGGTAAGTTGTCAGACAAGTTTTTCAACTCTAGAGGAACTGGACTGGGTCCAACTGGCAACTAAATAACTCAATTGGAAGAGTGTCCGTCTCGAGTTCAACGGGTATGGGGTTCGAAACTTGGTCTGGCAGTGCATATTTCCATGTCAATTGTTGCAATGCTGTTTGTTCGAGGCCTAGGTAAGGCAGTCTCCAGGTACTGGCCACAGGTTGGTGGTTTTTCTCCTGGTACTCTTGTTTCCTCCACCACCAAAACCTGCTACATGTTTAAATGACTATGGGTTGTTAATAAGGCGTGAAAATCACACCTAATCCCCTGATTCAATCTACTTAAATTTTTGACCAAAATATACCAATCTCCCTCGAAACTCCCTCATTCAAGTCCAAACTCACACAAACTCATAATCTATACATCCTGTGGTTAACTGCACTCTTAAGTTACTGCAGGGTGTGTGTAATGCTCATAACAGGTGTGTCTGAATCAAATGAATGCTTTTTGGAGTTATTTTGATACAAAAGAAGGAAAAGATTTCAGTACATTTCACACACTTTCTCCCTCATTGGAAATGTGGAATGACAGAGATCTCCCTCATTGGAGGTTTCAGAGGTTGACACCTAGGATTTACCAGCAGTACCTTGTTTTAATGGTAAAATATATTATTTTCAGGTGACATCAAAGTCCAGATAGCTAACAAGAAAGGCGAACTGATCAGCAAGCTGCCTGGGACAGCTGCTGTGTCCAAGAAGCTCCTGGTCGAACTCAAGGTTGTGTGGCATTGTAAGTGTAGCATCTACGTATACCACAAAACACTTTAATAAGAAATGCAAATGAAGTTAAAAAAAAATACATTTAGGAGTGGGACGACTGGTTTGCCCGTTGTCAGTGTAATGTGACCGGGTGGGGTGTCCTGCTGGGTGTCTTCATCTGTATGTTTCAGTGAGGTAGCACTATAAAGTCGGCATCAGTTCTGCGCTATCACAAGGAGACAAACACGAATATATTGCAGCCTCCCAAAATACACACGCATAAGTATACACTACACGCATACACACACATGCATCTTGCACACAGGGGAGGCCGTCCTTAAATGACCACAATCTTTTGTGTTTAACAGCTAGCAGTGGCGATGTTTTCTATGTAAAATTGTCACAATCTTTTGTGTTTAACAGCTAGCAGTGGCGATGTTTTCTATGTAAAATTGTCACAATCTTTTGTGTTTAACAGCTGGCAGTGGCGATGAAATCATGGTATCCCACATCAGTCAACACGGCAAGAACTGGCCGTACTGGTTCAGGAAGATGGGTATGTACCTCGGCATCAGATAACTCATTCTCCCACCACTAACAGGTGTGTCTTCCGTTTCAGCCGGTAAAGATCAGCTTCACGCCTTGTCACCCACTAGGGGGGAGATAGCCTCGTGCCGATTAGCACGTGTTCAATTGTGACGTCATTAAGATGTGTCTCACCAGTATGACGTCATCCAAAGCGAATGACGGCATTTATACCCCACAAGTGTTTTTGTTTACAAACAGACTACTGTCGGTGGAGTTGTGACTGAAATAATAGGACGTGAGAAAAACAATCAAACCCTCCCTACCTTGAGGGTGTCTCACCCTCAATGTAGGGGAAGATTCTATTAATCTCAGACCTGGTGGACCCTTACATCTACATACTAATGATTTGATACGGAGAACACTTCTCCAGCCAGAGCTATTAGAAGATCTGTTAAAAACACTAACAAGTAACTCAAATGTCATTTTAGTATCGGATCTAGATGTCTTAAACTGACAACTTTCTTTTTTTTGGATATCCCAGCTTTAATCACATTGTTTCTTCGGCAAGTAGATTTGAACAGTTACTAAGCCAGACTTTTTCACCATTTATTTCGACTGAATTTTTGAAATTGTTAACATTTTATTGCAGAGAACATAAAGAATCTGGGAGCCCATACTTTATCATTACAAGTGGTACTGAATGAGAGTGGAGCAAACACCTACGCTGGCAAGCCACTACCCTCACACAAGATCAAGTTTCATGTCACTGGTAAGATCACTCAGACGTTTGATTGTCAATATCACTTAAGTGTTTGAAAGTGTTTTGGGGTGGCCGGGTGGCGCAATGGATAACACACTTAATTTTCACAAAGGCAACCAGGGTTCAATTCCCCGCTCACATGTAAAAAGGTATAGGGTTCACCTGCCCGACCACATGGGTTTTCTCCAGGTACTCCAGTTTCCTACCACATGAAGTGTACGTTAATATCTTGGCCAATAAGAGTGATTGATATAAGTTGAAATAACATTTTTTTCAGAATTGTTTTAAAATAAATAAAGTTTATATAAATAAAAGTGTTTGAATATTACTGGTAAGATCAAGGTGACTGGAAAGTTCCATGTCACTTTGAGGTCACTGAAGCATATGAGTGTAACGTGTCTTTTTGACTGTCATGCCCCAATAGTGTGAAGTTAAACATCCTTAGATTATATTCAAGATCAAAGATTGATAAATCTGATAAATTTGCCCTCTCGACAGAGGTAAAAAAAAAGGCGAAAGATAAACTGGGGTGAAAATTTCCCAGTATACAGTTTATCATTTCTCTTACAACATACCTCATCAAAGATATCTCTGTATTCTTTGTATTCTAATACAGGGACACTGTTCCTTTTATGTAATGAAACAAAAGAAGACGGAAATATTTTCAGTCAGGTTGTATGTCTGGCGCTGTATGTTTAGTCACACATTTTAAGGAATTCTTTTAAATTCTACTTTGTGAATTAAGAAAGTGAATTTCTGCAACATTTTAAAAATGATATAAAAGAAGCACACTTGGATTTTATGTGATTTTCTTTGTTTTTGAATACTTTAAACCAGGAATTTTTGTGCAGTTTATCTTATGCCTTTTTGCCTTCTTCAATTAACACATTCACCCCTGAAGTTTCATCATAAACTATTCCATCCTTTGAATTGGAAGAGTTCAAAAGTGTCTTCAGGGGTGAATCCATTAAGCATTAGCAACCTGAAACATAATTTCATTACTACTCCTATAACCTATTTTGATGTTATATAAATATGAAATATTTGTAGGAAAGGAAATGTGATTCTAAAATAATCCTGTTACTAACTTCTCTGATCTCAACACACAGAGGCGGAGCCGGAGAAGTTCACAGTGGGGATGTTAGACGGTCCGTTCAGAGTTGGAATTCCATTCCAGATTCCCCTGGAGTTTCAGGACGAGTTCAACAACCACAGCAAACCTTCCATCAAGTTTACCCCGCAACTGGAGGCCAGGTACTGTGCTAGTTTATATGTCCGCAAGGTTTCACAGAAACCAAGGAGTCCATAATACAGCACCAAAGTTACTTTAGCTATTTATTGTGTAACCATTGTTGTTTTGTCAACAGATTTGTTGTCATTGGTCCACTGACTTCATTTCTGAACAGAATTTTATCATATTTTATGCAAATGTCAAAATTACTTCATATTTCAGGGCAAAAAGATAAAAGTCACTGTTAGTACTTATAGAAAATAGTTAAAATGTGAAATTAAGCTTGTGTGGAGCACACTTATTAGCATTGTATCTTATCTAAACAGTGGCATTGTATCTTATCTAAACAGTGGGCTGGAGCTAAACTACGAGTCAACACAGGTGAAAGGTTTTAACCTGATCATCAAGGGGATCGTGGCCAAAGGAACTGTGGCAGGCAGTGCTGGAAAGGTAGAAACATTTATCTTATTGATGAATTATGGTTAAAGGTCCATTTCTCATAGACGGTAATGCATAGGTGATTTTATTTAGGCCACGAGATGCAGGTTTATTTTTGAAATTTGAAATGGTGGTAAACTAAAATATATAGATGTGCAATAGGGGTGTGAAAGTATCTAAGGTCAAGGTCACTGTTACCAAAAATAGACCATGGGGAATACAGTCAGGTATATGGTGGGGCTCTTGCTTATCAATCAGTGTTTTAATCGTTTTGTTGATAATTATAGTTTTGGACAGATCATATACCAGTGAGTTGGTAACACAATACATTTCACCTAACATCATGTCAATTTCGCTTAATTTCACTTAATGTCACACCTGGACGCTTTATGTAAACAACGTCACGACCTAACTGACCATTTCACGCATGGCTTTCACACACATGTATACTACTGCTTATTGACTTACCCTGTGTAACTCTTTGACGAGAGTGAGCTTTATGAATGTAAATTGAGTAGTAACAGCATCGTTTGAAGAATCCCAGCTATTAAACATAGTTAGGGCTCCTCCCGAAAAAAATGTAATTTTGGGCAAATAGGAAATATTAATCTTTTCATCAAAGTTAATCTCCTATATTTCTTGTTAATCCTAAAAACTGTTTTTTTTGTCCCTTTCTTTCTATGTGCATGAAAATTCTCTCAAGTTTACGAAGTAAAGAAATATTTTCCAGGCTGTAGTGTTTCTAATTTGCCGTAATTTCTCTGAGAAAATATTGTTTTTAAGGAACACATTATCAAATTTAAACCTTCAAATGTGTGTATTCATTTAGGTTAGGCCATCTTTAATAAGTCCTTACGCTAAGTGTGTGCAGAAACACATCATCTCATACTCTTGTTCTACCCACAGGTGCTGGGTGCACTATTACAAAATAATATACTGTAGATACTGCATACTATTACTGTGAAATAAGATATATTTGTGGGGCCCAAATTTTCGTGGTTTCTCGGAAAAAAATATTTTTGTCAGTGTGGGTTGGGTACATGACTTTGTGGATTACTGGTACCCATTCAAATAGCCAAGACATTCATGTCAGACCTGTAATTTCTTTGTGGACCTATGAATTTGTGGATGAAGATTACCAATGAAATCAACAAAACTTAAAATCCCACAAAAATAATGTGATTTCACAGTATATATGCATCATATTATTGTGTCCAGCACCTGTGGCTCTACCCAGGTATAGTTGCGATGCAGGATAGATTGATTATGTTATGAAATTGACGGTACACATTGTACTAGTCACCAAAATATTCAGCGTTAAAGATAATATTTGTTGCGTGAAAACTTCAATACTATATATTGTATTCACCAACATGTTTCAAGATATTGGACACTTAACAATTTCATATTGACTTCACTTCAGAGTTTCATCATGACCATAAAAGTACCAGGACTGGAACAAGACAGTCAGACTCTCAAGATCAGACTTTTACCAGGTAAATCTAAGACCTAGTTTGTTTATCACTGAAGATCAGACTCCCACCAGTTAAACCTACAACAATGGCATTGTTTGTTATTGAAAATTTTGAATAACTGAATATATATATACTACTGTATTGTTCAAAAAAGTGTCACATTTTATTGATTCCTCATTTGTGACAGTTGTTGTCCTGAGCTGTTGGACAGTTTCTGTACAATAAAATGCACGGTATGCTGATTGCTGCCTGTCATGAAGGAATTTACGTACAAATGAGCTTCTAACTGAATTGAGTCATTTCGGTACATATATAACAACTATTGTACATACGTTTCCAGCGTAGCCAAAATCGACATAGATTTTATGGACAACTTGTACACATTTTACACCTTTGTGTGCATACGATTCATCGGTCATTTGTCTGATGAAGGTGACAGTCTACATATCGTACTAGTCATCGAAACTTTCGTCACATAGAAAATTTTATTGGTTGTGTAAAAAGAACTTCTCATAATCCATACTTACCAACCTGAAGAAAATGTTTAGGAAAAAGAGCTTCTAGCTGTTTTAAAACAACCTTCTCATTTGGAAAAAAATAAAAAAATAGATCACAAGACGGCATTGATAATACTTTGCTTATTCTATTTGATTACATTATGATAATTGTAGGTATTCTAAGGTAGATAGCCCTTACACAGATCACTGGTATGTATCCTCATGGGAAATAATCCTTTCACAATTCACAGGTATATATGTATACCTTGTCCTTTAAGGGAGCAAATTGTTACACAAATCAGTGGTATGTGTGTAAGGTAACTTATATTCTTAAGGGGGATTACTGTTTTATAAATGTTAGCTCTTGTATAATGTAAAAGGTAGCCTATCTCTTCCAAGGAGGATAGCTCAAACACAAATCTCAGATATAATGTGTAAGGTAGCATACATCCTTAAGTTGTTCATGTAAATAAAATAAATTCAACTTCACGTCAATTCACAGTTTAAGAGGATCATGAAAGGTTGCTGAATTAAACCAGTTTTAATGAGTTCTGCTGTGTTATGTAGACTTGTGTAAATTAAAGTATTACAACCTCTTTGTCAGGTCCGCCCCACAGTCTGTTTGTGGATTGTGACGAGGAGCTAGAAATAGAGAATGGCAAGGCGGTGGCTTACAATGTGGAAGTACGAGATCAGGCCGGCAACCCAACGAGTGACGCCAAATTAGTTGTCACATGTAAGGTAAGTAAATAACAAGAAATGTTCATCATTAATTAACATTTGTGGTTTTTGTGGAACCTTGTTGTGGGACCCAGGGCAAGTGTTTTGAAAAAAAGGTACACCCCTGTTATGTACCAGAGATATAGTTTAAAAACTTTATTTAAATTATTTTACATCAGATGAATACAAAAGTTTGTATCATGAAAAAATCTAAGTAGCTTCAAACAATGGGAAAATTACGACAAAGGTTTACGCTATACTGTGTATCGGTGGATCTAGACTACAAATTCTAAATTTCTGATAAATGTCAACTTTATATGGAGGCTATCAACATAATGGTTATTCTCAGACATAGCACATAGGTGGTCGCAGTGGCCGAGTGGTTAAGGTGTCTTGACTGTCAACGATCACTAGCCCTCCACTGGGTTGCAGGTTCGAGGCCTACATGGGGCAGTAGTCTGATACTGGCCGAAGGTTGATGGTATTTCTAATCTTGCATGTCTTTCAATAAGCAGAGCTGTTAATAGGACGTAGAATAAAAACAAACCAAATCGAGCATAGATTTCAAGCTTCAGTGGGGCTGATGCTAATTCCACTTTCTGATGACAGTTTGCTGGTGTGTCGGGCTTGCCTACCTATGCATTAGACTGCTCTGGGAGTGGCACTGGTACCCTGACTGGTGATCCCATCAACCTGAAACAGATTAAGGACTTCCAGAAAATCACAGCCTTGATAGAGCTCCAGGTAAGTCAGAAAATCACAGCCTTGATAGAGCTCCAAATGGATATTTCTGTTGTACATAGGAAAACATTCACATATTGTGGGCTTTTACTGAACTCATATACTCTTCTACTCTGCACATTTGTTTCAATACAGCAGCCCTTCAAAATGTGAAGGTGACTTTAATAACATGATATTGGTATCTCAGGTAGCCTGCATTACAATTAAAAAGAAATATCTGGATATTTTCAAGCCGTATCTGAATCTTAGAATAGCTAAATCATAGTCATTGTTACATACTATAACTGAGTAATATTGCTAAAAAAGACTTAAACAGCCTATTTTTATGACAGGATAAAAAATCAATTTTCCTCAAATGATGAGTGGTGATGAATGAAAACTGATCAATATTGTCCTTTATTTCATTAAATTCATTAAAAAGTTAACGTTTATAAAAAAAGTAAAAACACTCATGACTATATTCGTCAGAACAGCCAAATTGCATCTCTTTATCAAGAAAACAAAGGACTGGTGCAGCTTTGAAAATGCAAATTTTCTCTGTGTTAACAGAATCACAAGGAGGTTGGCATAATGGAGAGAACTATAAAAGTGTTACCTAGCAACCGTGTTGCAAACATCCAGGTACAGATCAAGAATGAGGATGGCAAGACAACTACGCTGAAGTCTGGGGGTTCGATAACTGGCCGAGCTGGCGACCACATCAGCAACATCAGTAAGATATAAACACAACGTCACATAACTTCAGCGTTTCGATATCTTTATATAAACAGCACATCTGCAGTCTAAGATAAAACTCAACCAGACCATACGATTTGTAAGTCATCAGCATTTTTGACTGAACCAAGGTTTTAGCCCACCATCATCAGTAAAGTTACAAAGTTTTTATATTTGGGAAAATGAGCTTTGTGTTTGACTCAATTTCAATTGTAATGTGCATCTAAGAATAGTTCAGTCATGTAAAATTTAATTCAAAACTTAATTGATATTTATTTGTGTATTTCAACCTTGCAGGTTTCTCGCTGTCAGATGAAGCTGGAAGAAAATTGGAACTAGATGAAAAATTAGCTTCAAAAATAAAAGTATGTGTTTTGATTTTAATATTTAAACATAGTGGTAATTTATTTTTCGAAGTGAGATAGGATCTAGGCTTTCAGATTTAACGATATATTAATTTTTTGAAGTGAAATAGTAAATTTCTGTACTACTGAATTTCCTTCTAAGTTATTCACCAAGAGTTACTGCCGCCTTTTCAATAAGTGTACTGTGTAAAGTAATTGTCATTACCTAAGATGATGATGAAATATAGCTGACATTCTCTGGTATACTGTATACAACTCTTTTGATGTGCAGTACATCCTCGTTATACTGTCAACATATGTCAGAAGAAATTTTGGTGTTATAAGACGGGTTTAACAATAAATTTATGGAAACATAAAGGAATTCTTAAGAAAAAGGGATTGAAATATCTTGGCAGTCCACGTGTTGGAAAATGATACTAGGAACAATATACTAATGTTTTACAGTATGTGATAAAAATCATTGGCTGATGTAATTGTCTCCTCAGGTTAACTGGGTTCAGAAGATTCCGAGGGACACTGTTGTGGAGGGACATCTACCGGACATCAAAGTACCCGCAACCCTACAGGACACCAAATACTGTCAAGTCACGGTACAGGACTCGTCCAATATAGACTTCTCCTTTACGGTCACGTAAGTAAGGTCAAACAGCTCTGTGGTGCCGTGTAAATCATCTTGACAAACTGTGTCTATTACCAGATTATATAGGTGATTGTAAGCTCTCCTGGGGGATTTCTTCATCCCAAGGTTTGCCGTTAGTAGCCTCCATAGTCAGCTATTTCTTTTGAGTAGTGGCAGGGTTCAAAATGTACACACTTATCATTGATTAAAAATTTACCTGTACTCCTCTAATTTCTAAAATTCATATAATTAAAGGGTTTTATAAATGTCCCCTTATGTGTCAGCTGTAGTTTAGACCAAGTAGGATTTCCACCTCTTTGGCCCAAAGAATCTCCGAATGACGAAACAGCTGTATAGCTAGTGCAGTGTAACTGTTTTTGGCATACAGTATCTATTGCAAAATTGTTAAGGTGCCTGTGCAATCGGGGAATCGAACCCCGGCCGCCCTGGTGAAAGGCAAGTGTTTTGCTATTCACTGCCCCACCCGACCACCCCAGCATACTGTATATATTACCAAATTGTTAAGGTGCATGTCCTATGCTAATCTTTCATAGTATAGGAGACATACAATATAGACTTCATTTTAAGTCATGGGTTAGTGCCACTGTCCTAAAATAGACCCAGCATTTAATATATTTATGTCTGGTACATTTTTGTATTGTTAATGTTTAATGTTATTTCAATTTCAATATTGGATAGAAAAAGTTTTAGGTATGTTTGCCAAATGCATTACCAGTACAGTAAATTTGCGGGTATAGTGCGCACTCAGGTATAGTGCGCATGTACGTTTTTGGGGTCAGATTTGAATAAAAAACAAAAAAAAACAATCTTCGATCTTATCATATATGACCGACGACTCAAAATAAAACTATTTGAAGGGAGGTAATCGTATATGGCGGACCAGAAACTCGAGGAATGATAACCCAAGAATGACTTGTTCCTGCGTATAGTGTGCACCCCCTTTTTGACATGACAATATTTACCTAACAAATTTACAGTAAGCATTTTTTGCAGCGATGAAAAGATGTGTTAATCAGTCACAACTGCAGAGAGCTATTTAAATATGTTACAGGCCCAGACCCATTGACCAGATCTATGCAAAAAGCTATCTTTTATAAAGCTATGTTATCCTTATTTACTAATTATGAAAAGTTCTTGTTACACAACCAATAAGAGTTTCTATGTGACGTTTCAATGACTAGTACGATACGTAAACTGCATTTGTGTGAATGAGCTTCACTGGTCATTTTTCTGATGAAGGTGACCGAGTGCATACTGTACTAGTCATTGAAACGTCACATAGAAACACTTATTGGTTGTGGAACAAGAACTTTTCATAATCCATACTTACCAAACCTGAAGAAAAATGTTAAGAAATATCCTAACTCACTATAATTTTGATTTTGTTTGTTATAGGCCCACACCCACGGACCCTAACCAAATCAAGTGTAAATGTGGTGGTTCCAGTAAAATTCGCATTGGGGAGACACTTGAGGCGCCGATCATCGTCACTATCAAGGACAAGTTTGGAAATGAGATCACAGACGTAAGATTTGATCTTCATCTTAGCTGATCTTTTGAATCTCCCATATTTTGAGTAGTTGGAGTGAATGACCTAAAAAAAAATGTGTTTAAGGATACATCGAGGCAGTAAATTTTCTTAAATCTTTAACTCATTCACCCCTGTAGACACATTTGAACTCTTCCAAATCAAAGGTTGGAATAGTTCATTATAAAATTTCTGGGTTGAATGAGTTAAATAAACTTAAAACATCCATCATTAAAATCTGTACTACTGTAAAAAATGTAAATTTCCATGTGTGGAAATTCTCCCGTTTCTCATGTTGAGTAAATTATTCACAGATTAATAGAGATCTATGAAATAAACAGATTTTAGAACCATTGCAAATGCCAATTCAAACATTTCCACCTGCGATAATTTCCACGTTTACAGCATTCAGCCAGAGAATGTGACATCAGGTCGTATTTCCTATAGACCTGCCATAGTAGTGCTTCCACGCTGCGATCAGTTTAAATATTACAATTCGCACAATTCCACCCGCGAGTATTTCCACTTCAGAGCATTCAACCTAAATGTGATACAATAGGATAAATAATGGATGCAGGCAAACACTCTGCCTCTATATCCATATCTAAATATATTTTCAAAGTATTTAGAAAATATTATTCATATATCTCATTTCCTTAGATTTCATTATGGCTGGCCAAATGATTGTATTTCAGTTCAAGGTTTTTCCAATGAGTGTCAAGATTAATTTCAAAGTCCTTAATCGTTGGCGATGTAATAACATATTCGGGGAGACTGTTCTGGATTTCGACAACCCTAAAGCTAAATGAATATTTCGGACTATCATGCTTGCAATGTTTTTTCCTGATTTTCTGTGCATGTCCTCTTGTTCTAGATGATGTATCTAACCCGAAGATTTCTTTTGTTACCTTCTGGTCATGTTGGTTGTTCATTATTTGATGTAGTTATCGTAATACGTATAGACTTGTGCTGGTCGTGCTTTGAACTGCGATTTAATTGGTCGTTTCAAATGAGCAAAGGTGATGTCATTTTCGTAAAGTATATAGACTAGCGCTTGTAGTGCTTTGAACTGCATTTTAATTGGTCATTTCAAATGAGTAAAGTTGATTGTCCATTAACCATTATGTGATTTGTTTCTACTTACAGCTCCCCAAAAACACATCTCAGGAGGTACAGGTCAGTGCGGATGGCCTTAGGAGCAATGAGGTCAAGGTGACATATTCCAAGGTGAGTGAGGTCAAGGTCAAGGCCAAAAAGGGACATAATTTGTATATCACCTGGGGCTGTTTCATTTATGCGGAACAACCGGTTTGTCTGTTTTTAAAATGTTACATTATTTGGTATAAAGGACATACCTACAACTGTGTATGCAGGCCTTGCCAGGTTTTGTGGAGGCTCACCTGAAAGCAGCATCAGATTACTAGGTCCCACCTTATTTCATAAACGAACGACAGTGGTCCAACCGTTCCAACCGTTTGGATCGCGATAAACAAAAGCGGCCTTGAAGTCATTAAGTTTACTCAATCATATCATCTTTTCTGTTTGAGAATTGAATGTTTGTAATTGAATTTTAGCTGCAGTTTATTTTTAGCCATTTTCACCCTCTGTAATGAAGGCAAATTTATCATTACAGTGAATATTAGCAAACAACATGATATGTATAGTAAGTGAGATGTGAAGGGCAAAATTAACACTGGGTGAATGTGGATTTTAACAGCGAAAAGTCTCCCGGTATTCATTAGTTTCCGAATTCTGCCAGAGGGTTTATGATAATTAATTGGGGCTTTTTCTGGATTCCCGCAACGGGTTGACCAAACATTTATATGTGACATTCAGCCATCCTGATTAATACTGAAGACTTTTTAGTTACATATTATTTCGGATGTGATTTAAAACCCTATATCTTGCCGTTGTGGGGGTCAGATATGTTAAAAAAGGAACCATTTGTTGTTCTTGACAAATGATTTTGTCATGTAGCTTGCTTGGTTGGAGGGGTATCAAGAGTGTTCATTTGAATGATCTTAAAACACAAAACTAAGAAACATTATCAAGGCCTGTTGTCCTCTTTAACAGGACACAACTAAGTCGATTTACTGTACACAACAATTATGAAACAAGTTATTTCAACTTATATCAATCTTTCTTGTTGGCCCGTTGTTAGCGCTCAAGGGGTGTTGATGTGGTCGGACAGGTGACCCCATACCTTTTTACGTCCGATCAGGGAATGGAACCCCTGTCGCCTTGGTGAAAGGCAAGTGCGCTTTCCACCGTGAAACCCGACAACCCAATTTACTGTATATAAATGTGATGGAGCAATTAATAGTTTGTTTGATGTGATTTTACAGGGAAAGTTCAGTATACAGTCAGTGACACTAGAGGGAGGTAAGACCGGGACAAGAGACTTGAAAATTACATGGAGAGAATTCCGAGATTTTGTCAAATTAGAATTGACCGCTGGACCCCCCACAAAGCTATCATTACCTGGCTGGGATGCTAACGAGGTAAAATTCTCTGAAAATGTTTACTATAATTATGTAATATCCTGTTTGAAAATTTGAAAGATTGTTTAGTTAAGAAATTAGGTATAGTTTTAAGAAAAAAAACCTGTAAAAGATTAAGAATTTGGTTGGAGTCCTATTTAAAATATTAATGGATATTTAGCCTACACTGCCATTGCTTCCTATAACTGGAGTTATCATCACGTAACCTTGTGAATGTGACGAGTCGTCATGACGTCGACAACAATGTATGTGAATGGATGTATGCAAAATATGTTTGCAAACAAAACACAATTGCGATATGTCATCAACAGCAGATGTTGGCAAGTTTAACAAAGTCTTCATATGTTGATTTCAAGCTATTACTTTGATTGAACATGTTGATATAATTTGAAAAAGAAATTTGTATCCGCATCTCCGACTGTTACAGTTTAAACATTTCACCACTGTAGACCACAATGGACTCATCCAGAACAATGCATGGTAGAGTCTACTAAAGTTACATAGGGGTAAAAGAGTTAATTAGGTTATTACTCTACATTTCAGACGGTGACTGTGCTGAACGAGAACAAACTTCCCCGCCCCCTCGTGGTACAGTTGATAGATGAAGGAGACAATGAGGTTCATATGGCCGATATCAAGATACAGCTGGCCAAGGATCCCAAGATTAAGGTAGTTCAGTCGTTGTTACTAGGGCTGCAACGATAGTCATACCTCACCATACAATACGTATCACGGTAGGATGCTTACTATACAATACGTATCACGATACAGCTGGCCAAGGATCCCAAGATTAAGGTAGTTCAGTCGTGGTTACGGTGAATTTGTAAATCTATCGTAACTACAGAAAATGCGAAATCAGTCATAAATACAGGAAAGATGTAATTTTAGGTCACAAGTTTAGAAACCTTGTCAATTCCTGGATACTGGGGTATTTTCAATGCAAATGACCTTTTTGCCTTTTTCCGACCTCCGTAATGATAATTTATCTTTACAGCCAATGTAAGTAAACAGTAAACAGCATGATAAACGTAGTAATCATAAGGCGAAATATGGATTTTTTTTGACTGGACAAACGTTTCACGGTATGCAGCAATTGAAAAAAACAAAAACATTTACAGCAAGTTATTGAATTTTTGACAACTATGTTCTAGAGAATTTCTGAAGTCCATATTAGCTGTCTGAAAATAGAGTAAATATAATGCTTCCGATGATATTGCCTGTTAACAGTTTGTGCCGTTCCTGATGCCGAAGAAGTCTAATGAAAATGGACAGGTAGATTTCGGGACAGTGGCTGTTACAGGACAGAGGTAACTTTGATATAGGGTCAAAGTTCAAATTGTTGCCTTACTGTACTAAGATTTTTTCCATAGAGTTTCTATTCTTTAGCTCACCTGGCCAAAGGGTGATTTTTTTTGCCAGTAGCATGCTGGGATGAAGGGCTTTCAAGTTCAATTAAATGACCTTGATTCACTTTCAAGGTCACAGGGGTCATATTTATAAAAACATTTAAACTCTGAAAGGTTACCTTGCTTGCTATCAACTTTTAAATAAATTTGACCATAAACACTTTTAAGGTCACAGATGTATGTTATCAACTTTAAAATAAATTTGTCAGACCATTGAAATACTTTTAACTTTGAAATTTATAATGAACTATTCCTACCTTTGAATTGGAAGAGTTCAAATGTATCTTCAGGGGTAAATGAGTTAAAGTCACAGATGAAAGATGTATTTGCCAACAGCATTAAATCATGTATGAGTGATACTGACCCATTAGGCATTTTGTTAAAGTTGTTTCTTGTATATATTTTAATGTTTTGTTTTCCAGAGGGAAATATGAGGTGGAACCGCGGGCATTTGTTTCTGGTGAAACTATTGTCGGCCCAAAGCTGACCATTCTCATTCAGCCTGATATGACGCGACCTGTTGAGATGAAGATTGAATATAACAAGAAAGCTATGTTCCAGGTTGGAGAGATGATGCCAGGTATATAGAATGGGGAGGTACAGGAATCATGTTAACCCTATCACCACTGTAGACCATAATGGATTCATCCAGACAAATGCATGGTAGAGTCTACTAAATTAAACTAGGGGTGAACTGATTAAACTTGTCCTCTGAATTCCAGAGATTATGCTCACTTAAGCTCTCTGCACCCCTGTAATAAATCACGACAAAATTGAAGGCATATACTGTAAGCTATTTGATTGGTTTCAGGAAAAAGAAACTGCCCAATTGCTAGGCTGATATCTATCAGAGCTGCAGAGCAATTCTTCTGATGTACATCACAGGATCAAACTAACCTTCGTGTGGCTTGTTCAGAGCCTTCGATTTTGTCATGATACATTCCAGGGGTGCATGGAACATAACAGGGTGTAACCCCTGAAATTTTGTGGTAGTGTTAAACTTTTCTTTTCAGTAGTGTTATGTTTCCTTATCTCAACAATTCAATAGCCACGTCTATCTTCATCTTTCCTCATCTTTATTGACTTGAGTTACACTCATATATGATTCAATAGCATTGTGTCTCTTCATCGTTAAGTTACATTCATAAATGATTCGATAGTTTTGTCTCCCCATCGGGGATTTGCTTTGGTGTCCTCTACTTGGGGACACAAAAGCGACCAAAATTAAGCGGCTGAGGCCATTGCAATATTTGGGATCTTAATCTTTCTTTCTAATTCTAACTACCTTTTTTTCCTACCGCCTTGCTTGGCAACACCTCACGTTAGGCTTTAATATTGAGCGTTCGCCCAGGTGAGGAAGGCAATGGGTTCTGTCCCCAGGCCGGGACATACCAAAGTGCTTAAAAATGGTTGTTTTTATTCCCTGCTTAACGTTCAGCGTTTAGAGTAATGGCAACAACTGGTTCAACCGTTGTCAGTATAATGTGACCGGGCGGAATGCTGTGCTGGTAGCCTTCCACATAGTATTTCAATGAGATAGCTCTATAAAGTTGGCATCAGATATGCGCTATCACAAGGAGGCAAGCACACCAACATACCCTGTCTTCTGCATACACACACAAGCAGGCACCCATACACTACACACGTGGAGGCACATCCTTAAATGACCTTAGCTGTTAATAGGACGTTAAACGAATTTAAACCAAACCAAATCAATCTCCCCATCTTTATTGACAGAAATCACTCCTTTTCACTTCAATAGCGTTTTGTCTCCTCATTTTTATTGACAGAAATCAAATAACATTCATGTACACTTAAACTCATTCACCCCTACATATTTAAACTGGACTTGTCTAGTCTATGATTTGGTAAGGTTCAAATGTGACCTTAGGGGTGTCAGAATGGGTTAATAGGGTTTTGTCTCCTCATCTTTATTAACACTCATACATATCAATAGGATATTGTCTCTTCAGCTTTATCCCTTTCATCAATGTAGACCATAATGGACACATCCATCTCAATGCATGGTAGAGTCTACTTATGTTACATAGGGGTGAAAGGGTTATTGACAGAAATGAAATAGCACTAATATATGCTTCAATAGGGTGTTGTCTCCCTATCTTTATTGACAAATAAAGATAAACTCTCACTACACAATTCAGTAGTGTTGTGTCGCCTTGCCTTTCACATCTTCAGTGATGAATTATAAACAAGTGTCCCTTTCTTACAGAGTTCACAATTCGAATCCTTTCGGAGGATGACCAGCCAATGAAGGGAGCCAAGGCTACCTTTCTGTCTATGAAGCTCTGGAAAATGGATGTGCGCACCCAGAACACCCCTCCCTCCCGGGTAACTTGTTCCACAGTTTTTTCATTGCTATGGACTGTTAATTAATACCTGGTAACTCATTTTACCCCTGAAAACACATTTGAACTCTTCCAATTCAAAGGTTGGAATAGTTCATGATGAAATTTCAGGAGTGAATGAGTTAACCTTTTATGATATTGTTGTTATGTATTGACTTCTTTAGGTTGTTTTTGTTGTGGTGTTTTGATTTTCCTGGTAATATTTTTTCCTGCTAAAAATAAAACACTCCCTGAAATTAAAAGAGATTCTGAAACATTTTGTGGCATTGGGCCATTATAACTGAAATCATTAGTTTATTCAGGAGAAGCAAGCGCAAATTGAAATATTCGATGACAAAAGTTTTTCCTAGATCTTCATTGCTTAGATTATTATCATGTGGAGGTTAAGGTTTGTGATATTAACTCTGTGTTACTACTTATAGATACAGTAGGTTAATATTGTCTTTATGACCTCACTTCAATTGAAAAGTCACAATGCTCTCAGTCAAATGAAGTGTTTTCTCCTTACAATTGTGATATGTTCTATTTAGTTTGATATTAAATAACAATTTCAAAACCTTATATAACAGTTAAGGACTTTTATTTTGGTGAATAAGTGGTTAAAAGTTATGCAGACCTCGACTTCGTGTCGGTTAATATCATTTTTTCAGGTCCATACAACCAGATATTCACCTCAACAAAGGTCAATAATTGATCAATATCTCGGAAGTATTCATTCCTATACATTTGAACAGGGGGTTGTTCATGGCAGGATTTCAAATCCTAGTAAATTTGTTTTTGAAGAAAAATCCGTAAAATTGAGAAAAAAGAAAGTTATTTACCAGGACAGATTTCTTTTCTCAAAAATGTTGTTTGGTTGTCACATGTTCAGTAACACATATTAAATTAAATTACAAATATTCTGGGAAAATTTGAATATCACTTGAGTTTATTCTAAATACATCAGCACATTGTAACCATGTTATCTCCGTTGTTTCTCCAGGCAGTGTCATTCAGTCCAGAGGCAGTTAAACACAACCCTGGTGTTTTCCTTTTCAAGTAAGTCCTCCTACACTTGTCAAGTGATCTCCTTGTGATACCAGGAACAAGCATATTGAAATTTGAAAAATGGGGCCACATTGGCGAAGTGCCAAGTGAGCTTATGCCGTGACCCAGCATCTGTCGTCCGTCCGTCGTCCATCCGTCGTCCGTCCATCGTCCGTAGTCAATATTTTACTTTCAACGACTTCTTCTTAATAACCAAAAGGCCTAGGGTGTCGATATTTGGCCAGAAGCATACTGGGATGAAGGCCTACAAAGTTTGTTAAAATTAATGACCTTCATCCATTTTCAAGGTCACAGGGGTCAAATATGTTAAAAACTTTAAACATCTCCTCCTCGATACCCAAACTTCCCAGGGAGATGATATTTGGCCAGTAGCATGCTTGGGTGAAGGTCTACCAATTTTGTTCAAATGAATGACCTTCAATTATATTCAAGGTCACAGGGGTCAATTGTCTTAAAAAAAACCTTTAAACAACTTCTTCTGAATAACCAAAATGCACAGGGTGATGATATTTGGCCAGTAGCATGCTGGGGTAAAGGGCTACAAAGTTTGTTTAAATGTATGACCTTGAATCATATTCAAGGTCACAAGGAGCAAATATGTTCAAAATATTTAAACAACTTGTTCTGAATACCCAAAAGGCTCAGGATGTTGATATTTAGTCAGATAAAGGACTGCTATGTTTGTTAAAGTGAATGACTTTGACTTATATTCAAGGTCACAGGGGTCAAATTTGTTTAAAATCTTTAAACGACCTCTTCTGAATAACCATGGGTCCCAGGATGTTGATACTTTGCAAGCTGCATACTGAGATGAAAGGCTATACAATTTGTTCAAAATAATCACTTTGTTCAACTTTCAAAGTAACAGGGGTGAAATGTTTTAAAATCTTTTAACAGGTTCTTTTGAATGACTATAATCATAAATACTGATATTTTGCCTGTAGCTTTATTTTAGATCACTTTTAAGGTTGTAAGTGTGAGATTTATACCAGGTGAGCGATGCAGGCCCATTGGGCCTCTTGTTCTCAAAATACTCAAGATACTCAAGTTTTCCTCTGCCATCAAAAACTGATTTGTCCTTATATGATCCCATAGCTGTTATAGGACGTAAAGCTCAAACAAACTAATGATGATGAGACATGTGCAAGTAGTATGATTTGATAAATCTAAATTACCTTTTGTTGAAGAGTCTGTGTTTTTCGACGTGAATTAATATACCGTTAAATGGACAAAAAATGTAATTTGTCTTCTTTCAATATCAGTTAATGTACAGAAATTAAATGTTACTCTTTCAGATAACTTGAAAATTTATAAAAGTTTATCTCACTTAATTCTTGTATTTGTGAGGTACGCGTAAATATTTTGACATACAGTGTGAAAGAAGTGCTCTGATATTTTAGATTAATCTCTCCTCATACGGCTGTATTTCTATACTAAAGTAAGTAGAATGAGAAAGAAAAAATGAAAAATTCAAATAACAGTTGAAGAAAGTGAAATTAGCATAATAGTAAAAATTACATGAGATAATTGAGTGGTAGTCATCTAAACTCATGATTTGGGGTCTTATTATTATGAGATGCCAGGTGGAGGATATTTTGTGTGAAGTCATATTCTAAATGTCCTCTCAAAAAGTTAGATTTATGTGATGATGTTGATATTACAGAGAAAGGAAGATCCCGGAGTTGTCCGGAATACACAACATCATGATAACGTACTACGATGGCAGATTCGAACTCTTCAGCAACGTGGTAGGTATAACACATGTGTACAGAGAAGTCTTTTTTCTAATTAATCAATTTAATTGGTGATCATTTGTTTTAACTCCTAGTATGAACAAAAGATCAAAACTGTTCATGACCGACCATTGTTTGACTATAACATGGAAACATTCAAGGATTATTAAGATTCTTATAAAAGAATATGAATTTGAAGTTGAATTAAGATTCGGAGCAGGCCTGAAAACAAATTAAAAATCAATTTTACTCCCTAAGTTTTACCAAGAACTGTATTAACCCTTTCACCACTGTAGACCATAATGGACTCTGCCATATCAATGCATGGTTGAGTCTACTAAAGTTACATAGGAGTGAAAGGGTTAAAACAACATTTCTACCTACAGCTAGGTATTTAAAAAGTATCCACAACATTTTATTCAATTTGATGAATGTTTCTCTGTATATTTTCATTTCATTTTATGATTGATGAATGATCAATTGTCCATCGTTTGCGAAATAGTAATGATCAGTCATGAATTTTGAGGTGAATCCCAGCTCAAGTACACTGTAACAGAGTGGGCTACACAAACGTTCACACCGATGTTACCGGTGACACTGTGGGCTTAGCCTGTCAGATGGAGGCTGTAACAAGCTTCACTACTTTAAACCTAAGCCCATTCTTGTACTAAATGTTCTTAGATTTATCAGCAAAAGTGTAAAAAAAATCATTATAGTGGACAGACGTCAACTACAGCACATGACATTGTGCTTCTGATTATCTGTTGTTAATGAAATACTAAGATAAGAAATATCATTTGGCATATATATATATATTAAGTTAAAAGCATGAAAATCCAGCCTTTCCTTTTAACCCTTAAAGATCCTTGTACCTCTGACAAAATCTATGGCTATACATTGAAAACTTTTTTTTTTTTTGGGGGGGGGGGGGGGGGGTATTTTTGTTTGCGCATGACTATAGCTTTGGTAAAAAAAAAAAATATGTAATCAAAAACAGTGTTTTGAGAGTAAAATTCAGCAGGGCAATAATTTAGATTTGAACCCTGGATGGACCTCAGAATCTCATACTGTCAAAGCTGTTAATAGGACGTTAAACAAAATTAAACCATACATTTAGTACCTAAAGGAATGTAAAAAAAAATGATGATGATGATGGCTTAGAAGAAAACAGTGTGTTTGTTTTGTGTGATTTTGAATTGGTGCCTATGTCATGTCATAATGTTTATGTAAAATCTTTGAAAAATAAACAATTATAAAAAAAAATTAAAGGGTGATTACTGTACATACAAAACAAACCACAGCGCAGTGGGATAAGGATCCTTAACTCATTCACCCCTGAAATTTCATAATGAACTATTCCAACGTTTGGATTGGAGGAGTTTAAATGTGTCTTCAGGGATGAATGAGTTAAACAAGGCTGATTTGTTGTTGTAGATAACAGTGGATGTGAAGCCAGGTGCTCCAGTAAAGCTTGGATCCATGGAACAGCCGGGCACACCTACCGTATCCAACACGCACAACGCCGCAGCACGCTGTGTCATACGGAGCCTCAAAGTCGACCTACGGGTAAGTTCTTTTAAATTGTAAATTTCATGACCCCCGAGCTATCCGTTCTCTCTTGTGGAGGGGGTAAAGTGTACTATAGTTCATGTAGGGAAATAACACTTTTGGGTATATTTTGACATTTTTCAGTAGGAAATTATTCTTACTTGGTGAGAATTATCCTTAGAGGAATATGGTTTCAAATTGTAAAATTGGGATTCCTATCCAAACCCCAGAGGCCAGGGCAGGGCCCCAAAGGGAAAATCAACCAATATTTCAAAAATCATCTTCTCCAGACTCAGAGGTACTACAGTCATTTTCTCTGCATGGATGTAAAGATCCTCAGGGGCTTTATTTAAATTGTAAATTTCAAGACCCCGGAGCTGTCCATTCTCCCTTGTGGAGGGGGTAAAGCTTTCTATAGTTTATATAGGGAAATAACACTTTTGGGTATATTTTATCCATTTTCAGCAGAAAATTATCCAAAGTTGGTCAGAATCATCTTTGGTGGCTGAGGGTATTACATGGTAAGATTGGGATTTCTGCCCCATCCCCAGGGGCTAGTATAGGGCTCCAAAGGGAAAATTTACCAATATTTCAAAATTCTTATCCTTTGATGACATGACAAGTATGTATTTCACTTAGTTTTCATGCTGATTTCCACATCACATCATAACAATAAAATAAAGCTACCAGTACCTATGATATAACTCAGGTGACCGCAAAGTCCCTTGGGCCTCTTGTTCTAGTTAATTTACAGATAAATTATAGAAAATCTCCTCTCTAGAGACTTTCTTAACTTTCTTAAAAAATCTTAATATGAGTGAGTTTAGAAATGTACAGATAGAATAATCCTGTCACCTTCATTTTCTTAACCTGACATCATAAGTGACCGTTATATCTGATGTAAACAAATCAGTGGTAGTCTGCTGCGCTTACAACTCCAGAGGTGTTCCGAACTTGGAGAGTTCTGAAAGTCGTGATATGCATTTTCCGACTGCCGGTCTGATATGTGATACGCATTTCCTGACCGCCGGCCTGATATGTGATACGCATTTCCTGACCGCCGGCCTGATATGTGTCAGGTGAATTTAACCGTATTACACAGGGCTGGTAACCATATACTGTTGACAAAATGCAAGTTATACATTTATTCTATAACAGATTATTATGTCTACTACATATTCGACCTCAAGTACCAGTATGCTTCAACAATAGGCAAATTCTACCTGAAGTATAGGGGTGTCACAATATGCCTGGAATGTATCCCAAATATATTGTCAAAGGCAAAAGTTACTCGGTTTAAAGTGAATCATTAATTTTCTGTGAACCAACCGTCGATTATGAAATTTCAGCGGATTCCCAACACTAGTAATAACATGTGTATGGTTATTTGCATGTCAGTTAAAATATGTCGTAGTGCAAAGCTGAAACACCAAGTAAATACATCAAATAAGCTTTTGAAAAATATTGTAATTTGATATGATATGCCTGAGTATTTTGATACACTAGATTTCCAGTATATTGTGACAGCCATACTAAAGTAGTAGCATTAGTGCCACTTTGAAGCAGTATCTTTGTGCAAAGGCCATGGGGACCCTGTACCCCTGGGCTGTTGCAGGGCCGACTAAAATATAATTCATAGTTAAGTATAGAAAATCAGCAATAGGGATGTGCTAAAGTAAGGCATTATTCCTAACACTGAAGTTGATCTCATTCACCCCTGAAGACACATTTTGAACTCTTCCAGTTCAAAGGTTGGAATAGTTCATTATGAAATGTGAGGGGTGAATGAGTTATGCAAATTTTAAATACACTTTGATAGATTAAACAATGGTTGCAGTAAAATTGTTTTATGTTCCAGGACGAATTTGACAATCCGGCAGGTTTAGGGTACAGTGGTAAAATCAACTTGGAGATAATGGGCCCCCCTGGAGTCACTGAGATACCGTCCTTTGTCGGGGGCAACAGAACGCTCCAGTTTACCCTGAACAACGGCCAGTGTGTGCTATCTGTAAGCTATCTATTGATGCTCCAATATTCAGTCAATCTCAATTTAATAAAAGAAAGTAACTTGACAGCAATTCATACTGTATATGGGAAATTGTGGTTGTAGTTTAATTTTTTCCCTTTTTCACCCTCCATGATGAGTGAGAATTTTTCTTTACAGCAAATATAAGTCAACAATATATTATACATAGTAATGAAATGTGAAAGGAGAATTAATACTGAACAAAAATGGATTCATTAGCAAAGGGCAAACATTTGACTCGACGAGTATTTCCCAGGAAACAGTATTATCTGTAACGACTGATTAATAAATGATATCAAAATATCTTTGTAAACATCTATAACGTAGATTATTATGATTTTTGTACATGAAGGATGCTGAATGAGTTATTTCCGAACACTTTATTTTCTTGAATCATTTCAGAGAATTTTACCCTTACCTTTGATATCTTTTTGTACAGAATTTAACCCTTATTTCTGGAATCTTTTCCTATAGAATCTAACCCAAGTTTCTGGTATTTTTTCCTACAGAATCTAACCCTAGCAGAAAATTCCGCCGGAAAAGATGGTTACGAGTATTTCCTCAAGTGTGTAGTGGACTGTGATTTGATTCCCCGTAATAAAAGTATTCCACCTCTGTGCATTCCTTTCCTCTTCTACAACGGTAAGTCTGATGCCTACACTCATATATTATATGGGGGGATCTTGTATAGAAAGACCTTTTCCTGATTTTCCAGAATGTCTGGTTCCCAAAATAAGATATTCCAGATACTTTCAACATATTGTATAGGGCTTACAGACCAGTTTATTCCTATGCATTACTTAATCGAATCAAACATATCCTTGTGAAATCGAACCCACCCTTGTGTAATGTGTCGTATACGAACGTGCCCAGAAAACCGAACGCGCCCAGAAAACCAGAAGCTTATTAGCATAAATAGAAAGTTATATTGTATACCTAGTACATTACTACTCATAATTTTCTCGTTCTAGAATTTTATTCATGGGAACTAAAAAGAGTGAACAGGTCTAGGCTTATCTCAAATATTATGGTACCTACAAACGTCAAATTTTGCATGCGAGTACCTGTTGATTTGTCAAAGAGTCTCGCATACTAGAATCAGTTATCATGCCCAGTTATATACACAAGTGATGCACTTAATTCACATGATTACTTCAGGAAGTATTTAGGGAGTTGTGGCCCTTTGTTCACTTTTGTCCAGGGCATTTCTCATATGCTCTGTATGCTACAGTTACCAAACTTGGTATACAAACTCTTTCTTGTACTTTGGCTGGTGAAGTGTCGCACACAGAAATTGCATTTTCTGCCCAACTATATTTACAGTCACGACCCATGGGATGTTTTTGAAACTTAAGTTTTTCTGAAGGTGGAGGAGCATGAATTGCTTTCACATTCTTTTGTTGTCGACTGATAGTTTTTGTGTTGCCGTCGACGGCGACATATAGGTATAACTTTGTCGGCGGCGTCGGTTGCGTCGTCCGAAACAAGGTTTCCATGCAATAACTTGAGATCCCTTGGTTCACATATTACATACCAATATAGCTTGTACAAGTTTGCATTTCAGAAGTTTACGTGCATTTTTGGTGGAGTTATGCCCCTTTTATTGCCAAATAAGGGCATTGTGTAGTAAATGCAAGAACTTTTCTATTTTTTAATCGAGTCCTTTCAAATTTTGTACGTTAATGTTAGAAGCAATAATGTTCAACATATATTACAGGTTTTTCTGTCAAGGCATGTATGTGTACAACCAACACCATTAGGACAATGAAAAGACCTTTTTTTATAGAAATAACAATAAAAAGCTGTTTTGTAAGAATTTTATTTGGTTTATGGGAATAAGCAAACAGGTATTAATAATAATTATTATTAATATTTGTAATATATAATAACAGTTTTTATATTTCTGTATTGAAATTCAATATCCATCTGTTAGGTTCAGTACCATTTGCAGCAGTCAATATTTTGAAGGACAAATCTTTATTGAAAAGGATGTAGGTAAGTTCCTTCACTCAATGAATGCAACAAAAACAGTGTTCCCTGCAGTTACCGGCATGGTAGTCTGGTGGTAGGATGCCAGGCTTGTGACCTAAGGGTTGCTGGTCGAGTCACGGCACTGGGTTGTATCTTTGAGCAAGATATTTAACTCCGCTTGTTCCAGTCTACTCAGCTGTAAATGAGTAAGTGGTTGGGCAGTGCTAGATTTGTAGAATGCTAGCTGTGAGCGCTGAAATGGCAGCACAGGCTGTATGCTCCCTAGGGTGTTGAGAAAGATATTGGCCGGTTGTAAAGGCCCTATAACCACGGATAATTATTTGTGAACCGCTTTGAGACGACATACGATATGTCGCCTAGAAGATCCCATTAAGGGACATAATGAAACCTGTCTGTTTAGACTTCAATGAAAGTTTCCTCCCAATAGTTGTATCACAAAGCAACTTCCAAGTTTTGTTTACCTTGTTCTTTGAGCAAAACATTGTTCTTTTTCCTGTGATTCTGTAGACTACATTTCAAGTTTGTCCACTGTGTAGAAACTGTTAATCAAGTATGTAGACGCCTCTGGTGTAGAACTTAAAGATCCTTATCCCCGTTCCTTGTGTCTTTCCATATCTATAGTTACCTCTCCTTAATTAGTTTTGGGGCCTTTTCGTTTTAGTGGAACAACCGGTTGGACTGTCTTTAAATGTAACATTTTTGGGTTTAAAACCTGGCGGACCTGCAAATGTTTATGCAGGCTTTGCAAGGTTTTGTCAAGGCTCGCCTGAAAGCAGCATCAGACTACTAGGTCTGACCTTATTTAATAAACGCACAACTGTGGTCCAACCGGTTTGACCGTTTAAAAGAATGCGGCCCAGGATATAAATGTAACACATTGGGCCAACACACTTTTGTTAACGAGGTAGCTCAGTCAGTTACAGTGATGGTATAACGAGGTAGCCCAGTCAGTTACAGTGATGGTATAATAATCTAAGGTCCAGAACATGTACTGTTGTTGAATTATATTTTGTTCATTTCATCATAAATACCTTTTCATAAAAAGTCCTGCACGGTATGGTTTTCTTATCAGAAATGATTTAACTTGGTTATACTCATGTCAGAAAAGAACTTTTCCAATGCATATTTACAGTTTTTGGCAGTGGTCCTTAAAGGATCCTTAAAGAGGAAATTCTAGATATAAAGTGCATTTGAAATTGAACAAAACCCTTCGGTAGACATAGCACTTCCTGAGGAGCTACGTAATCTGTGCGGTAGGTATAGTCTATAGAAGCGACTAAAATTTGATGGGCACATGGAACATACACTTGAGGAGGTTCTCCACAGCACTGCAGGCCTTGTACTTGCACTTGGCTTTGGCCAGAATCACGGTTTTCCTGTGGGTTAAAAGAATAAAGAACATACTATAGTTATCATGAAATAAGTGAAGGAGGCCAACATGAAAAGGCTGACTCGTGCAGTCGGTGGGCTTATTGTAGGACAATGAAATAGAATTTGTAAGCTTTTCAGCTAAACTATGTATGACTCGGGGACGGGCTTATTTCCAAGCATGGGCTTATTTCCAGATAAACATGGTAATTAGTTTTTCCTTGATCTAAATGAGTTATTTTTGGAAAGTTGATATTTTTTTTTAGATTAAACAGCAACAACCACAATAAGGGAAAGGGAAACTTCCAGGGCTGCAAAATCAGGGATGAAGTTTAATGTAACAAATTGCTTCTATATAGAGTAGATGAAATACAGTGTGTATACTCTCTCTCTTGATAGGCTAAACTCCCTGTAGTCGAGTGACATAATGAAGTTGACAATTTTGTCACATGGTTGTACAGGTAAACAATACATATCACTCACTCATTCATAGCATGGCAAAGGACCTGTCGATCTTGAAACATTGCGACACGTTTAAACATGTTCATTGTTTGTGTATAAAGTAACACATCGATATATGTCCCTTTCGTGTAATCTGTTCAACCGGTTTGTCTTTTTTGAAATTCAACATTTTTGGGTATAAATCCTGGCGAACCTGGAACTGTTTATGCTGGCCTCGTAAGACTTTGACAAGGCTCGTCTGAAAGCAGCATCAAATGACTAGAGCCTACCGTATTTCATTAACAAACAACTCTGGTCCAACGTTTCAACCATTTGGATCACGATAAACGAATGCGGACATAAAGTAGAGGTAAATAAATTACCCTTACCCAGAGAGATGCCATGTGTTGAGTCGAATACACCCTCGTGTGATTTGATACCCTGATGAGTTCGGACTACAGGAGTTATCTGCATTTATCGTCAACACATGGAGATATCCCTTCTGTTCATCGGACCTACTCTCAGGTGTAGGGATTGTCATGGTTACCAAGCAGTTGAGATCAGTTTTTTCGTGCATCTTCAGAAAGATGACGGGTCCGATGGCCAGTATGTTGCTGATGATTTTGTTGTCCTCTTGTAAAGACTCCAAAATGCTTGCCTCCACTTTAACTATCTGTCCATTAGAGAGACAATAATCTTACAAACATTCATGATTCTATATACGTAACACATTATACACGTACATCATATTAGTGACAGCTATTTGCATGACTAATGTATAGCGGTTATATTTGTGGGGGTTTTAATTTCGCTATATTCGCGCTTTGACTAATATCCGCGAATTCTAAACAACAACGAAATTATCGAAAACGTTAACCACTTTTACGGACCTTATTACAACATTTTGAAATTATTTATAACCCAACGCTGTTATGCAGCTTAAATGAACTCAAATCAGATTATCACCGGACAAATGAGCAGTCCATGTAAAAACAACACTTACATATAAGTGGCCACAACATATTTATGTGTACACAATAGGTGATTAATTGATTACAGTTTACTCCTACAAAGGTACATACACATTTGATTTCCTTCTGAGTGAAGTCACTGGCGGATGACTACGCTCTGGATCATTGTTGTCAAACGGTTTACCTGTATTTCAAGGTTTAACCCTGAAATGATGACATTCAAAATACTTTGCACAGCAAAATTTAAACCCCGCGAATATGTACTGAATACGAAACCGCGAAATATTGACCCTGCAAATTTAAAGCGCTATACAGTAATTAATTAGTAGAAAAATATGCCAGGGTTCGACACTAAACACAAGTCCAGAACTATGAGACAAGTAAATTTCAGCAAGGACTATTGGATCACCTCATCTAACTGGTCCTTTAGAAAATGGGGAAGAGTGTTGTGAACATGTGTTTGTAGGGTGGTGGACCTGACTTCTCTGTAGACTTGACGAGCATGTCGACTCGCCCAAAGTGATGAGCTGCCATGCGTGACAATATCGAACGTAGTCTACACTTGGTTAAGCCGCTATATATGGACGTATTTTACGTACTGTTGGTCTGATCGTAGATTACACTCCCCGTTGCAGGCTAACCTTATAATTAACATTCATATCACTTATAGCTTCTTACTACAAATTGGTATAAAATTAAAATACAGATATATTGCATACTATTATTTCGTTGTACGCACCTATGATTATATTTACACACATTGCATGTATCGCATGCATGAATATCAGTCGTGCGAACATTTTCATGCTGCAAAAGGTTTATTAAACTAATCACGGAAACTTCCCATCACCCCGGGGCCCTCGCCCTTCA